TCGTCCTTGAGAAGAAAATAGAAGTCCAGAGCTGGGCTCGGCAAGCACCTCACAGTTCCCAGCACTCAGCTGTGTCGCCGCAATTTCCAGTTCTTAATCCAAATCCACGTGGCACATTCTCATGGCCCACTAGCAAGAGTCCTTTCTCCTCCCCTTTCCTTCCCACCTGGTCTTCGCATTGTTCCCCCCCCATGGCATGGGGCGAACCATCTCTGAGCTCTCATGCACGTGCAGTGTAACCTAGGGAGCCTCCTGTATGGCTGCTACATCTTGCTTTCCTGTTTCCCAAAACTGCATCATCAAAAGCCTCGGGTCCTAACTTGAGCGTGAATCCTCTCTGTCACCCCCATTCCTGACTCCTTCCGCAGGAGCTGCTACTTGGGGGGTGGGGGAGGGGTTGCTGCTGGCCTGTTATATCCTCTCTTACACTTATGCAAACTTTCCTGGTCAGCCTTGTTGATATGCAAAATAATGATCTTTGCATATGAGGTCTGAAGCTTTATGGCTGTCATTGACATGCAAAATGACTCTCAAGGGCCCTGCTCCAAGTCAGGTAAGAACCTAACCTGTCATTGACATCCAAAGTAACTCAATGGCCCTGCTCCAGGTCTCCCATCCCGCACAGAGCCCACCTTGCGGGGGGTGGGGGGGGTGGTTAGAATATCCTGTATTTTTCTTGGACACACCAATTTCTGGACCCCATTCCAAATCCTCTTTGTGGGGGTGCCTAGTTGCACCCTGTTACAGGTCTATGCCAAGGACTGTGTATTCTCACCTTGTATCGTGGGGGTCGGCAAACTGCAGCCAGGATGGGGGCATTCCAGTCTCTTGCCTGTTTGTGTAAAGAAAGTTTTATTGAGATGGCGTCAGGCTGTTCATTTGCTATTGCCAATCGTTTAACATGCTTCAGGGTCTCGGCAGAGATGGCATGACCCAGAAAGCTGAGAATATTTTCTATCTGGCCCTTAACAGACAAAGCTTGTCAGCCGCTGCTGGGTGACATTCCAGCGCACAAACATAACACTATTTATTCATCCAACTGTGAGTGGGTATTTGTGGAGTTTCCAGTTTGGAGTGATTACCTTAGGGCTGGTAAGAACATTCTAGTAGGGGGGCTGTGACACTTTTTCTAATCACATTAGACCGGTGATTCGCAGCAGGAAGCAAATGTGCCCCTGAGGAGACGCCTGCAAGTCTGCACACCATCTGGGTTGTTGCTATGGTCTGCATCACTCACATTCAATTATCTGACAGTCTCCTTCCGATGAACATCTAGGGAGACCTGGAGGCCAGAGGTTTGGAATGAGACTGGAGTGAGGTTTTGCAGAGAGGACAAGGCGTAAACCAGGGCCAGGTTCGTGGGCGTGGAGGCGACAGCAGACACCGGGAGCCTGGCAGTGGGAAAAGGGGCCGCCAGCCCTGGTTGGGTCTTCCAGCCTCGGAGGTGCACAGGTCTCCTTGGGGCTGCCTGACACCCTTTTATACAGTGGTTGTGCAAGTTATATAAGCTAACAAGGCCCACTGCGTGTTGTGACAGCTGTTATTTCATTTTGGCAACGGCCCATCTGGCCTTTACTCATGTACGTACGTGTATTTTACATCTTTATACACATGAAAGCCGCGTAGCTTTGCAGTTTTTTGTTCTCTTAACATTCATTTGCAAGCATTTCCCTACGTTACCGTGTGGTCGTCATAAGTACTTCAGGGCTTTATAACGTTCCATAGGTGGGATGTACTGCTATTTATTTAACTGACACCATGAATCCATTTAATTAAAAATAACTTTTTGTTATCTTGTTTCTGATTGGAGATGGCCTTCTTCCAGATTGCACTTCAGGGACCTAAACTCCTTCCATTGGCAACATGTGACTCCCAGGGTCACACTCCTGTGAATGAGCTGAAGGGAAGGGACCGTGCAAGGGACAAGCGAGAGGTTTTCACGGGCCAGATCTGGGCAAGGCATCGTTACTTCTGCTCACGTTTTATTGGCCAGAACTGAGCTTCATGGCCTTTCCAAATTGCAAGTGAAAAGACTGAACTAAAAGGGGATATTCGCGGTGCTAGTACAGCCAAACATTTCCAAAATACCACGTTTCCTCCAGCTACAAAGCCCCTGTGCATTTAGACCTTTTTTTCATCTCCTGCCCGGCCCATTTCCAGACTCTGTGTCCCAGTATTCCCCTCATATACCATAGGCCTGGGAGGAGCCGTGGTGGTTCCTGGGATATGTAGTCCAGCTGCGAAGCGACCCTTAAAGCACCAGAATTTCTTTGTTCGAGACAGCGACGGCGCAGACGCATTCTGCGGCCACCCAGAGAGCGGGAAGGCCTGGTCCTCTTGCGCAAACTGCGAGGGCGCACAGGTGAGTCAGGACCCGGCGGACCCGAGCAGGAGCAGGTGGGTGCGGGCCGAGCCCGGCTGAGAGGCGGGGGCTGAAGGGGGCGGGGACCGGAGTGCGACGGGGGAGGACGCTGTGGGCTGTGCCCCTCGCCACCTCAAGTCTTTCGCGAGGCTGCCCCAGAACCCCCTGCCCGCCGCGCGGCTAGGACGGTCTCAGTGCTCAGGAATCGAGTGCCTGCTGTTTGCCAGGACAGCGGTCAAGCGCGGGACGGCTGCGATCCCAGGGGGCAGAATTTGCCCTTCCGCACTCGGCAGGTGAAGAAACCGCCGCGGCTTCTCCCAGGTCACAATGCTAGTAAGAGGTAGACCTGAGGTGGCATTGACCTGAGCGACCCCGCGTACTCCGCACAGTCACGCCCTTGGTCTCTGTCCTTATTGTGAGCATCTCTGCGTCTGCCACATCCTCTTTCGGATCCCACCACGACCCTGATCGCGCTCTGTCTCCTCCTCTCTCTCTGGTTCCCTGCTCCTCAGTCCTTGTGTCTCTGTCGCCTTCTCTCTGGGTCTCTGCCACCTCCCTGAGTCTCTGGCCCCCTCTTTCCCAAGAGTCCCTGTGTTTTTTCTAAAAGCAAGGGTATTTTCCTTCCAAATCCATAGCGCGGTGATCACGTCAGGAAATTAACCTGGATACAGAACTATTAGCTAACCGACAGGCTTTCTTCAAGGTTTGCTAAGTGTCCCAACAATATTCCTAAGGGCAAAAGAAACCCCGTCTCACCCACTGCATTGGAGGTCAGGCGTCTTTCGTCCCCGTTCACAGGAGGAGCTCTTCGGCCTTCCTTTGACCTTCCTGGTCTTGGCAATTCTGAAGGCTACAGACCACACACTCCGGAGTGTCCCCCGGTTTAGATTCGCTCAGCGTTTCCTCGTGATTAGATTCAGGTTATGAGCTTTTGGCAGGAAAAACTTAGGAGTGACGCTGTGTCCTTCTCATCCGATCAGGAGCCCGTGATGTCAGCCCCCATCACTGGTCACACCGGCCTTGACCACTTTTCCACTCCCAAGTTACCCTCCTCTTCTTGTAATGATGACTTGCGGGGAGACAGTGAAGTCCCCCAGCGGTTTCAGCCTCCCGGCGCCCGCACGCCTGTGCACCCGGGTGCGCCTGTAGCTGTTTGTCTTGGAAACACACGGGGTCGCTAGTGGTGGCTGTTTCAGAATGGGGACCTCAGGCCTCCCGTCCCGAGCCTTTCCTCTGGCTCTTTGGAAACCAGGGCTCTCTCTGTCATGAGGCTTCTTTGGGAAAGTGTTTGTCTGTCTCTCTGTCTGTTTAGGCCAGAACTGACCCCACTTCTCTTCCCAAGTCTCCTCCTCCAGCTCTGCAGACGCAGGCCTGATCCGCTGTCCTGGGGATGTGTACCTAGGACCCGGCATTGAGCACCAGGACCCTGGCAGCTGAGGACCGGACGAGTCTGGGCTCCCGCGTCCCCCAAGATGACTTTGTCGACTCCAGAGGACCATCCTCATCTCTGCCTGTGGCCCGAAGCCCCTGCCAATCCTGGGAGAAAGGCTACGGTGGGAGGGGCTCTGGGGCTGGGGGGCCTGGGAGTGGGGAGGGTGGGGCGGGCTGCTCTGAGCTGGGACATTATGACACAGTCTGACAATCGGTAATGTAAGGCCCACAGCCTATTGGTTCCCCAGTGAACTGGGTAGTGGTTTATTTTGTTTCACCAGAGCCTTATTCTTGGAGTCAGGAATGGGGGTCTGGGAGGGAGTGTGACTTGGGAATATGTGGCTCTTACACACAATGGCTTGATAGTTTTCAAAATATTTTATTTAACTTTACAGAGGGAAAGGAAAGGAGAAAAAGGGGTAGACAAACATCAGTGTGTGGTTGCCTCTCGAGCACTCCCTCCTGGGGACCTGGCCAGCAACCTAGGCGTGTGCCCTGACTGGGAATCGAACCAGCAACCCTTTAGTGTGAATGCACTGAGCCACAGCAGCCAGGCTGATAGTTTTGTTTTTTTCTTATAACCTTCACCTGAGTATATTTATTGATTTTAGAGAGAGGTGGAAGGGTGAGGAGAGTAAAAGAGAGAGAAATGTTGATATGAGAAACATCAATCTGTTCCCTCCCATACATACCCGGACAGGGAATTGAACCTGCAACCCAGGTATGTGCCCTGACCAGGCATCAAACCCTCAATGTTTTGGTACATGGGACAACACTCCAACCAAGTAAGCCATCCGGCCAGGACTGGCTGGTATATTTATTATGGCAGTTTTCACACAGATGGCAAATTCATATACTAAAATAATTGGCATGTTATAATATTTTCCCAATAGATGGCAGTAAAGAGTCATGTGAAAGGCAGGCCTTGGTCTACTTTAGACCAAGGTGCCTGTGGGCTAGGGACTGCCTAGGCTTTTCACTCCAATACATTGCTTCGGCCAGTTTTACTCAGTTCCCTCACGTCTGGTCAAGTCCAGGGAGAAAGTGGTAGGCTAGACAGCTACAACCTCTCCTGCCCCACAGTTCCGGAAGGCTCTGACCCCCCACTTTATACAATTGGCCCTTGCAGGGGTCTGTGACTTTCAAGGACGTGGCTGTAGACTTCACCCTGGAGGAATGGGGCCAGCAGGGGCCTGGTCAGAGGGAGTTGTATCGGGACGTAATGCTGGAAAACTACCAGAACCTTCTCTCACTAGATGAGGCCCTGCTCTCTGCCTTCCCAGGAAGAGACACGATGCCTCCTCCTGCCCTCGTTTCCTTGTGCTCACCTGCTACTTAACTGCGGGCAGTCCCTGGGGTCCTGTGGTGGCCTCTGCCTCTCATCTGTCCCTCCCGGCTGGCCTGTGTCTGTCTCTGTCTCTCCCCTGTCTCTTCCCAGAGTCCCAGCCTCTCTGAGGGCACAGTCCTCTGCCTGTCTCATCAAATCTTCAGCCTGTGTCCCCACCCTCTTCTCTTGCTGCCCTCTCCATGTGAAGGGGGGTGGGGGGGGGCGCAGGCTCCCCGCTGGAATGCCTGCTGCAGAATCTCAGACTCCAAGTTCTCCCCAGGTGTCCTCCAGTCAACGGGCTCCATCTCAAACCTTCTGCCCAAAACACATAAATGTGTTTCCCAAACGTGTCACCTGAGTCCTACACCTGTCCACTCTCTCCCTCCTGCCCCTACCCTGGTGCAAGGCGCCCCCACATTCACCGCACTCACCCCGAGCTCAGAGGCTGCGCTGCTCCTCCCTCTCCCTCCAGGACCCCATTTTGGTTGGCCCCATGTCCTCCAGACCCCCAGTTCCGTGCTCACCTTCCTCTTCCTCTTCCCGAGAGGCGTCATGTCCCACCCACCCACCCATCCGCAACTCTCTGCGTGTCCCCTTCTCTCTGTCCGCACAGCCTGGCCCTGCTCAGGCCTGTCCTCCCCGCAGACGCCACTCCAACCTCCTCTCTGCTCTCCCTGTCCTTTTCCGTCCATCTCTTCCTTCTGAATTCCTTCTCCGGGCTCCTCTGTCTCTCCTATTCCTGGTAAGCTCCCGTGGGATGAAGGCTCCATCCTCAGCCCTCCTCACTCACACACTTTCTCTGTACAAACTCATCAAAAACTCAGCTTAAATGCCTGTGTGGCCCTGGCTGGTGTGGCTCAGTGGATTGAGCGCTGGCCTATGAACCAAAGGGTCACCGGTTCGATTTTCAGTCAGGGCACATGCCTGGGTTGTAGGCCAGGTCCCCAGTGCGGAGTGTGCAAAAGGCAACCACACATTGATGTTTCTCCCCCTCTCTTCCTCCCTCCCTCCCCCTCTCTCTAAAAATAAATAAAGTCTTAAAGAAAAAACAAAAAAGCAAAAACCCCACTTGTGTTAGATCCCCAAGACTGCTCCCAGACTCAGCGACACACTAGGAGGACCCGCAGGCCTCAGCGTGGCGGTCCGCCCAGAAGCCATCAGATGGCGGCGGCGTTTTTCCTGGAGGCTGGTCCCATCAGCACCCACTGCCTGGAACATTCCACTTTCCACACTCCCTGGAGGAAAGCAGGTGTTCCAAAGAAACCACGTTGTTTGCACAAGCAGGCACAGGGAACCCCTCTGTTAACCAGTCAGAGAATGCCGGAATCCCCCTAAAATCGGGCTGCTCAGAAAGCACAGCCTTGTGAGCAGGGCTTCCCAAGGAAAGCAGTCAGCCTGTTGTGTGAACCCTTTTCTGCACAACTTGCCAAATGAGGTCCCTTCAGCCCATCCCCTGAGGTCCAACTCTGTGTAGCTGGTGGCCTCCAGAACACCTCCCTGGGAGGATCCTGGTCCCCATACTCCCTGTCCCCACTGAACTCAGCAGTCCCCTAATAACTGCTCCTCCTCTGGGTCTTCCGTCTCAGGGACAGTCCCCCTACTGATCCAGTCACCAGTCCAATCCTGGACGCTGTCGTCACCAGCCCCGTCATACCCATCTTCTTCATACCCATACTCAGCCAGCCTTCTTCACAATCCACTCCCTCCCTCCCTCCCAGTCTGCAGTCAGAGGAAGGCTCGTCCTTAAGGCGGGAGCTGTCCACATGTTTGTCTGCTCGTGGGAACGGTCGGCGGGGAGCTGTGACCCCTCCTAGGGCCGCTGCAGCGATCACCACCAACGGGGTGGCTTAAACAGCGGAAGTGTATTCTCTCGGGGGCTGGAAGCCAGAAGTGCAAAATCAAGGGGTTGGCAGGGCCATGCTCCACCTGAGGGTCCCTTCTGGCCTCCCCCACCTTCTAGAGGCTCCTGGCAGTCCGGGTGTTCCTTGTCCTGTTCCGGCATCTCCCTAGGCTCTGCCTCCACCCGCACACGGCCTTCTTCCCTTCAGCTGTGTCTGTGTGTCTCTTCTCTTCTTGTACGGACACCATCGTTGGATTTCGGTCTCACCCTAGTCCAGCAGGGCCTCGTGTTAACTAATTACATTTGCAAATCCCCTGTTTGCAAACAAGGCCACATCAGGAGATTCCTACAGACATAACTTGGGGAGAGCGCTGTTCAACCCACTAGAGAGAGAGAGAGAGAGAAAAGAGTGATCTCAAAGGCAGCAGGCATAAAGAAGTAAGAAGAAACAGATGAAATGAATTTTAGTAATAAAGTTTGTCTCACCTCGTCTATCCAAAAATATGATTGCCCTGACCGGTGTGGCTCGGTTGGGCGTCGTCCTGAGAACCGAAAGTTTGCTGGTTTGATCCCCAGTCCTGGCACATGTCTGGCTTGCAGGTTCAGTCCCTGGTCTGGGCATGTACGAGAGGAAACCAATAGATGTTTCTCTCTCACATCGATGTTTCTCTCCCTTTCTCCTTCCCGACCCTGTTCTCTAAAAATAAAATCTTAAAAAAAGAGACCATTTCAGCACATCAAAATCATAATCAATACACACATTATTAATGAGATATTTTATATTTTCTCCATATTAAGTCCTATGGAATACAAGTGTATTTTACACTCAGCTTCTACAGCACAAAGCCAGAGCCTTAACCAGTGACATCAGGGCTCGGGCTGCCTCCGGAATGCGGTGGGCAGTCAGTCAGTGAATCGTGCATTGACCACTAGAGCGTCTAATCATAAGGCATCCAAGGTATGAACCCCCCCTTTCAGACACAGAGCCTGAGGCCCAGCCCTGAGTCCTGCCTGTGGCCAGGACACCCATGGCCAGGTCTCATTTCTCTTCCAGGGCCGGGGCTTCTGGGGTCCAAACCCGACGTGATCTTCCGTCTGGAGCGAGGGCAGGAGCCCAGGATGGAGAAGAGAGAAGCCGAGCTAGCTACCTGTCCAGGTGGGTGAGGATGTCCAGCAGATCTGAGCCATCTTTCTGCCTCATCTGTCATGATCAGAGATGATCATTCAAGAATGAGGCAGCATAATATATAGGCCGTTATCGTTGGCTCTCGGTTCAAATCCCAGCCCCACCGCTTCCTGGCTCTATGACCTTTGGGCAAGTCACTTAGTCCTCCGTGCCTCAGTTTCCTCATCTGCCAAATGGGGTCAGTAATAGGAGGTAGAGTTGGGAGGAATAAGTGAGTTCACATAGAAAAGAGTGTAGCCCAATGCCTGGCACTATCATCCCCTGGTCAGAATAGGCTATGCTGGTTATCATTATGATATTTTTGGGAATCATCTTTATGAAGAGCCAGAAGTGGGACCTTATCTGTAAAGTAGGGACACTGATAGTATCTACTTCGCTGAATTTTTTTTAGGAGTAAATTAGTTAATAGAAGGAGCTTGGAACAGTGCCTGGCACATAGTAAGTATTTAATAAATGTTACCTATTGTAATAGTAATAATGTTATTGTTATGGTAGTTACCAGACGTATTAGTAAGGAGTCTTGAATGTAAAGAATCAAGATAGCTTTAGCAAAATTGGACTTTTTTTTTGACCAATAAGTGCAATGCAATAATTTAAGCGTAGCGGGATCTAAAACTATAAGTTGTGTTGTCAGGGCTCACTAGTTCTTTCACCTTTGCCTTCCTTCCCTCCTATCCCATATTGATTATATTTCTAGCTTCAGTCTATCCTTTGTCTATCCTTTGTCTATCCTTTCCACATGGCAGTTGATATGGCTGCTTCTAGCCTCAAACTTATATTCTGCCTAGCAACACAATATAGCAATCTAAGGAAGGCTCTGATTGGCCCAGTTTGGATCTGGAACCAATTATGGCTTGTGGAGGTGGGTATTCTGATTGGCCCGCCTCAATCTCATTCCCACTCCTGAGGCGGGGCCGGGGGAGGGAGCAGGGGGGAATCCTTGATAAACAGCCACACGAAGACTACATGGAAAGAGAAGCAGTGGTTCTTCAAAGGCAGGGATGCTAAGGAGGCAAGGAAGATATGTTCAAAATGTTTGAATACAAGCCTGCCCCTCTCTCTTCTCTGAGGGGAAGGGTCAGATGTCTTGTTTAGCATAGTCACCAACCTAAGCACTGTGGTTTGCACGTGACAATTGTGCAATTAATGGGTGTCCCATGAACAAATCTACTAGCATTAAAAAAATCAACCCAGCCTGACTGGCGTGGCTCAGTGTGTTGGGCATTGTCCACAAATGAAAAGGCCGCCAGTTTGATTCCCGGTCAGAATCACATTCCTGGGTTGCGAGCCAGGTCCCTGGTTGGGGCTATGTGAGAGGCAACAGATCGATGTTTCTCTCCCTTTCTCCCTCCTTTCCCCTACCTCTAAAAATAAATAAAGAAAATCTTCTTAAAAGTAAAATTTTAAAAAATCAACCCCCTTCAACAAATTTCAACTGGCTTTGTTTCTTCTGTTCTCTATGTCTCTCTCTAGATTGCAAGATTCTGCTGTTAAAGCCCCATATACATTTCATATTTCTTGATGTCTGTTTATCAAATAGAAGTTATATGTGTTCATCATAGAAAGTAAAAATCTAAATAAGAATAAAGCAAGAAATAACCGCCCCCATAATCCTACTTATTTCTGAAAAAATCTAACATTTTAATGTAGCTCCTTCAAATATTTTCACCCCAATATCTCTACTGTATCTTTTAGAAAAGATTTTATTTATATACTTTTAGGGAGAGGGGAAGGGAGGGAGAAAGAAGGGAGAGAAACATCAGTGTGCAAGAGGTACATCGATCAGTTAATCGATTGTCTCTCACATGCCCCCAAACAAGGACCCAGGCATGTGCCCTGACTGGGAATCGAACCAGTGACCCTTTGGTTCGTAGGCCGGCACTCAATCCACTGAGCTATACCAGCCAGGGCTGTTTTTCTTATTTGTAAAAATGTATTATATTATGGCTAATAAACAACTGCGTACATACATAAACTCTTTTCCAACTCAGTTTTTTTCATTTTAGAATATACTGAGGCCATCCTTCCATGTCAGAACATGAATCTATCTACCTCATGCCTTTTAAATACCAACATAAACTTTGAAACTTTCCTTTTTAAGTTTACAATACCAGTTCTAAATAATCAGCTCCCTTTGTCCTAGAGCAGACCATTTTCATATTTTCCATTTGTTTCAGACCTGGAGACAAGCTTGGCCATGACTCAGGCAATACTTCCAGAAAAGAGTATTTCCAAAGAGGCAGCTTCCCCAATGGGAAAGATGGAGGGAATTTTAAGGGCAGTGCTTGGAGATACCAAATTGGGGGAATGCTGGACATACACTTGCCAATTGGAGGATGAGGGAAAGCAAGAGAGGCATTTGCAGTGTTTGTTTGCTTCTTCCAAGAAAAATGCCTGTTGGGGGAGAAGTCTAGGCTGTAAGGAGCTTGGGAGAACTTTCAGGCGGACCTCAGCTTTCATCAGGAAGCACAGAGTGCCTGGGGGAGAGAGGCCTCGAAAGTGGAACGGGTCAAAACACCAAAGGACCTTTGTAGAAAAGAAACCATTTAACTGCACAGGATGTGGGAAAGTCTTCATTTATCATTCAGACTATATCCTACACCAGAGAATTCACACTGGAGAGAAACCCTACAAGTGCAACGATTGTGGGAAGGCGTTCAGCAACAGCTCATATTTCATTCAGCACCACGTTATTCACGCAGGAGAGAAACCCTACCTGTGCAATGAATGTGGCAAGACCTTTATTCAGAGCTCATCGCTGACAGAGCATCAGAGGATCCACACTGGAGAGAAACCGTACCAATGCAGGGAATGTGGGAAGGCCTTCACCCAGAGCTCCTCCCTCATTAAGCACCAACAATGCCATGCTGGGGAGAAGCCCTATAAATGTGACCAGTGTGGGAAGTTCTACTGTCAGGTGTCCCACCTCACCCGGCACCAGAAAATCCACACAGGGGTAAAGCCCTACAAATGTGGCAAGTGTGGCAAGGCTTTCTGTCACACCTCCTCCCTTATCCAGCACCAGACAATTCACACTGGAGAGAAACCCTACAAATAGAATGAGTGTGGGAAAAGCTTCAGCCACAGCTCATCCCTGACCCAGCATCAGCGGGTTCACACAGGAGAAAAATCCTGAGTGTTCTGAGTGTGGCAAAGCCTTCAGCCACAGTTCGTCCCTGACTCAGCATCAGAGAATTCACACTGGCAAGAAGCCCTATGAATGTAATGAGTGTGGGAAGGCTTATAGGCAGATTTCACACCTCATGAGGCACCAGAGCATTCACGTGGGGGAAAAACCCTATATATGTAATGAATGTGGCAAGGCTTTTAGTCACAACTCATCCTTTACTCAACACCAGAAAACTCACACTGGTGAGAAGCCCTACAAATGTAACGAATGTGGGAAAACCTTCAGCCAGAACTCTTCCTTGACACGCCACCAGAGGATTCATACTGGGGAGAAACCCTATGAGTGTAACGTTTGCAGGAAAGCCTATACCCAGATTTCCCACCTCAGTCAACACCAGAGGATTCACACTGGAGAGAAACCTTATGAGTGCAGTGACTGTGGAAAAGCATTCAGTCGGAGCACACACCTTACTGAGCATCAGAAAATCCACACAGGAGAGAAGCCCTATAAGTGGAAGGAGTGTGGGAAGGCATTCAGTCACAACCATTCCCTTACTCAGCATCAGAGGATTCACACTGGTGAGAAACCCTATGCCTGTAAGGAGTGTGGGAAAGCCTTCAACCAGAGCATTCACCTTATTCAGCATCAGAGAATTCATACAGGAGAAAAGCCTTACAAATGTAACAACTGTGGGAAAACCTATATCCAGACCTCACACCTCATTCAACACCAGAAAGTTCACATGGATGGCAGACACTATGTATGTAAAGAATGTGGAGAGGATTTCAGCTGGAGTTCACACCTGGCTGAACATCAGAGACTTCACACTGTGCAAAACACCTATGTCTGTGATGATTTTGAGAAAACCTTTGTTTGGAGGACACAGCTTGCTGATCATCAGAGAACTCATGCTGATTAGAAAACCTGAGAATGAAATAAACTGGCATTTCTGCTGTTGGGTTCAGTTCAGCTTTCATCAGCACTAGCAATTTCTTCCCAGAAAGGACCTCTAACATCATACATTGAGACAGCTGATCTCTTTCTTTCCTAAAAAGAGGATGTCACAGTTCATCACTAGCTGGGAAAGCTTCTAAACATTTTAGGAGCTCTAAAATCTCAACATCCTCCCTATTTCTCAACCCTACCATGTCCCTACGGGGTGGTCTAACCGGGATACAAATACATCCAGACTCCTTAATAAGATGCCTGAGCTTTTTAAATGTCTTGGTCATTCATTAAATTGGAGCTGAAAATTCAAGAAAAAAAAAAAAAAAAAACACAGCTGGAAAGATTAACCCTTTAGAATAAAAGTCTCAAATATATGTAGCTGAATATAAATACTAGGCCATTTTCGTTTCCTTCAGAACTTTAAGATATAAATTTCACTGCAAAAGCTGCAGCTTGCTTAAACACTGAATATATTTCATATGTTTACAACTTTTTTATGTCCTATTGTTTCTGTCTTTTCCATTTTCAGGATTTGTAACTTACAAAGCAGTTGCCCTGTTAAGCATCATTTTCTGATTTTATTCATGCCCAAGGGGATGTATTTCCTATCTCATATTTTGAAACATAGTATTTATCTAATTATAAAAATATGCATACTTTTAAAACAAGAAAAAAATTAAGTAAAATCACATGTTTATTGTAAAATATAATTTGGGAAGTGTAGGTAGTTATGAACTAAAATACCAGTTCCCCATAATCCCACATCCAGAGACACCCACCAGTTATTCGGGAGTGTATTTCTTTCTGGTTTGGTTTTGCTCTATATTTTACATCATATTTTTAAACTTTGAAAAATTTGAATGATAAAGCAAAAGCAATGCACTCACCTACAACTTGATCACCATCTTAGGTCATATTGTTTTTTACTTTTTCATATTTCTTTATGTTATTTAATTTATTGATTTTAGAGACAGAGAGTGAGAGAGCAACATCGATTTGTTGTTCCACCCATCTATTGGTTGATTCTTGTATGTGCTCTGACCAGGAGTGGAATCTGCAACTTTGGATCATCTGGGCAATGCCCCAACCAACTGAGCTACCCAGCCAGGATCATACCTGGCCAAAATTTAAAACTGCATGATGTACAGTCTTCACCAGGGTATGGAGAAACTACCATTCTCCCATCACGCAGGTGAAGATAGGAATGCTGCAGTGGTTAAGTAAATCAGTTAATTGGTGTGTGTAATTATACCATACAAGTTAACACTATATTTATATAAAACCAATTTCCTAGAGCATTTCCTGGAACATGGTTCTCAGAAAACACCAATCAACAATTTGTTAAAACTTTAAATCTTAGCCAGATAGATAAAATAGTATTTTTTTTTCTTCCTTATTCTCTTGTGAACTAATCCCTTCTGTGAGAAACCTTCCTTACATCAGCTCTTCCAGTACTGGCATACTCAATTTTCCTCCCCTCCTTGTACTCTAACATACTTACTCCATTAAGCTTTAAGAGCAGAGCACGCTCTTCTGCTGCGCATCGGTACTACTTAAAAGCACCTCCAAAGAAGGGGTTCTAGCCCATCTCCAGTGCTTAGAAAGTTGCCATGGAGACAGACGCGTCCTTTCCAGAGTTGACGGTTGCCCTGGAGACGGACGCTGGCGAAGGTTACTTTTCAGAATGTAGCCTGAGGAAATGAACTGTGTCGACTCCTCTTTCTCCGTTCCGCCTCCGGGCGCCAGAAGAGTGTCTGGCATTCGTGTACCCCAGCGAAAGCCGTCCGGGAATTCAGACTTCCTTCTGCCTTTCCAATCTTCATATGATAATAATATGGCAATGAGAAGCCGGAATCCCGTGGGAGTCTGGGAAGTGTAGTTCATCAAGGAATCCGCGCAGGTGCAGAGGCATCCACGACAGAGGGGCTGCGCACGCAGCGACGCCGCCATAGTGTGGAGTTACCTGTGGGAAGCGAGCTCCGCTTGGGAGGCCGACAGAGATTCAAGACCCAATTGCCAGGTACTAGAGGACACCGTCTTTGGCCGAAAGAGAGGCCTCAAGAGGGCAGACCACCTAGCGGGATAGAGAGGAAAGAGAAGGGTGCTTGCTGGCTGAGGCCAGGCGGGGGCAAGATTAGAGGAGGGATGGCTGGGCTAGGGGCGTGGCTATGAGCAGGGCTAGCGCGAGGATTGGCTGGTAAGAGAGCGGACTTTGGGTGAGATTGAGCCAATGAAGCCGTAGTGAACGGAACTCGCCGACGTTTGTTCTGAGTATCCTCATACTCAGGATCATTCCTGAGGCTCAGGGAGGACTGGGGGTTCGTCCAGTGTTATTCACAGAGCTCTTCTTGCTCTTGGTTTGAGGACTCATTGGCTGAACTGAATGCTGTGGCACCCGCTTAGTTTCTCAGTTTCTGTTTCTAAACTCAACTTTTAAGGAAGTGTTTAGTGTAAGTCTATTATTATTGTTTTATCAGGAAATACATTTTTCAGTCACTTATTGCTAGGTGTTACGCTCGAAGTGCTAGGGTTCCAAGTTTATAAATGCTAATCTTACGAAATAAATAGTTAAAATTTATAGTAATAAAATGTGTTGAGTGCTTATTATGAGCCAGGGGTAGTGTTGGAAAATAGGGGGTGACTTTTAATGCCAATAACTACTAAAAAGTATTAATTATCCTGAAACAGCTAATATGTGCACATCCTGGGTGCCAGGCACAGCTCTGAACATTTATCCTCACTACCTCCCAGTGGAGTCCCTGCTATTGTTTTTGCTGTGTTGTTATGTATGAGGAAACAGGCTCACAGGAGTGATGGCGCCTGCCCAGGGTCACGAGGTGGTAAAGGACAGATCGGGAGTCTTTGTTTATAGCATAGTGGTTAGGGGTTCAGGGTTGGAGCCTGACTGCTAAGGGTCAGCCCTGTCTCTAGTACTTTCACACTGAACAACAGCTCGACAGGGGCAAGTTTTCTTAACCCTTGGGCCAGAGTGTGTCCACTTTTGTTTTTATAGTTAGTTCTTAGGTATGATTTCTTAAAACAGTATCTTCTCAGTGTTAGATATCTACATGATACCTTGATTTTTGTATCCTCCTGAGATGCCAGCTGCCTGCACCAAGATTCTATTTATTTCAATCAATGCTCTTTAAAACTTGTGACCACGGCTCTGAATGGACAACCAGTGTCTCTTGCCATGAATGGGAATTGGCTGTAAGAGTAAAGGCAATAAAAACTGCCGTTTTCATATTTTTGGTGGATGGCATTGTTTACCCAAAGTGCTAAGCTCAAGTCCTCCTCTGCCCATTGGAAGACATGAGATATAAGGTGTTAAAGCCACTTTTTTATTGAGGTAACTCAGAAGCATCAAGACTTGAAAAGGGAGTGACTTTCCCAGTGTTGTCTTGCAAAATATTGGTGTTTCCTACACTCTAGAAAACACTAGTAAAAGAAAGTTCTGTGAGCAGCAAACTTGAAAACCATTACTATAGGTCACAGTAATCCCCAATTACGAGGGGAAAAAAAAACAACAGGCTGGGACTGGCATTTTTGAAAGGCTTCAGAAAGGCATTTAGAGATACCTCTTCTGTGGCACCCCAATACTTAAATCGCCCAGCATCTGCACATGAGAGGACAGGAAGCTAATGTGTATTAGGTGCAAGGGGTTACCTTTAAGGTGCCGCTGCATATGGGGAAGAGGGACTTTTGTTTTGCTCTGATCATTTTTATATTGCCAAAATTTTTTTTAAAAGAATGTAATCATGCACTACTTCTGTAATTAAATGGCACCTGGCCATTGTGGAAAGTCTGAGAAATACCACAAAGTATGAAGAAGAAACTTACTTAACGCAAAAACAAATAACCCATTTTAAGATTTTGGTGAATTTCCTTCACCTTTATCTGTAGTCACTGTTGTTTCTTGGAAATACTCTAAAGGCTGAAGTCCTGCTTTTATATCATGAACCCTTCCCAATATCATCAGAAAGTGTTAAAGAAAGTGCATATGGGGCTAGCCATTACTGAGATCACCACCATCTTGTTCTATTCTTTTTTTTTTTTTTAAGATTTTATTTAGTTTTAGAGAGAGAAAGGAGGGAGAAAGAGGAGAGAAACATTGATGTGTGAGGAATATATCCATCAGTTGCCTCTCTCATGCCCCCAACTGGGGACCTGGCCTGCAACCCAGGCATGTGCCTTGACTGGGAATCAAACTGGCCACTTTTTGTTTCGTGGTTTGGCACTCCATCCGTTGTGCCACACCAGTCAGATGTTATTGAGGTAACTCAATAACACCAGAACCAGGGCTCGGTTCTTGTCTGTTGGGCAGAGGAGACAGCACATCCCAGCCCTTTCACCGTTGAGCCAATGTGACTAGTTGTGACCAAGGGGACATGAGTGAAAGTGACCTGCAGCACCTGCAGGCTGAAGCAATGATAAACTCTTGCAGGAGCTTCCAGCTCCCTCCTTTTGCTGCTGTGGTAACCAAGGCCACACATTCCAGCTGGTGGGGCTATACCTTGGTCTCTCAGGTGGATCGGACAGAGCTAGCCACCCACTGTCCCCAGCCCCTGCAACACACAGTGGACATGTAGTGTGAGTGACCAAAATAAACCTTTGTTCTGTTCAGCCTTTGAGATCTGACACTAAACTGTGTTGCCACAGCAACCTAGTTCTTCCTGACATAGCAATCTATTGGCAAGGGTGCGTGCTACGCCTCAGTTAACTCAGTGTTTCCCAAACTTCATTCAGTTATAGACCACTCTCAATTTTTGCTGTCCATATGCACCACATATTTTCCCTTTAAATCAGTTTACTTTTTTTTCCTCCTTAAATCCATTTATTTTTTAAAGAGGACTTTCTACCACTGCTATGAGCAGGAAACTAGTATCTTTTGTTAGTAAAGGAAAAAAAGGAGAATTAAAATACCAACCGAGCAAAATACTAAATTCTAGCTAAAATTATGCCTGAGCCTGAGGCCTGCTGTGTCTTTGTAAAGAAAATACCATGTTGCCCATGCTTTCTCCTTGATTAATTAGGAGAGATTAAGAGATTAATCTCTCCTAATCTCTAATCTCTTAATCTCTCTTGGTTAATCAGAACATAAAAGTATGGTTTGGTGGTGTATCTGACGGGCTGAAATTGTGTCGTTTCCCTCCTAGTCTTTGGGAAAACAGACTTCACTGTCCTCTTAAAGAGATGGTTTTCACCACTGCAAGCCCTCCCCCACTGGAACATGGAAGCTGGCGGGCAGGCACTCTGTACATCCAGGATCTGGCCAGGCATGTGGCACCAGGCTAAGAGAAGGAACCAACACCTTTAGATTCAAAACTTTAATGAGAACCAACATACACACAAGAAGGGCATTTCTACCCTGGCCCATAACACAGGTTATTAGTTGCAGAAACTGCCTCCCCTGCCCCTCCCATGGCTGCTGATTTTCCATAGGGTCTCTGACCTGTGTGTTGTTGAACACGTTTCTCGATTTGAGTTCCCACCTCTGTTCTACCCTGCAACGCTCTGTTCTCCCCTTTGGTATATAGCAGGCCTGTCGCCCTGACTAGACCATGCATAGGGAGTTGTACATTTTGGCCATTAGAAAACCAGTGTGCTCCCCACCATGCAGTGGGCCCAATGATCAACCATTAAGTCCCCAGTTTCAACAACAGAACCAACCAGCAGAACTCAAGGCACAAGGTTTTAAAAGCCCAGGAGCACAGGGCACATACTCCTAAACTTTTTTAGCACCAAGAATATTAAAGATATTAAGTGTCCAGTGTCTTCATAAGATTCTGTTTGTGCTTCAGCAGACATGTGACTCGTTCATATAGTGGGTAGGGCAAAAAAGCCTGGAGATGAGGTGCCATCAAGAGGGAGGTTGTGTGGTTCCATGAGGTGAGTCTCTGCTATAGAACAGTCTGACCAAAGTGAGCTGTTGACCTGACAGCTCCAAGAGGAAGGCTGATTTTCCACACTGGGTTCTCCAGCAATCCTCAGTGGCCCCAGAGCTTATGGTGACATAAGGAAACGTGGCACTTTAAGATGTCACTTGTGAATGAACAGCACTCCCTATGAAAATGGGGCCATCCGTTTCCCTTGGATTCCAGAAACTTCAAGGCAAGAAAGGGCAGGGCTTACCATATTGACACTCCCTGCCCTGGTGCCTGGCAAAGTACCTGGTGAGTGGTCAGCTTGGACAAATGGTGCATGAAGAACATCCTGGCAATCCATCACAATTTTCACAACCAAGCACATCCTCCATATAGTGTTAACTGTGACAATATCCAGTGCAGCTTTCCTGACGGAATCCAGCTGTTTCCGGTATCATTAACTCCCATGATAAATTGGGTATCATTTTAAATATAACAACTTTAAACACAGGAAGGAGATTATGGGAAAAGGTGCCAGGTGAATGTGTAAAGGACCCTTCTGAATGAGGTATGGGAGGTTAGGAGTGGAATGTTTTAGCCATTTGAGATTAGTTTAAGTGCTCTTCTTGGCTTTCTGTGGGCTAGTTAAGAAAATACTAAGGCAGAGCAGAGATGGAGGGAAGGGCAAAGTTAGACTTAAAAAAAAAAAAAAAAAGATTCATGTGCTGAGTTTGGGGAACCAAACTACGCCAAGGGCATTTTGGAGAAAAACTAAAAAATTATAAGACATTAGCCATGGCTGGGGTAGCTCAATGGATTGAGTGCTGGCCTGGGAACCAAAGGATCGCTGGCTTAATTCCCAGTCAGGGTACAGGCCTGGGTTGTGGGCCAGGTCCCCAATAGGAGATGCATGACAGGCAACCACATATTGATGTTCCTTTCCCTTTCTTTCTCCCTCACTTCCCCCCTCTCTAAAAATAAATAAAATCTTTTAATAACTGCAGTAAATAGAGGTAGAGGTTTGCTAAGTCTTCTCTTCCTTTTAACATAAAAGATTATATGTGCTGCACATGTATAGTTCACGCTTGATGAGTACTTACTATGTGCTGGGCATTCAGTTCCAAGTGCTTTGCATCTATTTGTCCTCACAACAGCCCTCTGAGGTAGGTAACTATTATATACTGAGGCTCTGAGAGTTTCCATGACTCTCTGTAGGTCACTTAGGTGGCAGAGTTTAGATTTAATTCAGCAGACTGGCTCCAGAGTCTACCTCTGAATTTGGATGCTACACAGCTTCTTTTGTGTTTTCATTGTTTTAATGAAACTGGTGTGCAAATTTTCTAGTCAGTCTTTTTGTCTACTTTGTAGGGGGCGGGGGGAAGATGGACTTACCACGTGATGGTTTCATCTTTAGGCCTCAGATGTCGGGCCCTGTTGCCACCCAACAGCCACAGGTGGTACTGCTACTTGTTACTTTTGAGCGTGTACTTGCTGATGTCGGCAGAGACCTAAGTAGAAGCGAAAGGCTTTCTGACAGTGTTGACATTGATATGGTTTCTCTTGGGTGTGAATTCTCTGGTGCTGACTGAGATGGGCACTGAGGCCAAAGGCTTTCCCACACACATCACAGATGTAAGGCTTCTCCCCCGTGTGAACTTTCTCATGCTGCCTCAGATTTGCTTTCTGGGAAAAGCCTTTCCCACATTCAGCACACAGGTAGGGCTTCTCCCCAGTATGAACTCTGAGGTGAACAGAAAGGCATGAGCTCTGGCTGAAGGCTTTCCCACATTCCTGGCAAAAGTAAGGCTTTTCCCCACTGTGAACTCTCTGGTGTCGAATGAGTGGAGCGTTCAAGCTGAAGGTTTTCCCACAGTCGCCACATGTATAGGGTTTCTCATGTGTGTGAACCTTCTGGTGTTTAGAAAGGCGCCATCGGTGTCTGAATGTTTTTCCGCATTTATTACACTCAAAAGATGTCTTTCCAGTATGAGTTCTCTGATGCTGAATAAGGTATTTACTGTGCCCAAAGACTCTGTCACAGTGGTTACATTTAAAGGGCTTCTCCACAGTGTATATTAACTTATGTTCTGAGAGATGTGCACTGTGGCTGAAAGTCTTTCCACGTTCATTACACTTAAAGGGGTCCTTGCTCTTGTTGATGCACTGATGTTTGGTGAGGGAGGTGCTACGAATGAAGGCCTTCCCACAGTCCTCACATTTATATGGCCTCACTCCAGAGTGGATCATCTGGTGGCGAATGAGTTGTGTACTTTGGCCAAAGGCTTTCCCACACTGGTTACACTCAAAGGGCTTCTCCCTGGTATGAAGCTTCTCATGCTGAGTCAGGTATTTGCTGCAACTGAAGCTTTTCTCACATTTGTTACACTTAAAGTGCTTCTCCCCAGTCCTTGGATGCTCTTTTTGTTCTAGGTTCTGATTTAAGATCTCTCCACTCTTATCAAGTCCTTGTTTTTCTTGGGTGTGAATGCTCTGGTGGCTAGTTAGGGTCGAGCTGCAAACGAAGTGCTCACCACACTCCTGACATTCATGACGGGTTTCTACAGCATGGATTTTTTGGTGTTGAACAAGGCGTTCACTGCGACTAAAGGTCACCTTGCATTCAGCACAGCTGTAGGGCTTTTCTGTGGCATGAACAGACTGGTGTCTAATCAGGTGGGAAGGCCGGCTGAAACTTTTGTTGCATTTGTCACATTTGTGGGGCCTGTAGCCTGTGTGAATCCTCTGATGTTCATTCAGGTGAGTGTTCCGGTAGAAGGCTTTCCCACATTCATTGCATTTGTAAGGTTTCTCTCTACTATGACTCCTTTGGTGGCTCTTTAGGGTCAAGATATGGCTGAAGGCTTTCCCACATTCATCACACTTATAAGGCTTTTCTCCAGTGTGAACAGACTGGTGTTTGATGAGGGATGACCTTTGCCTGAAAGCCTTCCCGCATTCCTGACATTCAGAGGCAGTTTTTGCAGCATGAATTTTCTGGTGCTGGAGGAGGTGTTTGTTAAAGTTGAAGGTGGCCTTGCATTTGGCACATTCATAGCGTTTCCACCTGTGGGTCTTCTGATGCTGAGTAAGATGAATAGTTTGGCTGAAACTCTTGCCACACTCATTACACTTGTAGGATTTGCCACCTTTGTGGGTGCCCTGTTGCTCAACAGACTGTGAGCCAGGACCTGATGGATGGTCACTGTCTTGAGTCTTGTGTGTTTTTTCTTCAGTGTGAATTTTCTGATGACACAGAAAGGGTGTGTTGTGATTAAAAGTTTCTCCACACTTGTTACACACATAGGATTTGAAGCCTGTGTCAGTCGTTGGATACACAAAAAGGCAAGAATTCTGGTTGAAACCATCCTCATACTCTTGATTCCCAGTTGGTTTCTCCCTCATATGAATAATCCAGTGCTGGAGAAGATTGCAACTCCTGCTGAAGTTCTTCCCACATTCACTACATTTATATGGTTTCGCCCCTTCCTGGACAGTATCCTGCTGACTCTGGTCTGAATGGGAGCCAAAGTCATTCTTACATTCCTGAAACTTAGCTGGTGTCAGGCTCTTCTTGGAAAGATCAGGGACCAGGGAATCCTCTCCTGTAAAAAGGAGGGACTCAAGACTAAGGCCACTCTCAAGTTCATGACTTGTGCACTCTCTGGGACTTTCCTTGTTGGTGACAGCGTCAGAGCTCAGAAGCCTTTCTGGATCTCCTAGCAAACTATCCAACCAGCTCTCACCCATGCAGGCATCTCCCAAGTTGGAGTTCCAGAGGCCGTCCTTGGAAAACGTCTCCGTAATCTCCTGAGAGAGTCCCTCTTCCAACAATTCTTGTGGCAGAGAGATCTTGGCCTCAGCTATGTCTGAAAGGAAGAAAGTGCAAATGCCTCTTATTTCCCTGGGTGAAAAGACAGGAGCTGCAGGGTGAGGACACAGACAAGAGAGAGAAAAGGGGATGGTTCCTGAGTCAAGCCTGTCCATCAAGGAGATGAAGGAGAAGAGGCCAGAATGGTGATCCACCTGGAACTGGCACCACAGGAAACAGGGAATCCACATCCAAGAGAGTTAAGATAGGAGTTGGGCAACTGCAGGGTCACAGGGAAGTGAGGGGCCTCTCGGCAGATACTCTCCACCATCATCCTCATCAGCTGAGGCTTACTTCCTAGAGACAAGATCCCTAGAGACAACTTCCTAGAGACACTGATCAAGGGACAAGAGATATAAATGATAACAATGCCATACGACTCAACACAATGACTGTATCTGCTCATTGATAAAGGCATGGCTCCACACATGCTTAGAAACAGCCATGTTAAAGTGGCAGAAATGGAAATCTGAGAGAGCAGGAATCTGTGCCTGGTTAGTCACCTATGTGAAAACACTGCAGGAGGCTGCAGAGGACTCACACTGACAAGCTCCCGGAGTGAGCCAAGAATGGAGATGCACGCTTACCAAGCTGTGCAGCCATCACTCCGTGATTTCTGGTTCAGGAGCCGTTCTCCTATTAATGAGCAAACCATGAGAGAAGCTTGCCATGCCCCAGACAAGGCCCCTGCCTCTTCTCTCTCCCAATGGGGACATTTTGACCAGCATCACACCAGGGAATCTTCATTGTTTAACCTGATCCCCCTGAGAGGCCTGAGTGGGCCTGAGAGACAGCAGAGTAAATGCCTAGGCTTCAGTCCTGGCCATCTGCTGTGTTCCATGAGCCAGGAAGGAGGGCTGGGCCTCTATAAAGGGGTCAAAACGTGTAGCCCAGGGTGTTCACAGTATTCAGGGGACATGAAGCAGGAAAACTGAGACCAACTTGGGAAATGGAAGGCTGCCCCCTGCTGAGTCTGGAAGGACAAAGGAGGGAATAGAAAAGGCAACAGGACAGCTATGTGCTAAATGCTAAGGTAGACAGAGACAAGTTGGGCATGCAAAGTGAGGGTCCTGATCCCTGTTGGGACAAAGGGACAGAAGCCAGCATGTGGAATACGGAAGCCCAGAGGCTGGGGATCCTGGCGGTTGGGTAGACATACTCCATGTGAGCAGAGGGGGTCCACAGAGGGCCATGCCCCAGGACCCCACCACCCTCCCACCATGGGCTAGTGGCCCCTTCTCACCCACTTACCAGGGCCTATCACTTCTGAACTTCCTCTCACCAGGGTCTTCAGCTCTTCCCCGCCATCTGGATCAGTCAGGTTGGGTCTGAGGGGGTCTGCAGGGAGAGAAGAGCATTGTTGTCAGCCAGGATATAGAGGACATCCAGCCGCTCACGGGGAACCTTCTGGCTCTCCTTACTGTTTGACACTTTATCCAGATGCTGCACTGGCCAACTCCAGGAATACCCACCCCACAGGGTTCCTGGTCCAGTGGAAGAGGGCCTCAGAGTCATAATCCAGGATGACCAGATCCTGGGTCTGTGGGAACAGGACTTGCAACAGCTCAGGGGATGAGCAGAGCTTGCCAGGTGAAGAGGCCCACACTTTGACCGTTCATGGTCCACTCATTCATCTGTGGACCACACATTGCCTGAGGCATCTGGGGGTTGGGCCCTGTGATAGAGGATGTCGGGGTCCTAGAGCTCAAGCAGTCTTGCACAGTGCCCTCCTCCAACTTCCTCAAGGACGGGAGCAGAATCACAACCCAGGGGAAAGGCCACTGCTGGCTTTGAAGATGAAGGAAGGGGCCATGACACAAGCAGTACAGGAGGCTTTTGAAAGCTGAAAAAGGGCAAGGAAACAGATTCTTCCCTGGAGCCAGCCCTCCCAACACCTTGATTTTAGCCCAGTCAGATCCATTTTAAGCTTCTGACCCAAAGAACTGTAAGAATAAATGTGTTGTTTTAAGCCACTACATTTGTGGCATCTGTAGAAGCAGCCATAGGAAACTCATACATACACACAGATGTGGAGGGAAGTCAAATGAAATGCATTTCTACTGCGGGCTGGAGTTGAAAAATTGAAAAGACACTGAGACTGGACCTCCCCTAAGCTGCTTCTATAGCACATATTGGGCAGTTTGGAGAAAACCTGTTCCAGTATGATAAAATTACATAAAATATAATCTTTTCTTTTTCTCATCTTTTGGAATAAATTCTTCTGTTTTTGGAAAAGAAAGAACTGAGAAACTAGAAAAAGGGAAACGAGTTGATCTGGCTGAGGTGATTCGTATGGAGCTGGGACACTGGGACCCCAGAGCTGCACAGGTCCCAAACGGAGTCTCAGCTGTGCCACTTGCTTATGGTGCAATGCTGGCGGTTACAGCCCGGTGAAAGGGGCTAACAGAGCAGACTGGCTGCTCTCCTTGAAAAGCCTGCTCGCAAGGCTGCCTTTGGCTGGTGTCTGGGAACCTGGATTTGGGGAGGGCTCCAGCATTCTCTGACCCACCAGGGGCGCTCCCTGGGCCCAAACTGTTCTGCTGAACACCTGCTTTCCTTCTGAGTGTCTGGAATGTTGGTACATTCCAGGCAGAGAGAGTGCCTACTGACCAGCCCCAGGTGTGGAATCTCTAAGGAGCGTCCCTAGTCAGCATTTCGTATATGCTGTCATACCTTGTTGCTTGGGAAATTAAGTGTGTCCTGCGTGACTCCATGGGGAGAGGTCTCTGGAAGTTGGCTCTAGTCTCCTGTGCACGTCACCCCATGCGCCTTTTCCCTAACTGTGCTGTGTGCCCTTTCTCTCTGATGGATCATAGCATGAGGACAACTATATCTATATGGTGAGTCCTGCACATCCTAGTAAATCAACAAACCTGGGGATAGTCCTGGGAACGTAAACGCAACTGCAAAAATGACTTCCCTTCTTTGAATATGTTCAGGAAAGCTCAGCAAGATAGGGACAGTCAGACTTCCTTATGGGGGTGACAGAAAGATTGAAAGAGAGAGTTCAAAGGACTCACCCAGCACAGGACCTGGCTCCTGACACAGCATCTCTTGTTATTCATTCATTAACTAATAAGGAGCCATTTACTGAGTCCCCATGGCAGGTACTGTTTCTTACAAATGCTGGGGTACACCAGTGAACAGCACAGGTGCCCTCAGGAACCCATCTGGCAGAAGGAGACAGATCGTAAAAGGAGCAGCCAGAAAATGAAGGAGGGGTGGTAAGCTAAGCAGGAGAGAGAGGAGGGAGTGTTAATGGAGTTGCAATTTCAGTCTTAGGGAATCTCCAAGATGAGGAAGGGATAAGAGTCTTCTAGGCAGAGGGGAGAGCAAATGCGAAGAGCCCGAAGTGTCAGGGTGAGGAATCACTGCAATGGCAAAGAGCAAAGTGCTGCTCAAACTGCGGTAGCAGACAGGCTAGAGCCAGCTTTTTCAGCCTTGCCACGACTGACATTTGGGGTCAGGTAATCCTTGGTTGTAGGGGTTGTCCTTGCATTCTAGATGTGTCACCAGGCATTGCCAATGTCCCCTAGAGCAGCAGACCCAGCCAGCTGAGCACTGCTGAGCTAGATCATGCTAGTTCTGACATGTTCAGGAGCTGGGAATTCATCTTGGGGGTGACAGGGAGCCACAGGGGATCATGAAACAGGGCTGGGGTACATACTCACTCAGCAAGAAGAGGTTCTGGTAGTTGTCCAGTGCCGTGTCCCAGAACAGGTCCCCCTGGTCCAACCCCAGCTGCTCCCAGTCCTCCAAAGTGAAGTCCATGGCCACGTCCTTGACGTTCACAAATTACTGAAACATAACATACTAGTAGTCAGTTACTGCGGGACTAGGGTTAGGGAGAAGCCCAATGGCTCACTCAGTGCATGCCCCCCCCCGCTGCGCCGCCACCTCCCACAGCGTGCCAGGCCTTTGGCAAAAATTGTTTTGTGAGAACCTTCAGACCTAAGAGATTGGGTGTCCCCATATTTTGTAGGCAAGGACACAGAGTCTTGGAGAATGGACACAGGCAAGACTTAAACCCAGGTCTGCCCGATCCTAAAATCCACTTATTTCTGACTTTTGCTTTTTAAGTGTTCAAGATTTGAAATTTTTATTATGGAAACTTTCAAACATACACCCAATAGAGACATGCATGCCACATATCCATCACCCAGCTTCAATCCCCATTCTATTAACATGTCTGTTTTGTTCACTAAGCCTCTTTCCCCACTTTTATTTTTTTGTGGAGGCAAAAATATTTCAAAGTTAATCCCAGGTGGCATCAGATTTCCCCTGTGAATTTCCCCTGTGACAGTAGAACACCTTACTTCTGCATATGTACACCATATCCAAAGTCAGTATTCAGATTTGTTTTGCATCTCAGTGGTGTTTTCCCCCCCAATTTTTTGCTTGTGGTAAAATACATATAAAGTCTACCATCTTAACCAATTTTTAGTGTACAGTTCAGTGGCATCAAGTACACCCACACTGTTGTACAGCCATCCCCTCCATCCTTCTCCAGAAATCTCTTCATCTCCCAAAACTAAATCTGCGTCCCCATCAAACACTAACTTGCTCTTTCCCCTACCCCCAGCCCATCATTCTGTTTTCTGTCTGATTTTGACTAGGTTCAATGGTATGTTTTTACAGTTGGCTTGTTTGAATCAGAAACCAAGGAGGCCTATGCTCTGTACTGGGCTGATAGGCTTCAAAGGTTTTTATCTGTACAACCTGCATCCGTCCACCCTTTCTGTCCCATGCGCCTGATTTAGCGTGCCACATTCTGGATAGGGGGCTTCCTCTTGGTGTCATTTAGCTGCTCCTTTGCCTGATGCATTTCGTGGAAACTCGTCAGTGGAGCAGCAGCCTGATAAGATTCGGTACAGCACTGAGGGGGCAAGAGCCCTCTTACGTGATGCTGGATCCACTTCGGGCTGCATGACGGGTGGAAGCCCCTGTCTGCCACTTTTAGTGATGCCATCTTACTTAACTTCAAAAGTTCCCAGTGAATAGAGTAAAAATTCAAATCCTGGTGAAGTATGGACAACAAAATGGCAGCCTTCCCCAGCACCCTATTTCCAGGTGAACCCCTGGCCATCTGATGTGTTCCTTCCAGACCTCCATCAAAACACACACGTTTCAAGTTAAGAACGAAACTCGTCTTTAGTTTCGGTCGGAGGTGTGGCCCCACTACCTTTCTCTGTGGGTAATCATTGGCAATTAAGTCACATGCCCCCCTGCAGAGCCCTGATTTCTACTCCATCTCATAGGGCTGCTCTGGGAAGTGACTGAGATGCTGCTGGGAAGCTCCTGCATTGTCCCTAGCACGCAGGAGGGGCTCAACCAAAGGGCAGTTGTGTCTAGTCTGGCGGGACTGACGGACATGGGCAGGGACCACCACATCCAGGGGGGTTCATTATACAGTGGAGGCAGCAGGCAGTGCTATGAGAGTCCAGAGCTGGAAAAGCTCTGGAAAGGTGAGGGGATTGAGCTGGGTCTCAAAGGCTGTGTAAGAGTTATCCACCAGAGATGGGAGGCAGGGTGTTCTGGGTATTCTAGAGGGGAGAGACCGAGAAACGCCTGGGGAGTTGAAAATATAGTGGGACATTTGATACAAGTCCAACAAGGGAGTATGGCTCCTGTGAGTAAAAGGGAAGATAAAATGCCGTGGAGGGGGGCAGGACCCAGATCATGCAGGAATAAGCTGAGAAACCTGGATTTTTTATCCTGTAGGCAACAAGGTTCCTGGAAGGGTACTGCACAGGAGAATAAGGACATGAGAGTTTTACTTTTAAGATTGCTCAAGGTGCCCAAGCCAGATGGCTGTTGGTTGGAGTGTGACCCCGTATACCGAAAGGTTGCAGGTTTGATCCCTACAGGAGGCATTCATCAATGTTTCTCTCTCACATTGGTATCCTCCCTCCCTCCCCCTTCCTCTCTCTAAAATCAATAAACATATCTCAGGTAAGGATTAAGAAAGAAAAATATCACTCGGGGCCTCCATAGGACAGTGAACCCAGCACAAAGGCAAGCCAACTGTGCAGCTTTTGGGGATGATCTGTTAGGATGGAGGGATCCTCAACTCACCTCAGTAACAGCCTACTAGGCCCAACAGCCTAGTTTAAGCTCCCCCTCCTTCCCCTCCATGTTCCCAGCTGGCAGGGCTGCAGGAAGGACAAGGAAACTGGGAGAAAGTCTTCCTTCCTTCTAGGACTGGTTTTCTGGCCATGCTGAATGAGCCCCCAAAATGTCCAGAAGTAGGATGAGTCAGAACATCAATTCCCCTGTAGGAATCATAATAGTTATTTATTGAAACTACCCCAGCCCCACTTTTCCACTGCACTTCAGAGCTGACAAAGCAACTTCACAACCATTCTTAGCACTTATCACAACCAGCAAGTACATATTTTGGACTTCTGTCTTGCACATTGCTCTGTCCCAGTACAGCATAGAATAGCTGCTAACAGAACACATGTGTCTGTAATTGAACACTTGGGAACAATGCTTCTGAGAACTTGGATTATTTATCATCTCTAGGATTCGAGTACAAGTGAGTCGGCCTCCAGACGGTTCTATTTCAACAGAAGCAGAACTGTTCAGCTTTTAACCATGACCCACAGTAACAAGGACAATCTATATCACAACTGCTCACTCACATTCATAACTAAACAAAAGCTTCATGAAATAATCTTACAAAGTAGACCGTCTGACATGTTTTTTATTCTAGTCGCTTTTATTCACTAAAAAAAATTATGATCACTGTCCAATTGAATTATTTTCATGACCCACACAATATGGAAAACACTGAACTGAAGGGCATTTGTAGCCACTGTGCATTTCTTAAGGAGCATGTACCCATGGAATATTGGAAACTCTCCATATCACGAAGCAGCCGGACAACTTAATGACAAATGCCCACAATTCCTATGCCTCTGGGGCCAGATGTGCTTTGAAATTCAGAAGTTTTCAGATTTAAAAAAAGTGACCTACATTTATACAATATACAGGGTCCAGCACAAATAATGCCCCCCTTTATTTTCTACACACTTTTATTATAAAATCATGAGCATGTAATTCTGTAACATAACAATATTGCACTCAGGCACACCATATGACATTTTAGATGAAATGTTCAAATTAAAATTGTAAATTATTACACCCATATTTTTATCCTACCAACCACACTCAAGCAGGCCTTACTTCTGCCAGACCCTGTATTTCATTAGAATCCCAGTGCAGTGCAGGACGGGCAGCATTTTGCTATTGAATACTTCAATATTTCTAGAGTGAAGGGAATAAATATTCTCACTAGGCAGGATAATTAAAGGTTATAAATCACAGCAGTTCTGGTCAGGTTTGGGCACCAAATTTATGGAAAAGAAAAAAAAAGGTCTTCAGAGCTTCCTAGATTTTGTGATTGCAGATAAGGTGATGTGGTATAGCAGTAAGTGCTAACATTTACTCTCAATGATTTGCTTCACATGACAGAGGTAAGCCTCAATTTGTGGGTATAATTCAGTCCACAGATACTGCATTTGGCCCACACGCTGTTAGCAAATAGGAGGTTTTGAAAGGAAATTACTTCAAGTAGTCCCAAACCTGAAAACTGGGATATCTCACCTATAAATTTGATCTCCAGCTTCTAAAAAAATCTTGGGATTTGACTATGTTGGGTCTGCATTCCCACCAAGCTACCTAGTTGGAACTCATTTAAATCTACCTCCCCACCGTTCACAAGGTAAATACTTCCTGATGTCCCACAGCCCTCACCAGGCAGGTTCTCTCCTTTAGCTGAACTTGAAGTATCTGTCTGGTTTCCAAGTCACGATCTGCCCACATCTCACGTCCCCCTCAACACTGGGAGGGAAGAAACGGGAACCCTCAAGGTCACCCAGCCTGTCAGAATGACTTAAGCCAAACCGTGGGCGCTGGAGTCTTCTTAGTGCGGGACGATGGCCAGAGCATTCACCCTCTCTGCGCCTCGGTTTCCACATGTACAAAATGGGACAAAGACAACAGATCCACAGGCACTTATCTGTAATTCTAAAAACCCAAAAAAGCTCTGAAAACCAGACCTTTATTCAAAAATTAGTAGCAAATCTTAACCCGAATTGCCATATGCAACGTAAAGTCCTTTCACTGTGTATTCATGCCTTTCCTGGAACAAATGACTTCCCAGGTCTGATTCCCGAGATGATCCTGGTGCCAAGGGCATCCGATAAAAGCGGGGAGCTACACTAACCTCGCAGTGCTGATGCGGAGGTTAGAGGAGAAAATGCGGGGACAGCGCGCCTGGCGCACAGAAAGCGCTCAAATAAATGTTCAATCCTCTGACCTCCTGAAAGAACTCCCATTCATTCGTCCCTCAGGATCCTGCCCAGGATCTGCCAACAACCTCAAGCAACCCACCCTCTCATGCCTCGGTTTCCTCACCCCAAAATAAAATGAAATGGAATCATTCCTATCAGGACTGCCGACGAGGACTGGAAACCACTTAAGCAAGAACCTGGCCTGTAACAGGTTCTAAACAAGGGTTCGAGACTCCACCTAGACCTACCGCCCAAAGCAGCGCGCCCTTGGCCGGAGACGCCGCGGGAACATTCCATTACCCCTCAGGGAAGACCGGAACGCCCCCTCCCCGCCCAAGCCTCCAGAGTCCTCAGCGATCCCAATCCCGGCGCCTCCTCACCTCGAGATTGCAGTCCGCAGAGTTAACAGACGCGAACCCCCAGCCCGAAGAGAGCCGAATACAGGATTCCTCTCACAGCTCCCCGTCACAACCCCTATCGGTGCCTCGTGAATTTACTCGGAATTTCTCCACGCAGGATACTCCGCGCCAGCGCAAAGACTACGTTTCCCAGAAGGCTGTGCGGACGCCTTCGCTCGTCTCTGTATCTTCACCCGCATCCCTGTCTTTAGAGTTTCCGCCGAGCACTTCAGAAAGTAGAGTAGAAACAGAACAGGGGTGAGGTGGTGACTGGGTATTGTAGTCCAGCTTTTATTTTGTTGAAGAACAACCTAATCAGCCTTCTCCCTTTTCTAGAAGAAGGGGAGGCTTTTGATTTCTCCTGGGTACAGCCAAAGGGTTGCCATAGAAACACGGTGAGAAAATTGGGTTCCTAAGGAGACGCTCAGAAGCGGCGAAGTAGAGGCGGGAGAAATAATGTGACCTCTGCTGATTGGCGGAGAAATGCCCCGCAGTTTATTCCTCCTTACGATTGGCCCCACAATAGCACATGCGCAGTAGAACTGGGCAGAGTTCCAAAGGGGGAAATAAGAGTGAGCCGTCAGGGAATAATCCCACTCCCAGCCGCGAAGGCGTCTGGGAACGGGAGTTCCGTGGTAGGCACAGGCCAAGGCCGTCCGGGGGTCAGCGGCGCCTGCGCGGGCGCAGTCCTGCCTCCGGGCAGAGAATGCGCAAGCAGAACCTTCCTCTCCAGCGGAAGTATACGCGGGGCCACTGAGAAGGTGAGTCCCTGACCCCCAGGTGGATCCGAGAGTTTAGCCCCAGGTATTTGGTCTCCACTCTGTTCACCAAGCCCAGAAGTGAAGGGAAGGCGAGGTGTAGCAGGGGAAAGTCTCTTGGTACCATCTGCACAATTCCGTCGAGTTGCCTGTGACGTGAGCACGACCCTTTGTGAGAGGCGGAGCCCCAGGCAGTGGGTTTGGGATGAAAGAAGCTTTTGGTCGCTGGGATAATTGGCCCTTCTTAGCGGTCCCAAGCCACTTTCGGCTCTTCGTGGTGGGCGTGGCTACGGCTGAAACAGGTGGAGCTAATCGAGAATTTGACAGACGCCCCGCCTTGGCACGTCGTCCCTAGTTTCTGCTTAGGGCGGGGCTGAGGCGAGTCAGGGTTCCCCTAACAACTGTCCCTCTTGCGCTAACGAGGAATATGACCTCTAGCTCTTTACTGTGCTGTGTCTCAGAACCTTTCAGGAAAGACACAATATTTAACACATAGGAGATGTTCAGTAAATACGTGTTGAATAAATAAAATAAACGGATGAGTGAATGATAAAGGCTAGCCTGAATGTTGGAGTCTTGGGTTTTAGTCCCGAACTAGCCATGCGACCATGGACAGGCGACTTCAGCTCTCTGAGACTCCTTTATTCCATCTGTTGAGCGGTTATTGAGCGGTTACCATAACACTATCCTTATCTGACCTAATACATAGTTACTTGCTCATCGTTTATCTTGGTTCCCCCTCACCCCCGGAATGTGAGCTTTGTCAGGTGAAGAGCTGTGTTTGTTCCCTTTGCTGCTGTATCCCCCGTGATTGGCAAATATTAGGAGTTCGATGAATAATTATTGTATGAATGAATGAAATTAGACATGGTGCCTACATAGCCAATGCTCAATAAACATTAACCATTATCTTTCCCTTACATGTGAAGTGACCTGAGTCAGCATCTCCACCTTTCTTTACTTACAGGACTCTGTTTAGATGGCGATTCCGGCCCAGTGAATCTGAGGGCCAGACCTCGACCTCATAAAGGTACCATGCCCTCGGGCACATGCCCCTTAAACCCGGTTCACCACCAACAGCCTGCGACTGCTCCATCTCTTCTGTGTCACCGCTCTGATACGTTAGTCCCAGAAGGACCATTGTCGTGGTCATGACATGGTTGTGGGTTAGGCGCTTGCCCCATCCTAGAGGCCATCTTTATCCAAGGACACTTGATAAATTCTGCTTAAAGCCACTTAAAACCATGGCAGATTTTCACACTTTGGTTTACGTAAGTAATCTAGCAAAGTGTCTGTATTAATCAGACAAGGCTGAACTGTGCTGCAGTAACCACCCCAAACCTCAGTAGCTTAATCCAAACACGAGTTTCCCACTGATACTGTCTGGGACAACTCTCCAGGGAAGCCATCCTCCAGGCAGTTTGACCGAGAGGATATCCATCTCAGCGCCATTGCTAGGACAACAGGTTATGAAATTACACGACCAATCAGAATTGCAATTCTTAGAAGCTAAGGGGTACCTGACAGCAGTCTTTTTATTTTTAAAGTAATTAATTAAGTAATTTTTTTCAAGTACATTTGTCTCCGCCTTCCCCCCATCACTCTCTCCTGCCCCCCTCCCCACTCTCCCTCCCTCAATCCTTCCCCACTTTGGCTTTGTCCATGAATCCTTGCTCTATGTTCCTTGACTTGCCCATGACAGCAGTCTTTGCAGTCAGGTGTCTTACACACCTCTTTTGTGGCCAATAACAGAGAGGCAGTTTTACACCACAGTGTGGTTTCTGCTCTTCTACAGACCCAGGGGAGGAGGAACCCTTTTCTCTAGCTGAGATTTCTTTCATTAGCTGTTTAGACAACCTGTGTTTTTTCAAGGGTGGGCACTGGAATTCCACAAGGCAGCACCAGTGGAAACCGAGAGGCCTGAGAGGCTGAGGACTGAGAGTAGGAAAAGAAAAAAGGGGAAAGTAGAGGTACTAACAATTAGAATCTAATAAATGAGGTACAGGGCATGATATGGTAATAACAATCACTAACATAAAAGGCTTTTTGTGGGCCAGGCCCTGTTCTCAGCACTTGCTACAAATGTATTCATTTAGGCCTTGACAACCACTCTGTCAGATAGTTAGAAGCCTCATTTTACTGTTGGGCAGACTGAAGCCCAGACAGGTGAAGTCAGGTGCCCAGCACATAGCAGATCTTGAACTCAAATCCAGGTAGCCTAGGACTAGAACCTGTGATTTTAAAGAACTCTACTGTTTTGCAGTTGCAACAGAGACCAGCGTTTACTGTGAAGAAAGGAAAAGGGTTTGGTTAGACTAAGCCAGACGCAGAAATATTGCATGCTCTCACCTATACGTAAAATCTTCTAAAAAAAAAAAAAAATTTGACTTCTAGTAACAGAGAGTAAAATAGTGGTTACCAGAGGCTGTGGGGAAAGGCAGAGATACTGATCAAAGGGTACACGCTTTCAGTTATGAAATGAATAAGTTCTAGAGACCCAATCTATAGCATGGCAACTCTAGTAAATAATAATGTATTGTATGCTTGAAATAGGCTAAGAGTATCTCAAGTGTTCTTACCACACACACACACACACACACACACACACACACAAAATAATAACTATTAGGGGTGAGGGATATGTTAAGTAGTTTGATTGTGGTAATCATTTTACAATGTATACATATATGAAAACATCCCATAACCTTAAATATATGCAAGTTTTATTTGGCAAAAATAAAAAGGGAAGAACTTTCTCTTGCAAGTTGAAATGAAGCCACGAGCCCAAGTTTACTTGGACTTCTATTTCAATAGTCCAGCTTATACTTGGTACTCTACACTAAGTCTTAGAATAAAGGAAATAAGATAATTTTTTCTTTTGCTTTTTAAAATATATTCATTTGAGTGTCTATTGCATTGTCATCATTGCTGATTTTCTCTTCACTTATTGACTAGTTTAATCCTGCTTTTATGGACTGAACAGTGTTTCCACATAAGCCCAAGTACCTCCTGAGCATGACTATATTTGGAGATAGGGCCTTTAAAGAAGTACTTAAGTTTAAATGGGGTTATTAGAGTGGGCCTGCTGTGGTCTGAATGTTTTGGTTCCTCCAAAATGTATAGGTTGACGATGTGGCTCAGTGGATTGAGTGCTGGCCTGCAAACCAAAAGGTCACTGGTTCGATTCCCAGTCAGGGCACATGCCTGGGTTGTGGGACAGGTTTCTGTCCCTCTCTTTTTCCCTCCCTTTCCCTCTCTCTAAAAACAAATAAATAAAACCTTAAAAATAATTATAGATTGAAATCCTAATGCTCAGTTTGGCCGGGGGGCATTAAATCATGAAGGTGGAGCCCTTGTGAGTGAAATTAATGCGCTGTAAATGAGATCCTGGAGAGTGCCCTAACCTTACCAAATGAATACACCTGCCCTATCTGTATTTGTGTGATTTTGCTTTTGGTTTTTAAAGCATTGGGAAATATTCCAGAGATCCACAAGGCTTGGAGGATAATGCAGTGAATATCCATTGTCTCACTAAGTCAGGATAGTCTTGCCTGTGCTGCGGTAACAAATAAACCCTGAAATCTTGGTGGCTCAGTACAACATAAGGTTATTTGCTGATCACAAGATTCCAACACAGACCAGGCAGCCGTCCTTCATGTTGTATCTGTGGCATTTGGAGCCTGTGACCTCCAGGGCCATCCCTGCAGGGGAGCGGAAGACAGAGGAGGTACTCTGACTCTTAACGGCCTCAGCCAGAAAATAACTTCCACTCACACTCCATTGACCAGAACTGGCTATGTGGCCCTAATCTAACTGCAAGGGATCCTGGGAAGTATAGGGGAGGGAGTGTGTGCGTATTTGGTGAGCATCAGGCAGGTGCTTCTCCCATCCTCAGTGTGTGCTTCAAGAAATGAACATCACAAATGCAGCTGAAGACCCTCAGTGCTTCTGTGATTGGAGCAGCGGCTCCTGCATAATTTTCATTGACCTCAAAGCATTCCCATAGCTTTTGTGAGGTCTGCAGTTTCTGCTTCATACCTTTGTTCTGCTTCAAACCTGCCCTGGGCCATTAGAGAGAGACCAGTGGGCAGGAAGTCATTTTAGGAGTGGCCATTTCCTGAGTGGCCTGTGGGCGTTCCCTTTTCCTTCTTTTATAATCTCAGCATGAGGAACTTGGTTCACAGTTCTCTGGCAGTGGATTACGTTTCCCTTTCAGTTTCCTGTTCCCTCTTACACACTTATGTTTTCTAGCATGAGCGCCTTCTGTTCACACTGTGGCAAAAGTATCAAAACAGCGTTCAAATTCTGCCCCTACTGCGGAAAGCCTTTGTCTACAGAGAAGCCTGAGGAGTCCCAGACCTTGGTCAGACCGCCTGTGTCATCCTTCAAAGGTAAGGACCAGGGCTTTGACCTTTTCCCTGGAGAGGGCCTGTGTGCCGGTGTTTGGGGAGGGAACACAGCCACCCGGGCCTCCCCCTGCTCCTCCATGGCTCAGGCAAGCCCGGGCCTGAGCCAGTGCACCTGCCGTTCCCTTGGTCGAGGTGTTTCTTCCCACATCTGGTGCCTGACCCACTCTCTCACTCACTTCCTTCAGTCTTATTCAGTTACTGCCTTCTCAGAAAGGCCTTCCCCGACATCTTTAATTAAAATCCTGCCCTGGCTGGTGTGGCTCCCTGGACTGAGTGCCAGCCTGCGAACCAAGAGGTTGTTGATTCTCAGTCAGGGCACATGCCTAGGTTGCAAGCCGGCCCCCCCTCCCCCACCCTGGTTGGGGGCTTGCAAGAGACACCCAATCAGTGTTTCTCTCCATTTCGTTCTCCCTCCCTTCCCCTCTCTCTAAAAATAAACAAATAAAATCTAAAAAATAAAAATAAAATCCCACCTTTCCTACCTATGACACTCCCTATCCCCTGTCCCTGCTTTATGTAGCCTTTTGGTTCCTGTAAGTATCAACTCTATTTATATTGCTTCTCATCTTTAGGCTCCGAAAGAGCAGGAATTTATTGTGGTTTGTAGGCTGTTGATTTTGGTTTGTAACCTGCTGTTCGTGCAGCACTCGGGACCATTCCCGGCACCACAGCAGGTGCTGAGAAATCCTACGTTGGCTGAGTAAATGAATGAAACGTCTGCTCTGGGTGCTGGCCAATGGACGGTCCAGGCACAGCTCCTACATTATAAATCGAAGTGGACTTACTTATCTGAAGGCCACAGAAGGGAGTTGGCATACGTGGCAGAAAGCTCAGTGGCACTCATGTTACCATTGGGGACTGCGTTTGGCTGCCAGTAACAGAAACGCACCTTGAAGAGTTGAAGCAAATGAATGGGTTTATTTTTCCTTAGTAAAAAATAAGTCTGAAGGGGACAGTCCAGCGTAGGGGTGCCTCCCCGTGATGCCGTAAGGGCCCCAGGCCCCTGCTGTCTTTCCGCGCAGCCTTCCTCAGCGTGCGGTATTTGTTCGCGTGCTCATTGCCCTGGTTTTTCAAGGTGGCTTCTTCCTCTCCAACACTGCGTCTGCATCCCAGGCAAATGCCACCAGAGTTTGCCGCGGCCTGACCTCCGAGCCTGAGCCCTTAAGCCCGGCCTTCTCTAACGCCAGCCTGGGGCCAGTTCCTCGTGCACTCCCGCAGTCCTCAGGCAACAGATGCACACGGACCACCCGGTGTGTGCGTAGGTGCAGTGTTTCTCCCCAGGGCGGTAGTAACAGATGAGATGGGCCTGGTTTCTGGCCCCGCACAGCTTCTGGAGGCCAGGAGAGCAAACAGCCATTGCATAGGCGGTTATCGGTAGCGTCACAGCACAAGAGCAGGGAAAGGGAGGGGCCACAGGGGGATCAGGGAAGGCCTGTCTAGGGTAATGGGTGAGCTGTCACCTCGGGATGAGAAGCATTTGCTAGTGAAGAGTGGGGGCAAGGTTGGGGGCTTGGCACTGCAGTCCCAGGCATCGGAACCTGGTGTGGCAGGGGCCATGCAGCGGGAGGGGCCGTGCGTGGTAGAGAAACAAGGAAGGACGACCTACCTATAGGCAGACACACAGGGCCTTGCAGACCGTGGGAAAGGAATGTAGTGATCACTGAGGTGGTCGGGGGCTGTGGAAAGGCCTCTGCCACGTGGGGGGCACAATATGGTTTGTACTTTGGAATGACCTTTCTGGCTGCTCTGTGTAAGAAATGGGCTGGCGCCGTGGAAGCCAGCCAAGGCGCCGTTTCAGTAGTCCGGAGGCCAAACGTGCTGGCTGAGGTGTCAATTGAAAGACGCCTTCTGTTTTTAGCAATATGGCAGACTAGATGATAGGCAAACGCCCCTTTTGGTTTAGCACACCACAAAATTCTAGACGAAATGTAAAGAGTATCCTTTTTTTTTAAAGACTTTATTTATTTTTAGAGAGAGAGGAACAGAGGGAGAAAGAGGGAGAGAAACATCAGTGTGTGCGATTGGTTGCCTCTCACACACCCACAACTGGGGACCTGGCCCGCAACCCAGGCCTGTGCCCTGACTGGGAATTGAACCAGCAACCTTTTGGTCTATAGTCCAGTGCTCAGTCCACTGAGCCACACCAGCCAGGGCAAGAATATCTTTTTTTTTAAAACAAAGGGCTGGGTGGTAGACAAGAGAATTCCACAGAAGTTAGAAACAATAAGAAAACAGAGCCACAGGGTTGAACAAGTGCTGTAAGCAGTGCTGGTCCTGGACTGTTTGTTGGTCATTGTTGGCCTTGAGCCCGGGCCTTATTGGGTGCAGGGGACAAAGCTCAGAGCCCACGCAGCATGGGCGGTGCGACTTGAAACCTCTAAGATCCAGGACTCCTCGATAGGTAAACTGGAACAGAAAATTTTTTTCATAGAGAAAATTGTTGGAGACATTTGTCTGCCTCAGCCTGTGTTGCAGGTGAAAAAAAGAAAGAATGTTCTAAGAATTCCTAACCAAAAACTCACATTGCTCACCAGTTTGGGGCCAGAATTCATACTGCACTGTGCAGCACCCCAAAAACCCAAGCGGAGAAGTTAGTGTAAAGTGATGAGGTGTGGGTGCCCCTCCCCAGCGGGGGCAAATCTGTGGCAACACCCCTGAAAGACTGACCGTGGAGAGTTCCCGCGGGCACAGGAGCGCTCATCAATCAGCAAAGACCCCAGGAAAGAAGCCACTGTCAGGAAAAACAACAAGCTACAGAATCAGGCCTGCACTGACCAGACACCTTGGAATTAACATTTGAGAATATGTAGGAAATACCTTTAATATGTTTGAAGAAATAAAGGAACAAATTTATAATGAAGGATTGGAGCCTCATCCTGTACACCAAAGGGTCGTGAGTTCGATCCCCAGTCAGGGTGCATATGGGAGGCAACCGGTCGGTGTTTCTTTCTCACACTGATGATGTCTCTCCCCGCCCCCCCACAACTCCCTGCCTTCCTCTGTCTCTCAAATCAATAAAATAGTGAGCATTATATAAACTATATATTATATACATTACATATAATGAACAAAAGTTAGTTAGAATTGACCTAGCAAACTTGAACGAAAGAACACCAATGATGATAAAAAACAAATATCATGGCCATCAGAAACTCGTTAGATTGTTCAAACTGCAGACTAGAGAAAGCTAAAGAGAGAACAGAGAACTAGAAAATAGATCTGAAAAAATGACCTAAAAGATAGAACAGAGTGACAAAGTGACAGACGATATAACAGAGAGGCTAAGACCCCTGAAGAAGCAGCAAGACTTGGCGGTGAGGGTCGAAGAGAGGAGGCCGGGTGAGTGTGGACCGCGGGTTCCTGGGTTTCCGTTCCCGGAAGGGGCCTTTGTGGCCCGTCTCCATCTGGTCTCCCTTTCACTAGGCTCAAAGAGAGAGAAGAACACCAGTTCTGAACTCTCTCCCAAGAAAGTGAAATGGTCCGGCTGTGTCACTTCTCCTCCATCATCCCTCTCCTCTGACTATGACAGTTCTGGGTCTGAACATACCTCGAGTCCCTGTAAGAAACACAAAGGTAAGAATCAGGATCAATCCGGCCTGACTCTAGGTGGGTAAAAGGCGGGTCCTCTGACAACGTGTGGGCCATCATTTCGCCGCTCAGGCATCACTCACACCGACCTGCACCCTTATCCCAGCCCCAGGCTCCCCCTGCAGTCCCCCTCTGCACGGCCAGAGCGACCCCACCCCTCCCTGCTCGCGCTGTTTCCATCGCCCCACAGTCCGGCCTCTTCAGCCTGGCACCTGGGACTCTGCGTGGTCTGCTTCCTGTTTGAGCTCCTACCACACCCTGTGCACAGGACGCGTACTTTCTGGAAATATTTCATAGGGTCTGCAGCCTCCGGTCTTTGCTAAGCCTGTTCGCTCAGCCCGGGACGCGCTCGCCTCCTTCGTTGGCCCGGCTTGCTGCCACCTTTCCAACGCTCAGAGCGTCACATCTCTAGGAAGCCTCTTCTAAGCACCCTAGGCTATGTCAAGGCCAACTCATCTCCCTCCAGAGCCTCTCTTCATCCTTTGGGCACCCACAATGCCAGTGCCACTCATTTGAGGACATGTCCCCTCCAGGATCCTTGTCCCTTTCTGCCTCACTTGCTGGGCTGAGAGTATACTTTGTGGACAGGGACCAGGTAGAGTCATCTGTGTGTGGCCCATGCCAGCCAGAGAACAAGGGAGGCTTGAGGACCATGTGCTGGTCCCCTTCCTACCAGGCCCTCCGATCAGGTGTGGCAGCCCTTGGTGTCTCCTCTTTGTCCCTAGTTATTCTCCAGGCCCCTCTTCCCCTCTCCATTCTGTGCCTTGGGTGGAGGGTGGGTGGGAGGAGTGGAGTAGTTAATATTTTTTTCCTGTGTCAATGTCCAGTTGTCAATATCTTTTCCTCCTCACCGCACCGCCCATTCTCCTGCCGGCCTGGAAGCCAGTCCAACAAATTTCTTTGTACTTAGCACAAGGCCAGTTGCTGTCTCAGGATGTTTTAGTTGAATGTCTGGAACATCTTTTTGCCCCCTGGCAAATTCTATTCATTCAACAAGACTGAATGCAAATGTCCCCTCCTCCTGGAAGCCTTCCCTGACTTCTCCAGGCACAGTCAGTCTCTTTCTCATATCTCTCTGGACTGCCTTGTTTGACTGGTTGCGTCCAGGTCAGACTTCCCCCACCTAATTAGGGGCTCCTGAGGGACAGGCCCAGGTTTGACTCATGTCTGGGTCCCCAACTTTGTCACACAAAGACCTGACTCGTGAAAGGTCACAGGAAACATTTGCTCATTGAACAAATGAATGAATAAAGCAGTACCATGAGTATTGCCACATTTTCCTTTCAACTTTTCTCTCCCGGATGCCCCTTCTTCTTATTCTGGCCATCCTGCTATAGGGCCCCAGAAAACACCTCCCACCCCCAAAAGCAACCTGCAGACAATAAGAAGAAGCCCTCAGACACTGAAGCGGAGCCGTTTGACCAACACGCTTAATGCTTTGCCCACGGGGATGGTGCTGACAGACAAGAATGGACGCCACTGGAAGCTGGGCCTCCTCCAGAGCAGGGACGACCAGGGCATTCTCTATGAAGGTACACGCTGTTTACAGGGGTGCCAGTGCTGGGCGGGGCCAGGCCGTCTTGGAGCCAGGGCTAGGGGAGGGGAACCCCTTTCTGAGAATGAAAACAGAAGCCATGTGCCATCTGTAGACCTGCCTCTAGGCAAATTCCCTTAAACTTGGGGCTGTAAGCAACCCACCTACAGTGGCCTGGCAGGTAGAGTAAATGAGTGCAGGAGGCTGGGAGTAAGGCGATTGGGAGTGGTGGCGACTGCGGCCCACTGGAGAGCACTCTCCTTCAGCTCCACCGACTGTTGTCTTGTGGGAATGGGAGCCCAGTGTGTCCGAATGATAAGGATGATGATTAGGATGCCCCGCCCCCCTGCACACATTTGGTCTGAATGTCAAGCCTGATGATGTCACACACTAAGAGGAAGTGAAAGGTTTATTTCTTGCATAGTTGTCTCTGGGGAGAGCAGGTCTGAAATGTCCTGAGGTCACAAGGGAAGGCACCTGGCCTGGGTTTTTACTGTGGTTAAGGGGTGGGGCCCGGGTGAGTATTCCCACACGGGGCCAGGGCGTCGTGGGGTTTGACTGTCCCGCCAGCACCCAAGGAGGGAAGCCCAGGCTGTCCCATCAGCTCACGCAGTGCGATGGGAGCGGCAGAGCCGGACCTAAAAGCTGTCAGTAGTCAAACATCAAAAAGTGGACGCCGTGTTACAATGAAGAAAATAACTGTGTTGGAAGTATTAGTAATAATCAACCTAACATTTACTGAGTTCTTACTTTATGTGGTTTTGGGAGGTTTAGGCAGCCTTTTGAGATAAAATTTATATAACATAAAATTTACCATGTTAAAGTATACAGTTCACTGGGGTTTAGTATAGCCACAATGTTATGTACCATCACCACTATGTGATTCCAGAACATTTCCATCACCCCCAAAGGAAACCCCGTACATTTTAGTAGTCACTCTCTTCCCCCGCTTTCCAACCACTCATCTACCTTTGTCCCTATGGATTTGCCTGTTCTGGATGTTCCATACAAATAGTGAAGCACTATGTGGCCTTTTGTGTCTGGCGTCCTTCCCTTAGGCCGATGTGTTCAAGGTCCATCCGCGTTGTAGCATGTGCCAGCCAGTGCTTCATTCCATTTTATGGCCGAGTAATATTCCAGGGTGTGTGTACCTCACACTTGGTGTATCCATTTATTAGTTGGTGCACATTTGGGTTGTCTCCACTTTGGGCCATGATGAGTAATGCTGGTGTGAACATTTGTGTACAAGTTTTTACGTGAACATGGCAGGGAGGGTGGGTCAGGGTCCCCAGAACCCCCCCAGGTTCAGTGATGCACCAGGGGACCATAGGCCTCCCACGCCCTGAGCCATCACAGCGAAAGGACATAGCAGAGACGGCAAAGAGGAAAGGCACGTGGGGCGAAGTGTGGGAGAGACCAGCCAGTGCGGCTTCTGGAGCCTTCTCCCTGTGGAGTCACACAGGACACACCACAAGATGTGACAGCAAGTGTGAACTGTTAGAGACTCCACGCCCGGGGTTTTTACTGGGGGCTGTCAGTAGGCACCCTCTGCCTGGAACGTGCCAACATTCCAGACTCCAGAAGGAAAGCAGGTGTTCAGCAGAACAGTTTGGGCCCAGGGAGCCCTTCTGATTGGTTAGAGCAGCGGTCCCCAACCTTTTTGGCACCAGGGACCAGTTATGTGGAAGACAGTTTTTCCACGGACCCGGGGTGGAGAGGGGATGGTTTCGGGGTGAGTCATGCTCACCTCCTGCTGTGCAGCCCGGGGGACTGGTACTGGTCCTCGGCTGGAGGTTGGGGACCCCTGGGTCAGAGGATGCGGGAACCCTCCCGAAGGCCAGCTCCCCAGACACCAGCCAAGGGCAGCCTAGCGGGCAGGCCCTTCCACGGAGAGCGGCCTCAGGCCTGCTGTGGTGATAGCCCTTTGCATAGCTGGCTATTAACAGAGAGAGAAAGAGGGAGAAACAAGGGCTCTGTTTGAAAATGAGGAGGAGCAGGTCTTAAAAGCCAGGAAACGCACTTGACCCTGTGGGAACCAAGCCACTAGAAGTGCTGCTCATTACTGGGGAGTCGGGGGTGATGCGCTCACTTTCCCTATAGGTTATAACCCCGCTCATTTTGTCCATCCCCAGCTGAGTCCTTCTCCACCGGTGAGTCCATCAGCGAGTCAAGTGCCCAGAAACAAAGATTTTCACTTAAACTAGTGAGTGGCCCTGCGGGGTGCCTGGGGAGAGGGGAGGCCGCGCTGAGGGGAGGCCCTGCGTGCACCGGCCATCGCCAAGCCTGCCTCTGGGCTGGGGCAGGCAGGAGGCCAAGGAGCAGGGGTACCCTGGGCAAGGCCCGTCTCCCTCTGGGCCGTAGGCTTTTCTCATCACAGGGCCCCTCGGAAGCTGCAGCCAGGCCCGCCTGAGCCTGCCTCGGATACTTCCCGGCCGGCCGTGTCGGCGGGCAAGCACCTCCCCTCTCCGAGCTGACTTTTCCGCATCTGTGACGGGAGCCGGTGATACCCTTGTTGGGGGGAGGCGGGGAAGGGCCCATTTGCCTGCTGCCTGCCTCGTAGGGTGGGTTTGTCGAACACCTGCTGTAACATGTAACTGTGCTGGGTGTTCGGGTTCAACAGAGGACCAGTCCGATGGGGTCCCTGGGCTGAGGAGTCAGTGAGATCACGCCCGACGTTAGACTACAAGAAACATGCACCCGAGGGGGGCCAAAACGAGAAAAGAAACCGAGAAAGTGAGAGCAACCAGGCAGGGAGCCGTGCCCTTCAGCACAGAGGAAGTGCCTGATAAAGGGCATGGTCGTGGTTTGTAGCCTCGCTGTCATCCCTGAGTGCTGGGACTATGGGTGACTTTTACTTACTCAGATTTTCTCACTCACCCCTGGAAAACCCAGCTCTCCTGCTGGTGGAGAGCCTGTTCCGTGCCCCACTCGGGCCGAGAGCCTCACAGGCAAGCCAGTGGGCTGGTTACCGCATTTCCCCTTTTAACAGATGAGGAAATGGGGCCTCGGTGCCTTGCCCAGGAAAACTCGGCATGCAAGTTTCTTTGTTAACAGCTTTAGTTCCAATGCCAAGAGCAATGCTCAGCACATAGTAGGTGCTTTATAGAAAGAATGAATACATGAATGACAGACCTGGGATTTGAACCTACCTCTCTTTGACCCTATGCTTTTAAGAGCCCAGCTGTACTAGTTATATTTCATTAAAATATTTGGCTTTACTGCTAGAAAGAACATGACCCGATATTAACAATCATCCTAGCAAAGATAATATTTTATTGCCCTTTAACTTAAAAGTCGGGGACAGTGGTCCAGGGCTGATAAGGTGGGTCCATAACCAAGGAGTCCAGTTTCTTTCTCTTGTTCCAATATCCTCAACCCAAAACCTTCCCCCATGGGTTGAAGTGGCTGCTCCAGCTCCCACTATCACGCGTGCATTCCAGCCAACAGGAACAGGAAAAGAGGAAGGGGAGAGCTAGCCCCAGCCCATTAAGGGCATAACCTGGGAAGTTGCCCACATCTCTTCTGCTCACATCCCCATTGGCCAGAACTTGTCATGTGGTCATTCCTCACTTCAACTGAGGCTCAGAAATCTAAAATTTTTAGCTGAAGACCACATGTGTAGGGTCTTTTAGATCTGGTCATAAAAGAAAGAAAAGGAGCCTGCGCAATGGGAGATAACTTGAAGACACCGATGTGTTCACGTGGAGCACCCTGGGGAATTCAGTTCTGATGTGCGGGGCTTGGTGGGGAACCCGGGTTGTTGCTGGCATTACCTTGGGGCCCCTTGTCTAAGAGACTCCAATGGGACAGCCTTCTCCTCCCACCCCATGCTAGGATGCCAAGGACGGGCGCTTGTTCAATGAGCAGAACTTCTTCCAGCGGGCGGCCAAGCCTTTGCAAGGTATTCCTCAGGGAGGAGGGCAAGGGGGTGAGACTCGGGGGGGCCAGCTTGGTCCAGACAGCTGGCTTCTCCCTGAAGGTGTGGCAAGTGTGGGGGTTAAATAGAAGACCCAGATTTGCTCCTGTCACCCCTCAGTCCTCAGGCCTCACAGGACAGACAACGTGGGCTGAGGCCAGCTCATAACACCTCTTGAGAGCTGAGGATTAAGTTTTCAAAATTAGTTCAAGCCAGTTGTTAAACATAGCCATTATTTAAATTAATTACATCAACTAACCATCAAATAAATTAGATTAAAAACAAGGGTAATAAATACTCAAAACTCATCACTTCCCAATTTTTTGTCTACATTTCTGTTATCGATACACATGAGATTGGTTATGTCCATTGTATCTGGATGGTGAAAACACTATATAACTGTGTGCTACTGTGCATCTCTTCCCATCTGTACTTTCTGAGATGCCATATCAGTAGCTTGAAATTGACTATGGTGGGAGTATTTACACTACAGAAATCGGCAAATGCTACAAACCAGGGCTCTTTTGCCCTGGACAGCTAATTGTTCAGCTTTTATCAGCACACATTTGGAGCTGTACCATCCAACTGAGGTCCTGGAAGATGGGCTGACATCTAGTGACACCATGACCAGTTTAGACATTTCCTGATCTTATCAGCTATATATGTGGATTCAGAAGTTCTTTTGTTCTTACCCTGTCCACTCACTCCAGATTTGTATATTCTTTCTCCCACGTTCACTCCTTGTCACCTATAGACATAGATGACAGACATTCAAGCGTCAGCCAGGCCTACCCTGTCAGCACCCCGATTTGTCAGCCCACCCACAGAGGTGGCGGTCTCCAACCAGGAGACTCAGGGTCTGGCCTGGGCTTGGGCGCACGCTGTGTCTGGTCTGAGAATGGACTGTTGTCCCCATGGGCCTGGGACCCGGTGGGCTCTAACCTCTCAGGTCCCTGCCTCCCGTAGTGAACAAGTGGAAGAAGCTGTACTTGACGCCCCTGCTGGCCATCCCCACCTGTGTCGGTTTTGGCATTCACCAGGAGACGTACAGGTGGGTCACCTCCCTGGCCCCTTTCTTTCTCTTCCTGTCATGTGCTTGGCCATGGCTGGGACCCTGGAGCCATTGGCCCGAGAGCTGCTTCCTTCCTTTCTCCCGCTTTGAGCCAAGCTGGTCCCCGATCCGTCAGAACCCTTAATCTTGATGGGGACCAGGCCCTCATAGCTACCCAGCCACAGCCCCTCCGTGGTGGCCTTTGTTCTGCCTCCTCCCCTGGTCATCTCTCCCACCTCCTGGGATACACGTGTCTTCCAGGTTCTTGGTGTTCCCCAGGCTGGGGAGGAGCCTTCAGTCGGCCCTGAATGACAACCGGAAGCATATAATACCCATGCTGTCTGTGTTCCAGATGGCCTACCGGCTGGTAGGTATCTAGGCATCGCTGGCTCCCGGCCAGGGGGAGCCTGCCGGGTTCTGGTTTATCAGTCTGTCCATGGACACATTCACTTCCCTCTGCCAGGCACTGAGGCCCAGCACACTGACGGACATAGGTGAACACCAGGCCATTGGAACTGGGGGATAAGCATTACCATGCGGGGCGTTCCAGGGCCGTGGGAGTTGAAGAAGGGGCCCTAGCTTCAAATTGAGGGGTCCAATTGGGCTTCCTGATGCAGATCCTTTCTGAGGCAGGAGTAGGTGCTGGGTAGAGCGGGAGTGGAGATGAGTGAGGGGAATATTCCAGGCCAAGGATACAGCTTGGGCAAAGGCGTATATGGCAGAGGGAGCATAAGGCATTGGTTCATTCATTCATTCCCTCATCCATCCCTTCATTAAATATTTACCAGGTCCCTGCTGGGTGTCAGGCGCTGTCCCAGGGGCTGGCAGTATGGAAGGGACTAGCAGAGACATGGTTTTTGTGTCTAGTCAGAAAGGATGAAGTTAAACAACTGCACAAGTTATGAAAAGTTCCTGGATAGAAGTGTCCCCCTGCTATGGCGGCGAATAAGAGGACCCAATTTAAACTGGGGGAGAGATGAAAGTGGCAAGGGAGTGACACATCAGGTGAATCCCAAAGGTTTTTATGCTCAGAGTGCCTCTACTCTTATGCGGAGGGACAAAGGGCAAGAGATTGTGTGGAGGGGTCAGCAGGGGCCAGATCACACAGAGCCTTGAATACCAAGCTGAGGAGCTGGAACTCTGTCCTGAGGAACTGGGAAGCCGTGGGAGGATTGGGAGCAGGGGAGGGGCACTGTCAGCCCTGCCGGCAGAAGGCCCCTGTGGGCCTTGCTGGACGGGCGGGCGAGAAAGGTGGAGACGGAGGCCGGGTGAGGTCGGGGTGAGAGAGCGCGAGGCCTGAGGAGAGGCGTCAGGCTGTGGGGATGGAGAGCTTGTAGGACAAGCAGAACTTGGTGGACAATTAAGCCTTGGGGTCCAGGAGGCCTTGGGGATGTCATCATGATGTAACTAACACCAAGACAGTTCAGTATATGAGTCCGGAGCTCAGTGGAGAAGTCAGAGTGAGAGAGAAAAATATAAATTGCTTAACTAAATGTATGTCTGTTCTCTAGGAGAAATGAGAACTCTTTGATATACGAGGATGTTGGGTTTTTTGTTTGTTTGTTTTGGCAGGAGCCAACACGTAACCAATTTCTCCCCTGCCTAAGTTTGCAGTCAGCTAAGAAATAGATCTAAGAGACATATAGAAAACCAAATGTTAGCTTTACTGCTGAATTTTTTAACGACTTATTAGAAGACCTGCTTTGGTGTGCTCTCCAGTGGACTTCCTAATGCTCCCCCTGAAATGAGTCAGGCCTAACTCCCCACCACTGCCCCGGTCACAAGCACGCCGTACGACCGCAGGCCCAACAGTGGGGACTCAGTCATTGGGCTTTGCATCAGAGCCGGTTTGTGTGAGTCGTGCTGCTCATGGAGATCCTCTCTTCCTCCCCAGCTGGATGCCCTGGAGTTCCTCCACGAGAATGAGTATGTTCACGGAAATGTGACAGCTGACAATATCTTTGTGAACCCAGATGACCTGAGCCAGGTAATAGTCAGGTCTTCCCCACCTTGGGGACTCCCCGGGCTCAGGATCTCATCTGTCTCAAAACTTCGTTTATTTTATTTCAGTGTTTTAAATTCATTTTAGAGAGACAGGAATGGTCGGGGGAGAGAGAGATGGGGAGAGTGAGAGAGAGAGAAACATCAATTTGTTGTTCCACTTATCTGTGCATTCATTGGTTGATTCTTGTATGTGCCCTGACTGGGAACTGAACCCACAACCTTGGTGTTTCAGGAGGACACTCTAATGAACTGAGCTACCTGGCTGGGGCAAAACTAGCGATGAGCAACTTAGAAAAAATGGGCAAAGGTTAGGAAAAGCAGTTCATAGAAAAAGAAATCAACAGGCTACTTAAATATATGAAAAGATGCTCAACCTCCTTAATAATCATAGAAATGAAAATTAGAATATACTGGTTTTTTACCCTTTGGGTAGACAAAATTTAAAAGAATGATGATATCTATGGTGATAAAAGGATATAGAGGAATAAAATTTCAGCTCTCAACTTCCAGTCAAGATGAACGCATAGGTAGACATGCCTTGCCTCCTTGCATAACCATAGAAGGATCACAGCTAACCTCAAAACAAAAAACACCCAGAACTGCCAGAAAATAGAGCTGTATGGAAGTCCAACAACCAAGGATTTAAAGAAGCCATATTCATCCAGATGGATAGGAGGGGCAGAGACAGGGAGCCAGAGTGGAGGGGATGTGGTGTGGCAGCCGTCGGAACAGGGAGCCCCACATTCATGTGTGAATGATAAAAATTGGGAGGGTTACCTGGGGAGTGAGTGATCCTAGCCCCAGGCCAGACCACGCAGCCCAGGCTTCCTACGCTGGGAAAAATAAAACCTCATAATTTCGGCTGTAAAAACCAGTGGGGGTTAGGGTAGTGGAAGATACTGCTAGTCTCTCCAGAGAGTCTGTTTAAAGGGCCTGCACTGTCCTAGAACATACGCAAACCCACCCACTTTGGGAACCATCACCAGGGCAACAGCTAGAGAGGCCCCAGTTGCATACGGGAAGAGGGTAAAGTGACTGGAAATGGGGTAAGTGCCAAGCAAGCCTCCAGCAGCCAGGCAGCGGCATTGTTCCCTCTCTGACCCATTCCCTACATACAGAGCCACAAAAACAGTGAAGTGGGTTGCCCTGTCCTGGCAATTACCTAAGGCTCCACTCCATACGATGTGACAGGCGAGCCAAATCAGGGAGTCAGAGCAGGTCTACCTAATATGCAGAAACAAACACAGGGAGGCTGCCAAATTGAGGAGACAAAGAAGTAATGGCTCAAATAAAAGAACAGAACAAAACCCCAGAAAAAGAACTAAACAAAATGGAGATAACCAACCTGTCAGATGCAGAGTTCAAAACACTGGTGATCAGAATGCTCGAAGAACTCACTGAGTATGGCAAAAGCATAGGGAAGAAATGAAGGCTACACTAAGTGAAAGAGAAAAATCCACAGGGAACCAACAGTGAAGGGAAAAAGCCAGGGTTCAGATCAATGATTTGGAATATAAGAAGAAATAGTCAACCAAAACAAAATGAAGAAACAAGAACTCAAAAAAGTGAGGTGAGATTAAGAAGAATATGGGACATCAAGAAATTGAAAACTTATTTGAAAAAGATAATGAAAGAAAATTTCCCTAATTTGGTGAAGGAAGTAGACATACAAGTCCAGGGAGCACAGAGAGCCTCAAGCAAGTTGGACCCAAAGAGGACCACACCAAGACACATTATAATTAAAATGCCAAAGGTTAAAGATAAAGAGAGAATCTTAAAAACAGCAAGAGAAAAGCAGAGAGTTACATATAGAGGAGTTCCTATAAGACTATCAGATGATTTCTCAAAAGAAACTGCAGGCAAGAAGAGACTGGCAAGAAATATTCAAAGTGATGAAAAGCAAGGACCTACAATCAAGATTATTCTATCCAGGAAAGCTATCATTTAGAATTGAAGGGCAGATAAAGTGCTTCCCAGATAATGTCAAGTTAAAGGAGTTCATCATTACCAAGCCCTTATTATATGAAATGTTAAAGGGACTTATTTAAGATAAAGAAGAAGATTAAAACTATGAACATCAAAATGATAACAAAGTCACAACTATCAACAACTGAATCTAAAAACCTAAAAATAAACTAAACAACTAGAACAGAACCATAAATATGGAGATCATTTGGAGGGTTAATGGCAGGGAGGGGAAAGAGGGAGAATGGGGGAAAAGGTACAGGGATTAAGAAGCATAAATGGTAGGTACAAAATAGTCATCGGGATGTTGATAATAGTAAAGGAAATGGAGAAACCGAAGAACTTACACGCACAACCCACTGACATGAACTAAGGAGGATTGCTGGAGGGAAGGGGGGTACCGGGTGGAGGAGGGGCAAAGGGGGGAAAATTGGGACAACATAGTAGCATAATTCATAAAATATACTTTAAAAAGGAAAGAAAAATGATTTATATTCTGTTAGAAATATGAATTTGGCAACCTCTTTGGAAGGTAATTTGGATATAGCAGTCAAAATTTTAAATGCATGTTTTTTTGACCCACGAGTTCCTCTTTTAGGAATATATCCTGTCCATATATTCATAGGACTGTTCAGAGATATATGTATAAACATGCAGTGTTCCTGACAACACTGACTGTAACAGTAAAATGGGAAAACCTTAAATATATACTCCCAGTAGGGTACTAATTAAATAGTGTTTTAAAGTAAATTCTAATTACTTTCTCAAATTACATGATTTAAGCGAAAAAAAAAAAAAAGGGATGGGTCTGATATATTGGTCCAGGGAGTGGAAAAATCGAGGACTTCCTGGTTTCAGGCATGACTGAAGCTAGGAACTCAAGGCCCATCATTGGGAAACGGTCTCTTCCCTCTCAGGGCTCTTCTCGTTTGTGCATCCGTCCTTGCCAGGCAGACTCTTCCCTCAGGCTGACAAGGCCACCAGCAGCAAATTAGGCTTCGATCCCCTCAGCTTAGCAACCCAGTGGAAATAGATCAGGTGAGCCTCACCTCAATCACGTGGTATAAGAGCTGGAGAGAGGTGATCCCAGGGAAAAATCCTCAGACAGTATTAGTCAGAGCTCTCCAGAGAAACAGAACCAACAGGATATACAGGAAGAAATTGATTATAAGGAATTGGCTCGAGCAATTAATGTACAGCAGCAATTTTCAACCAGTGTGCCACGAGAATTTTTAAAACATGCAATAGCCGACGAGTCAGTCAGGGGTGCTGACCTCTTTTCCCTTAGATTGTCAACATTTTTTAAAAAGGACAACACACTAGTAGCTGTCCACGGTGAGTGAATCAAAATTGTACCTATTCGTTTTGTCAGAACAACAAAATATGTATTTTTTTGGTGTGCTGCAGAATTTGAGTAGTTAGTTTATGTGTGCCATGAGATGAAGAGGGTTGGAATTCACTGGTGTACAGAATTGTACACAAAGTGACCTTTTGGAAGGAATTGGCTCGCACAATTATGGAGACTGAGAACCTCAAGATCTGCAGTTGGCAAGCTGAGGAGCAGGAAGGGCTGCTGGTGCAGCTCCAGCCAGTCCAAAGGCCTGAAAACTAGGAGAATTGACTGTGTGAGTTCTCGTCTGAAAAGCTGGCAAGCTCAAAGCCCAAGAAAAGTCAATGTTTCAGTTCAAGTCCAAGGCTGGAAAAGGCAGATGTTCCCACTCAATCTTTTTGTTCTCTTCAAGCCTTCAACTGTTGGATGAGGCCCGCCTGCATTAGATAGAGCAATCTGCTTTACTTAGACTATGATTTAAATGTTAATATATCCAGCCCTGGCTGGTGTGGTTCGGTTGTGTATAGTCCTGCAAACTGAAAGGTCGCAGGTTCAATTCCTGGTCAGGGCATATGACTGGGTGGTGGGTTCGGGCCCCAGCTGATGCTCATGCAAGAGGCAACCAATTAATGTTTATCTTCCTCTCTTTCTCCCTCCCTTCCCCCTCTCTAGAATCAATAAAAGGAAAAATATTTAATATTAATCTTATTGAGAGACACTCTCACAGATACACCCAGAATAATGTTTGGTCAAATGTCTGAGCACCCAGTGAGGTTACACGTAAAACTAAATATCACAAACTGTGACCAGAATAAAAGGCTGTAGATCTCTCATGGACAAAACCAATAGTTGTCCATTGTCCAAATGGCAGAATACAATGAGCTATCAAAACGCAGATGGGGCTGTGTGTCTGACTGATAAGCACTTTGCTTTTTGTTTTCAACTCAGTTAAGCCTCATAACAACCCTGCAAGGTGGGAACTATCATTGTCTTCACTTTACAAATGGAGGAATCAAAGCACAAAAAAGTTCCATAACTCGCCCAAGGTTGTGCAGCCCCTAAGGGCCACGCTGGCATTTGTATCTGACCCGTCTGGCTCCGGAGCTGATGCCCGAGCCACTCTTGAAATGCAAAAAGCGGGGTGCCCGACAGGAGGTGTAGTGTGATCCTGTCGCAGAAAACTAGAGCCCTTGCTCCGTCCACATGTGTTTACCAGTTATTTAAAAAAAACTATTTGAAACAATAAGAAACTAGTATCAGTGGTTACTTCTGGGTGATCGGTTTAGGGGGCTGGGTTGCGATAGGGATGATTGGTTTAGGTTCTTTTCACTTTACACTCTTTTGTTCCGTTGGGCATTTGTTTCCCGTTATACCCACGATTGCACGGTCTGATTCCAGAGTCCAAGCTCCTAACCTCCAAACTGTATGGCTTTTCCCCATGCCCACACAGGTGACCCTGGCAGGTTATGGCTTCGCCTTCCGCTATTCCCCGGGGGGCAGACATGTGGCCTACGTGGAAGGCAGCAGGAGCCCCCATGAGGGGGACCTGGAGTTCATGAGCATGGACGTGCACAAGGGATGCGGTAAGAGGCCAGAGAAAGGCGTCGGGACCGTGGAGACACGCTTCTCCTACAAGGGCAGCTCTAGGTTTTCCCAGCCATGGACAGCAGATGTCCAGACGCTGAGGTCACCTAAAGGAGCCGTGATAGAGAGTTAGAATTAAGAATAGTGTCCCCAAGCGTTGAGGAGTTATGAGTAGTGGTTCAGCACCAATGACAGAGGGCACGAGGAAGCCCTGCGCGTCCAGAGGTTCAGATTCAGGATCCGGTGGAGACCTGGAACATGGCATTCGCCCACGAGTCACCCAGGAGAGGCTTCTGAGGAAGCAAGTGGCTCTCTGTGTCTGCAGCACAGGAGAAAACTCTGGACGGAGGCTCAGATGTCGGCAGGATCTCAGGAGCTGTCAGCTGAAGCCCTGGGACAGGATGAGATTATCCAAGGAGAGTGTACAGTGAGCAGGGAGCCCAGGGCCGGTCCCCTGAGGAGGTCTCAGCCCCTCTTTCCCAAATCCCTTGATATCACGGCCATCCCGGAGCCTGTGTCCTCCCACCAGACTGAGCTCTGAGCCCACCCAGGGAAGGGGTGGCGCCTGCGCCCCTGGCATCAGGCGGCAGAAGGTCTGGCACAGCCAACTCAGTGCTTGCTGAATGTTTACATGAATTGTCCAAATCATGATGTTTAGGCAACATAACAAAAATAAGGCCCAGCGGTCGTCTGCTCCCCAGCGGAGGCTGTATTCAGCGCCCGGCCCTCTCTCCCTCTTGCCCTGTTCTGTGTCCTCTAGCTCAAGTAATCCCACGGTACCACCCTCCCGCCACTAGACTGAAGGACCGGGACCCGACCGAACTCTTGTCCACAATTTGGGAAATTGGATGGGGCCTGGTGCACAGGGCTCTGAGGGCTCCTCGAATGCATGACAGACAAGCAGTGAGGAGTGAGCTAGTGACAGCGGGGATGAAGGGACAGCTGAGAGCGTGAGTGGGAGTCAGAGGGACACAAGGGTGAGAGTGGGCGAGTAAAGAGTGAATGTGCAGCGGGAGCCCGCGCATCTGGGTGCTTGGGTGCTTGGGTGTGTGTGTGCGTGCGTGGGTGCGTGCGTGCTTGGCTGAGTCAGTGAGAAAGAGAGGAAGGGGGAGGGCGTGGCAGGGAGTGGAGGCTCCAGACTGAACTGCCACCTCTTTCCCTCCCTCCCCAGGCCCCTTCCGCCGCAGTGACCTCCAGACCTTGGGCTACTGTCTGCTGAAGTGGATCTACGGGACCCTGCCGTGGACAAAATACCTTCTCGACGTGGAGGCTATCATGAAGCTGAAACAGAAGTGAGTCTGGGGGTCAGCAGAGCCCAGCGCTGGCCCAGCACCCATGCAGGAGGGGCACAAGCTCAGGGCCCAGCAGGGGACAGAAAGGAGAGGGAGGCGGAGTCTAGCAGAGCCAGGGCCTCTGCCATCCTCAGGCGCTTGCTCTACCGCCTATTCCAGCAGACGAGAGCGTGGGCTCTCGAGCCCCACAGCCTGGGGTCAGTCTCTGGCCCCGCTGCCGCAGGGGGTTGGGTGGGCCGCCTAACCTCCGCAAGCCTCAGTGAGGTGGGACCCTGTTAGCACCCGCTGCGGGGGGCTGTGGAAGGGCAGTAGGTACACAGCATCAGTGGAGAGCCTTGCCTGTGGGAAAGGCCTGGGCCCTGCCTCAGCACAGGGCAGCACCAGCGCTGGTGTTCACACCCCACTCCCTCACCTCTGCGTGTAAAGCCACCAGATCCCGCTAGTTCTGTTTAGACGTTCAGCACCAAGGACAGCGCCCTCCTGCCCCCGCGGCGTGGCGGGGGCTCCTCCTTGGCTGCGAAGGGGAGTGCGGAGACGTGCGGTTCAGCACCAAGGACAAAGGCATCTGTTTGCAGAGGGAAGTGTGGCCCGTGAGGTTCAGCGCCGCGGGCAGGGAGCAGCCCGGCGCACAGGGGAGTACGCGGGACCTTGGTCCTCAGTGCCAAGGACAGTCGGTGGGCAGCGGGACGGACACAGGGAAGCGCTGCGGGCCCAGAGGACGGGATTCGAGATTTGGTTTAGACTTGAGGCTGAGAGCTGCCCAGGAGTCATCTAGCAAGGGTCATCCAGGAGATCGTTGGCTGTCAGTGTCTGAAGTGCAGAAGTGAAGTCTAAGCGGAGATTCGGGCCTCAGATTCGGGCCTCAGCGGTGCCCCAGGAGCCGCCAGCAGGAGCCCTGGGAGGGGCGAGCTTTTCCAGGGAGAATGTGCAGAGGGGCAAGAGGGAAATCTCTCCAGTAAACAGCATAGGGTCCGCAGTGTTTCTCAGTTCTTAGCCGGCTGTGTTCCTCCTAAGCCTCACTTGTTTTATTTTTCCCCTTCAATGTCCCCCATCCTCCTCCTCTCGCCCGTGGACACCCACTCCAAGGTGCTAATCCATGTTCTACTCGTGCGTTTGCTTAAATGTACAACGTGCATGACGGTGGTGGTACTGCGTGGGTTTGACCTGCATAAATGCTGTTCTCTAAATCTAATCTGTTCCTGGCTTTTTTCACACAGCACTGTGTTCCTCAGCTTTAACCTCATCGTTCCATGTGCGTCGAGTTTACTGCTTCTGACTACTGTTTTTCAATAAGTTTGTATAGATATGTCTGTGTCCTTAACCACTGTATGCTGAGTGTATTTACTTTGCATAAATAGTACTCTGCTCTAAATTCCATTGTTTCTTGCTTTCTTTCACTCAGTGCTGTATTTTTGAACTGTCAGCTGCATCGCCAGTTCGCTGCCTCTGCCTACTCCTAACTTGGCTTCTTGAAATGTATCTCTGTCCTTGAAACGTACGTCATGGTGCCGTTGGGTGTGTTTGCCATGAATGGTTCAGTGCCCTGAATGTCCTCCCCCTTCAGGTTCCAGTTTAACCATCGGCGCCCGGGCAGCCCTCCCCTCACCCTCCCGCTGGCGCACGCGCGGAGGAGGGCGTTTGCCCGGCACAGGGGCCTGCTCCTGAGGCCCTGGTCAGGGCTAACGTTTGTTTTGCCGCCGCCTGCACCGGGTCTTGTGCCCAGTGCTTCCCTGCGTCATCCTCAGAGCAATTCTGGCCACCCGAGGCCCAGAGAGCTTAGGCCATCGGCCCAGGTCTCCCAGCTACTAAACGGAGGTGCTGAGACAGACACCAAGGTCATCTGACTCCAGAGAAGGCCCTTTCACTTCACAGCGCGTGCCTCCCAGCGGGGAGACAGGACGGGCCCTCCTCCACTGGGCACCCAGCCACTGGGCGCCCACCACGCTCCAGGCTCTGCTCTGGGCCCCAGGGCGCAGGGTTAAGTAAGGCTCGCCTCCCCGCCCGCCCTCGGGGAACTCACACGCCCGCTGCGGGGGACCGAGAGGGGAGCACAGAGCACGTCAGAGCTCAGACCGCTGGGGCGGTGAGGCCAGAGCCCTGGGGGTCCTCTGGGGACCCGCTGGGCGTGAGCATGTGCCGCTCTTTTAGACTTAATGGCCAGGGCGGGTCTCATGGTGAGAGTGACAGTCACCTCCAGGAGGCAGTGAGGCAAGGAGGAGGTCTCACTTTGGTGCTGACGTGCCCCTAATGTCCCTGTGGAACGAAGGAAAGACAGAGACAGAGCGAGGCCTTCAGCTCCCAGGCTTCCGCAGGCTACCTCTGCCTCAGAACCTGCCAGAACGTGCGGCGTTGCCTTGTTTTCTCAGAACTTACTGTTGCACTTACTCTCCAGTTTTCCGTGTTTGAAATGGAGCTGGGTGAAAACAGCGAGTCACAGAACGGGTGACACAGGCGGCGCGCCCTGCCCGTTCGCTGACGCGTCGAGTGTGACCGACGTGCGGGACCTGCTCCTGTACGCGTTTCCGTTGGGTTAGTTAGGGACCAGGCTGAGCCGCTCTTGCGAGGAGACCCCACGACACTGTGGCTCCCACAAGGCAGATGTGTGCTTCCCTCTCACAGACAGTCCCAAGGCAGGAGGCTGAGGGTGGTGGGTGCCACAACCCTTTCAACGTGCACACGTCCGCCTCTGGGTACCGGCCCTGCTGCCCCTGTCTCCCGTGGCTTTGAAAGGGCGGGACCAGAAATGACACATGTCTCTTGGTCACGTAGCCACCCTGGGCTGCAGTGGGCTTGGGAAGCATCCCCAGCCTGTGGCTGCTGACCCCTAGGATCCTGCCATTAAAGAGGGGAGGCGACCCTGGGCGGCAGGTAGCAGGTCCTCCACGGTGCCACCTTGAGTCGCATTTCTGAGGACAGGGGCCACATCGTGCCGTTCCCAGCACAGTGCTGGGCGTGTTGTGAGCGCCCGTGGAACCGCTGTGAAATAAACGTAGTGAGCCTTCATTCTCGGGCCTGGGCTTCTGTGTGGACATGTGGGTCAGGCAGGCAGGCCCCAGCCCTGGGGGTTCCCAGGCTGGGGAGAGACGCTCGGGCAGGAAGCAGACACTGCGTGTGACTGTGGAAGTCCCCGGGGTGTTGTGGGAGCAGAGGGGAGGCATGAGACCTGGCCTCGGCCCACTGGAGCTTTGACCCAGAGAACGCCTGGCCCAGTCTGAAGAGAGCAGTTACTTCCCGGCAGGCGAGGGGGAAGCGAGATTTCCAGGCAGGCAGGATAGCACCTATGGGAACTCTTCATTCATTCATTCGCTCATGTCGACCTCTCTTCCCAGGGCCTCAGTGTGCCAGCCCCTGGGCTGGGAAATGCTGGAGTCAGCTGAGGGCACCTCTTGTCATCGGTGGAACCTCCTGCGGAGGCTCCGATGGCTTGAATCCTCTCTCCCTCTTCTTCCCTAACTCCTAAGAAGTCACGTCACCCTTTTCACGCCTCTCCCTCCCACCTTCCCCTTCGCAAGAGCTAACTGATGACCTCAGGAGCCTCACTCAGAGGCTCTGCGATCGCCAAGTTGGTACAGAGCACATCAAATGGGTCCTACTAATCGTTTTAATATCAATGATTTCAGTACAAGGAGCAGTTCATTCCAGAGCCCCAGAGCCCAACCACAAGTGCGGAGGGAGGGGGGGCAGTGAACAGGCTCGGCAGGGAGACCTGAGCTGCAACACAGCCATCGTTGGGGACTCCACGCCCAGACTCGGGGCATCCTATCAAAAGGAACCACGAGGGGGCGATGTTGGAGCATGCAAGTTTTCTGGGACCCTAACTTGTGCTCTTCTAGGACCTCTTAGTGGTTGGTACATGTGGCCTTTTTTGACTCACTCAACAAATATTTGTTCATTTTCTTGTACCTCCCAGTTCATGCCAGAATGAATGACTAAGAGGAACAGAAGGGACAGTCGATGCCCCAGGGCTTTCTGGCGGGAAAGTCCCAGCTGGGAAGGCACCGATGTGACTGCTCTTAAGGCTGCCAGCTGGGCAGGAAAGGCCCACAGGCACTGACAGCGACAGCCCGTCGGGGAGGAGGGCTCACCTGCTCTGTCACGCGTTCATGCACCGCGCACACCCTGGGGCTGCGAGGAGAAGGGTCAGACCCGCCCTCCCTGTGCACGCGTGTTGCCAGTTGCTGCAGAGGCCTGTGGACCTCGCACAGGGTGCGAGCGAACTGGCATCGTCTTCCTTCGCCTGGAGGGGCGAGGGGGAGGGGAAGCTTCCAGGAGACCAGCCCTTGAGCTGTGTCCCAAAGCGGGAGCAGCCACCTAGTGGGGACAAGGCCGGGGAAAGCCGTCCCGGGCAGGGAGAGCAATATGTGCGGAGGCCAGAGGATGCAGGTGGATTTTGACTGATTAGGGGACCAGGAAGAGGTTGGTGTGGCTGGAGCACGAGAAGAGGGGAGGGCTGTGAGCTGGGAGGGGCAGAGGCAGCTCTGGGCGCGGAAAGGCTCTCTGGGGCCATGCGTGGGAGGCCGGGGTCCAGGGAGAGGGTGAGGCCTGAGCTGGGCCCAGAGCCTTGCGCAGAGTGGGGGATGGGGCAGAGAGGGCTGGGGAGCAGGAGGGTGCGGCTTGGGACTTCCGGGCTGTGGGGGGAGGAAAGGACGGAGCCCAGGGTCTGGGTGGGTGGTGGGGAGCCAGCCCAGGGGTCCAAGCCAGTGAAGATAAGCCAAGGATGCAGATGAATTTCCATGTTTCCCGGGTGGTCCAAGAGGAATGTGTATGTGTTTATACGTGCATGTGTATACAAATGTTTGTGTGTGGATGGATGGTCACTCTTCGTCATTCACACGTTTCATATTTGGGCATTTGCCTGTTCACTCGAGTGTATCTGTAGCCCCAAAATCAACACTCAACAGTGCCTTCATGGTCATTCTCGGACACGTGCGGAGTGGACAAAATTTAGGGTTGCCCGACACCCACGATCCCCGCTGTCAGACAGATGTAATCTACCATATGAATGAATATATGAAAATATTTTAGTAATTCTTCATTGATAAACATTTAGACTGTCTCCAACTTCCTGACATTATAAACTCTTTACTCCTTTTTCTCTTTACTGGGTTTTGGTTTAAATACCAAAGCAAGCCGTGCTCCGCCTTCTTAGTTCAGCTCTCACTGTAAACCAGTGGCCTATTTTATGCCACATTTTCCACCTTTTTGTGTGTTGTTGTTTTTTTACTTCATTCTATCAAGTGGCCCCAGGTGCACTGTCCCTCTCGGAAGCACGCCCACACCTTTCTTCCCTCTCAGGAGCGCTCTTCCGAAAGTCTCAGGGCCCCCGCGGGACGGGCAGTCAGGGGAGCGCCGGGCAGCGGCCGCTCATCCCGGACTAAGTCCCCGACCCTGGCCCCAGGGCCCCTTCTCTCTGACTTCCCAGCGAGCGAGGGCAGCGCCACCTTGGCTCACTTCTTTCCTGTAACACCTCTAGCCGAAGCAGCCCCGCCTGGGCTCTCTCCTGTCGCGTCTTCTAACCTAGGCCCTTCCTTGTTTCACTGTCCGCAGCCCTAATAAACGTACTCTCACAGTCAGAAAATAAAGAAACAATGCAGCAGCCCCAAGCGTAGGGCTGAAGTGCTGTCTCGTGTCCCTCAGTGTCGGAGGCCGGGACGTGCCTCCAGGGAAAAAACCGCGTGTTAGATGAGCGAGCCCCCTTCAGGCGCAAGCACTGTGCTGTTGCCTGTGAGCTCCCTGTGGATAAAATCTATGTTATGTTAAGTAAGATGTCTTCAACACAAACACATAAAACCAGGTTATTATCTATTGATCAGTTGATGAAAATGTCGTGAGCAGCCCGGGCTGATGTGGCTCCGTGGATTGAGCGCCGGCCTGTAAATCAAAGGGTCACTGGTTCACTTCCCAGTCAGGGCACAGGCCTGGGCTGCGGGCCAGGTCCCCAGTTGGGGGTGTGTGAGAGGCAACCAATCAATGTTTTTCTCCCTCTTTCTCCCTCCTTTCCTCTCTCTCTAAAAATAAATAATTGAAATATTTAAAAGAAAATGTTGTGACCAGAGGCTCACAGGAACCTAATGCTATGTTTCCCCTACGAGCAGATTCAGAAGTTGCTAATTCAGCGTTCAAGGTGAACCCACAGGGCGTAACTACACAGATAATAAGCATCTACTCTATGGCTATGAGACGTTTTGTTTAAATGGTGGCTCTCCCTTCCCCAAAAGACCTTCGCATGTCCCTCTGTCCTCTCAGGTTCCTTGACGACCCGGAGGCCCTCGTGGGACACTACAGTTGCCGGATGAGTCCCTCAGGTATGTCCTGAAGGGGAGGGACAGGCACGGGCCGTGGCGGGACAGGGTTGGGGGGGGCTTGGATCCATGTGAGGTCATCTCTCTTTAACACACCTTTGTTGTCTTTGAGTTTTTCAAATTGCATGTGTGTATGTGCTCATTGCAGAAAAACAAAAATCTTCCCCCAAAATTCAGACGTGTCTGAAGAATAACAACAGACACGCACAGACAGCCTCGGTGTGCACCCCGACCAGGCTCGAACTAGTAACCTTCAGTGTCCGGGATGGCGCCCCAACCAACTGAGCCACCCAGCCAGGACATAATGATTTTTTTTAATGGAATCATATTCTGCATATTGGTTTCCAACCTGTTTTGTTTTTTTTTTCCATATAAGAAGAGTTTACCTTGGAGATTTTCTGTATCTGTGTTTGCAGAGTTTTGTCAGTATTTTTATTTTGTGGTAAAATATACCTAATGTCAGTAATTTAAAACTGCGGTTGTGACTCATTAGCCAGTCATGAAATTAATTTAATGGGTCGAAAATAAGAATTTTTTTATTTTTTTATTTTTAGTCAGGGGAAGGGAGGGAGAAAGAAGGAGAGAAACATGAATGTGTGGTTGCCTCTCACGCATGCCCTCCACTGGGGACCTGGCCCACCACCCAGGCCTGTGCCCTGACTGGGAACTGAACTGGCGACCTTTTGTTTCTCAGGCTGGTGCTCAATCCACTGAGCCACCCCAGCCAGGATGAAAATAAGATTTTTAAAAATTTAAAAGAACAGAAAGAACATTAGCGCTTTGCAGGAATTAAGGAAATGTGAGACATTAGTTTCAGAAATACATATTTATACTCATATAAGTATGTGGGTAACAGGTTATAATGTAAAATATATTTCTAATTATGTTTCAGTTTTTAAATATTTGAAGAGCAGTGGTCCCTCTAGGTACAACAACCCAACATATAATACATGATATAATCTACCATATGAATGAGTATATCAAAATATTTCAGTAATTCTTCATTGATAAACATTTAGACTGTCTCCAACTTCCTGATACTATAAACTCTTTCCTCCTTTTTTTCTTTACTGGGTTTTGGTTGAAATACCAATCTAATGGTTGCTTATATAATAATTTAAACCAAACAGAAACATGTTAAATAAAAAGTGAAAGTTCCTGTCCCTTCCTTGTCCCTTCCCCAGTCATCGTACTTCCAAAGAAATACAGTGAGTACATATCAGTTATCTTTTGCTTCGTAATAAGCCACCTCAAAACATACTGACCTGAAACAACAGCCATTTCATTTCTCTCTGACTCTTTGGAGTAACAGTCAGGCCAGGTTCAGCCGGGTGGTTGAGGGGCTGGTCTTCACGCCAGTGCTGCATCCACGGTGGCTCCACTGGGGCCGGTGGCTTCAAGGGCCCCTCTCCCTCTTGTCTGGCGATAGGTGCCGGCCTGCCACGGGCAGGACTAGGAGGCCCCAGCCGCGATGGCTCATCTCGGCTCCCCTGGTCCCGCGTCCCCCGGCCCCCAGCAGGCTCGGGGGGCTTCCTCGCCGCTGCCCCTGGGGCAGCGTTCCAGGCGGGCAGGAGTGGACCGTGCCGGCCACGGGGGTCCCAGGGCGGCTCTTCTGCCACGTTCACACCCGCCGCAGGGCCCGCCCGCCCTCCGGAGGCGGGAGGCAGCAGCCGAGGGGCAGGCAGGCAGGGATGGAGTCCTGCGGTCTGCGGCCAGCGCAGATTAATGTGTGCACACGTGGCTTGGTTTTACAAAACCGTTAGTTTTTACAAAACTCTTTTTGTAAAACAAAAACAGTCACCCTGCATACGTTTTGGTCGGCATCTTACTTTTCACGTTAATTACCATTCGGCCGTCCCTGTCGTTACTCGCACATCAGCCATCGCAGTGGTTTTTACAGCTGCTCCATATTGGTGGTTTGACTAAACCTTCATTTTTAAGGCCAATCCCTGTTACTGGAGATTTAGGCAGTTTTTGTTTTCTCTCTGTGTGTGTTTTTCCTCACTGTTCTTTCTGTAGAACTTGGACACCGCTCTCTAAGCCAGAGGCAGAATGAGACAGACACGGTACTCTGTCCTCTGGGGCTCTGTAAGGGCTCACTCTTTCATTGCCTGAAACCTCTGTCTGGGTTCAGTCCCTGGCCGGGCTGCCCAGGTCACTCTCTCGTCCAGCCTTGTGCTCTCTGTCCTCCAGGAAGGAGCCCCCAGCTCGCAGGCCGGGGCAGGGCTTGCGTGATGGACGGGCGGTGAGGGCGGGACTGGCCCTCCTCGGGGAGGATGGAGCGGCCCCTAGTCCGGTGCCAGCCCGGGGAAGTTCAGTGGGTAATGTGCCTCTCTGAGCCTCAGCTTGTGTGCAGAGCGGCCAGTAACGGACCCCACGTCCGCAGTTGCCCAGAGAATTGAATGCAGAACGGCCTGTGCAGAGCTGGGCCCAGGGACCTGCCTCAGCTTCCGCTGCAGCCCCAGCTATCCAATAAATGAGCTTTTCAGTTTAGTTCAGAGTGTCCAGCCTGTGGTAGACATTCCCCACGTGGGGACTATGACTGCTCTGGGTATGGCCATGGGCACTTTTTAAGAGAGCGATGATGATATTGCATTTATTTAGGGGGGAAAGAAACAATGACAAAATCTTTATCATTGAAGCTGTGTCCCTGAGGCCTGTGAATGTAAAGGCAGAGTTGTTTCACATGTTGAAGTGGTCAGGGGTAAAAATGAAACGATTACCAAAACTTGCCCGAAAGTGCAGGCTGCAGCGCCGCCACGTCTAGGCACAGCCGTGCCATTCACATCCCCGTTGTCTGTGGTTGCTTTTGTGCGAGAGCAGCTGAGTGGAGTTTTTTCGGTCTCGGACCAACCAAAAATACCGGGCTTTACAGTAAAAGTTTGCGGGTCCCCATTTTAAGGACCCACTAAATATTTACAGGCCAAATGCCATAATTAGCGGGGCTCTGCTTTCAGACAGTGCAGGAGGGGAGATGGTGGGGTCTGAGAGAAACGACACTGGCTGAGTTGACAGTCGCTGAGGCTGGGTGATGGGCTCGCGGGTGTTCACGATACGGGCCCCTGTTGCGTGTGTCTCAGTGCCTGCGGCAGTGCCACGCCCAGAGGCAGCGCTGAGCTGACGGGCACCGCAGGGGAGACGCTGAGGGCGCCGCCCCCGTGGGCTGTGGGCTGGGGCCGCTCTCAGGCCTCTGCCCTGGCGGGGGTGTCTTGACCACAGAGGCGCCGCAGGAGTACCTGAAGGACTACCTGAAGGCGGTGATGGCGCTCAGGTACGACGAGAAGCCGCCCTACGCCGTGCTGCGGCTCAAATTGGAAGCCCTGCTGAAGAAGCTGCGGGTGTCGGCCTACGACCCCCTGGACCTCCACGTGGCGCCATAGGTGGGTTCCGGTGGGAAGAGTCGGAGTCAACCCCCAGCCCCGCCAGCCCCAGCTCCGCTTTCCAGGCGGCATTTGTTGTTTATTCCGGGGCCAGCTTCCTAATGAGATGCTGGATTTTCCACAGGGTTCTTGAACTTTCCAAACCCAACCCCCACAGGCAATCACAAGCAGCAGAAACCCAACGCAGATTGGCTTTTAGAAGGAGGGAGATTGCCCTGGCTGGTGTGGCTCGGTGGATTGAGCGCTGGCCTGCGAACCAATGGGTCTCTGGTTCGATTCCCAGTCAGGGCACATGGCTGGGTTGAGGGACAGGTCCCCAGGAGGGGCACGCAAGAGGCAACCACGCGCTGATATTTCTCCCTCTCTTTCTCCCTCCCTTGATTGACATTCACAGCCTAGAAAATAGCATCGAGATACTGTCTGTCCCTCCTCTTATAGTCTCTGCTGGCTCCCTTGCCCCACACACACACACACACACACAAAGCCTCCCTGGCTTTGTGCCCTTGCCCCTTGCACTTCCTGGTTCATCTCGCAGCCCCTCCTGCAAGCACAGGACATCCCTGTTTATGGCAGTGCCGTATTCCATGCAGATGAAGGGTGCTCTTCATAACTTCGCTCACTCCCCCGGCCCAGCCGTTTGTTTCACAGCCGGCGCCACCTCACCGCCTTGGTGTGCGCCGCATCTGCGATGAGTAGGCTGCCCTCACTCGGGGCTGTGTCTCTTTATTCCCCCACGTGCACCACGTGAGAGAGTGTACAGGAATTTTAGGGAGGTCAAAACTAAACTCGCTTTGCTAACAGCTTTGGCAAGGCTGCGGGGATGTTCTGAAGAGGAGCTTCCCCAAGACCGCCCTCCGTCCGTGGAGCTGAAATCTCTCTCCTCGGGGCCGGCTGGAATTCAGAGCTCCACGTTGGTCTAACTCAGGCATTCGCAGGCGGAGGCGAGAACAGATGGGGGCATTTGTCACTGCGGACATTCTTTGTTGTCACCACGGGGGAGAGGGTGCTACCGTGGGTGGAGCCTGGGGCTGCTGCTCAGCGCCCGCAGCGCACAGGCCTGTGCACCGCAGACGGTCACCACTGGAACGGCCAGCAGGCCTGGCTGAGGGAGCCGGGTCCACAGCACCCGCCTGGTGGCAGCCACAGCTCTCTCCCTGGTGGCACTTTGGTTACACTGCTTTCTCACTCCTGCCCCATCACGCACATCCCAGGGCGGACAATGCGAGATCACCCGTGGGCAACGCCCTTCGCACAGGCCTGGTCCCGGAGCACTCACAAAATGCCAGGGTGAGGGTGTGGGTTGTTCTGCGGGGTCCTAAGCTCTCAGCCTGAACAACAAACACTCTCCGAAAGCGGAGGCGTCTCCACCCGGCGTGCCCAGTCCGTCTCTCCAGCCTGGCAAGCGGCTGCCCTGTCCCCGAGCTGCCCACAGGCCTCCGGGTCCTCCCCACGCCCCTCCCTCCTTCAGCCATGTCCCTCCTAGTCCGTTCTCTCCAAGCCTCCGCCCCCTTCCTCCCCGAGGCGGTGGACTGTGCGGTCCCTTGTCCTAGTCCCTGCGGGCAGCGGGCCCAGTGCGGGCGGGATCATGTCTTTCTGAGCATCCGTCTTTCCTGCGCGTGCTGCTGGGTGCGCCTGTCTTTATCGAGGGGCCCCGGCCTTCAGGACGGTGTGGCTCTGTCGTGCCTGCCTTCCTGTGTGCCCAGACAATGGCCCCTTTCAGGGTCGCTGCAGTTCCAGATCTGCTTACTCTCTGGGACCTCTAATTCAGGAGCAGGTTTGTCCCTTGGGTAGGAACGAAATAAGATGCTGTTTAAGGAGCCCAGGGACCTTGGAGTAACTTAAAGGTCATCTCACTCCTGCCGTGTGGCCACTGCTCGCCTTGGCCGGGGGCCTGACTTCCCCTCCCCCAGTCCACTGTGCCAGCCACCGTCCCCCTTTGCATGCCAGCCTCGGCCAGGCTCACTCCTGCCTCAGGACCTTTGCGCTGGCCATTGCCTTGGTCTGGAACCCCTTCTTTTTTTTTTTTTTTTTTTTAATTAATTTATTTACTTTTTAAATACATTTGTCTCTGCCTTCCCCCCCCCCCTGGAACCCCTTCTTCCTTCCATTTTTGTGCGGCTGGCTCCTTCTCATTTCTGGCCCTCAGGTCCTGAGGCCCCCTGATCGCCCCGCCCTTGGGGGGCCTCCCCACCTCCTCTCTCATCACGTCCCCTCTCCTCTGCACAGCCCTGTTCCCCTCCAGGGAAGTAAGTGTTGACTTTGTGGCGTATCCACCCTCCTCTCACCGCAGGGCCTTAAAGGGAGCTCCTTGAATGCAACTCACGAGACACTCACAGCGATTTTTATTGTCTTCCAGAACTTTCAACTCCCAGCCTGAAATAGAAAAAAAAAAAGTGAGAAGAATTGTGACTCCAAGCCTGCTGTAGATGAGCTTCTAGAAAGATCCCTCGAATGTGCATTCCTGCCACTTCTTTCAAAGATACTGCTTGTCAATCTCGATGAGCGTCAGGGAACCTGGCAGCTGGGCTCCCCGTACTGTGAACGGCCTCCCCCTGGCTGCCCCGTCCTTTCCGCCGGCAGCCGCTGGGGGTGTGAACGGAGAAGGTCCCCAACCCACAGACGGGGTTGAGCCGGCCCCTCAGCGGGACCCTTCCTATCACTGGCACCACTGTGCTTTGGTAATAAATTGTTTCACTGGAGCTTGGAGAGTTGCGTACCTGCAAAAGAAGTTCCTCGTGAAAAAGTTTAGCTCCCTTTTTTTGCCCACCCCCCCCCACCTTTCACCCACCCATCTGCCCTCCCATTCATCGGCGCAGGCCTCGTGGAGCCACTCGTTGATGCCTTCTTCATCCGCTTGTCTTTCCATCCGTTCGTCTTTCCATCCGTTCGTCCTTCTATCCATCCATCCTTCCATTCATATACAGATGCTCCTGGACTTACAGTGGAGTTATACCCCATTATAAGTTAAAAATATTGTAAGTCGAAAATGCACTTTGCCCCGACTGGTTTGGCTTCGTCGGTTGGAGCACTCGTCTCATAGCCCAGGTCAGCACGGGCCTGGGTTGTGGGTTTTGTCCCCTGTCCAGTGCACAAGAGAGGCAAGCAGTCGGTGTTTCTCTCTCAGGTCAACGTTTCTCTCCTTCTCTCCCTCCCGCCCTACTCCTCTCTCTAAAATCAATTAGCTTGTCCTTGGGTAAGGATTCAAAAAAGAAAGGGGGAAAAATGCACTTAATAAACCCAGACACAGACCTGTACCTTCCATAAAAGTGAACTCAAATACAAAACTATGAAACTTCTAGAAGAAAAGATAGGAGAAAATCTAGATGACTTTGGGTTTGGTAAGTTAAAAAAAGAAAAAATAAAAAAAAAAAGGAAGGAAAGAAAGGGAGAGCGAGCCGCACTCGCACTGCGCCGTGGAGCAGGGCTGTTGACCTGGAAGCCGTTCGGCACCACAGCGCAGCACCGCGCCCCATCGCATAGCCCAGGAAGAGATCAAACTTCAAAACCCAACTGACAGTTTCTATTGAATGTGTATCATTTTCACACCATCGTAAAGTCCAAAAATTGTAAGTCGACCCACCACAAGGCTGGGACTGTCTGCAGCTGCCCCTCCCTCCCTCCATCCGTTCACCCTGCCTGCCTGCCATCCATCCGCCCTCCCTTTTATCCTATGAATGCCACACGGGCACGGGCATCGCGCTGCCCCGGGGGAGCCTGGTGAACAAGGTGCATCCCCGGGGGCTGGAGCTCGTTCTCTGGCCGCCACACCCCGACTCTGGCCCCAGATGAAACGGTGGCTGAAAGTTAGTCAGACGTATGGTGCTGGTGGTGGGTTTTGTAAGGCGTTTTCACCGCAGGACGGACGCCTTGGAGCCTTCAGTGAGAGCAGGTGTAGTACGACTCCCGGAGGGGCCCCTGCGGCAGCTGGGAGGCCGAGTCTCTGCCCTTCGCTTATGAAAAAACGCTGCTTCTAAGGCGATTACGAGGGAAATCCCTGCCAGATGCGGCCTCAGAAACAACAGCAGATGTTTGCAAAGACTCTTGTTGGTGTTAAAAAAAAATCAATTGAGGAAATGTGAAGATCTCACTGGCTTCATTCAATGACTCATGACTCAGGCAGCATCTCATGAGGCAGCCAGAAAGAAGCTCCAGGGATCGGTACAAAGTAAAAGACTGCCAGGCCGAAAGAAGCAGGAACAGGGAAGTTATACAAGGCCAAAAAGCAGGTTGGTTATTGAAAGGTCCCTTTCCTTGGGGGACCTGTCAGGCAGGTGACAGCGCTAGTGCTCATCTGGCAACTCCTGATTGGTTCAGGATTCTATTTCTGGGAGGAAGACAGTCATTAAGTCTTGGTTTGCTGATGTGGGACTTAGCACAAGTAACTCCATTTTGGGACTGTTGTCTCATTTTTAATTTTTTAATTTTTTTTTTTAAATTTATTTATTTTTAGACAGGGGGAAGGGAGGGAGAAAAAGGGGGAGAATCAGTGTGTAGTTTCCTCTCATATGTCCCTCTCTGGGGACCTGGCCTGCAACCCAGGCACGTACCCTGACTGGGATCAAACTGATGACCCTTTGGTTCTCCAGCCGGGCTCAATCCGTTGAGCCACGCCAGTCAGGACATGTTGTCTTATTTTTAACACTGAGTTGGAAGTTAATGGGAAAATTTTTACTGCTGTTGATGGAGATACTACAAATACAAAATGATGATGGGTGAAACAATCCAACTACAAAATGGGCAAAGGACCTGAATAGACACTTCTCCAACGGGGACATACACAGGGCCCATAGACATGTGAAGAGATGCGAGTTAAAACAATAATGACATAGCACCTCACACCTGTCAGAATGGCCATCATCAATAAATCAACAATCAAGCGCTGGTGAGAATGTGGAGAAAAGGGAACCCTCATGCACTGTTGGTGGGAATGCAGGCTGGTGCCGCCACTGTGGAAAACAGCATGGAGTTTCTTCAAAAAATTAAAAACGGAGCCTGCCTTTTGACCCAGCAATTCCACTTCTGGCAGTATATCCTAAGACCCCTGAAACATCAATTAAAAAGAATATATAGCCCTGGCTGGTGTGGCTCACTGGATGGAATGCTGGCCTGAGAACCAGAGGGTCACCAGTTGGATTCCCAGTGCAGGGCACATGCCTGGGTTGCAGGCCAGGTCCCCAGCAGGGGGCACGTGAAATGCAACCAGACATTGCTGTTTCCCTCTCCTTCTCCCTCTCTTCCCCTCTCTAAAAAAATAAAGAAAATATTTAAAAAACAAAAAAAGAACATATGCACCCCGGTGGTCGTAGATAGCAGCGTTATTTACAACAGCCAAGATCTGGAAACAGCACAAGTGCCCATCAGGAGATGAGCGGATAAAAAAGCGGTGGTACGTTTACACAAGGGACTACTAAGCACTAAAAAAGAAGGAATTGTTACCTTTTGCAACACATGGAGGGAACTGGAGATTATTGTGCTAAGTGAAATAAACCAGTCAGAGAAAGATAAATACCATATGATCTCACTCAAGTGCAATCTAATGAACAAAGTAAACTAACCGGCAAAATAGAATCAGAAGCATGGATACGTGGAACAGACTGACAGCTGTCAGAGGGGAGGGGGAAGGGATCAGTCGAAGGATGTCCATGAATGACCCCTGGACATGGACAACGGTGTTGGGGTTACCTGAGGGAGGGGCTGGGTATAGGGGGACAAAGGGGGAAAAACTGGGACAATTGTTATAGCATAAACAATAAAATATTTTTTAAATAATAAAAAATAAAAACTAAGGCTAGCCCTGCCTGGTGTGGCTCATTGGATTTAGTGCAAGCCTGTGAACCAAAAGTTTGCCAGTTCGACTCCCAGTCCGGGCACAGGCCTGGGTTGCGGCCCAGATCTCCCGCAGGGCGCATGTGAGAGGCAGCCAATCACTGTATCTCTCATGCGTTGATGTGTCTCTCCCTGTCTTTCTCCCTCCCCCGCTCTCTAAAATCAAAAATTAAAATTACAAAAAAAAGTTAAAAGAATTGATGAAAAATGTACCTCTTTAAGTGTCAAATCCATTCTATAAAAAGACATTACTTAGGCCGGGAAGAGAAATTCTGAGGTGAAGTGGGTAATTACTGCAAGCATTTCCATGGCGGTCTCTTCCTAAAAAAAGATTTTATCCCCAAAGAATATGATTCTTTGACATAGATGTCCCTAAATACTCTTTACCAGCCTGGGAGCAAATCTTGTGTCGTGTCAATGAAGGAAATATGACAACAAGCCTCTCATTTTGTCTGTGGGCACCATTTTCTTTTTCTTTTTTTCTTTTTTTTTTTTTTGCGATACTCATTTCTTTAATCTTTTTTTATTGTATTTTCCCCCATTGCCACTTAGTCCCCTTACACCCTCTGTCCCCCAGCAGTCGCCACACTGTTGTCCATGCCCGTGAGTCCTTTTCCCTTTTGGCACCGTTGTCAGAAGTCGTTGATTAAGAGATGGAACGCAGTCCCGAGGCATGGCAAGGCCAAGCAGACGGTGCCGTGGAGGGTGGAATCCCAGCCCGGCGAATCCGAACAGCAGTTTTGCACCAGGGGGTTAAGGTTATGCCGGCCAGGGCCTGTTCACTGTGTCGGCTCATGGCGCGCACGTTTTCTCATTAATGGAAACCACGGGGAAAACTAAATGGGCAACCAACAGAAAAGTGAACAAAACAAGCTGGATGTGACCACTGTACAAACTAATTACAAAGTAAATGGAACACAGGCTGTAACGGCAAGGAATTTTATAAGCAAACTCTGCAAAAGGAAACCGTTAAGAACCAGAGCGTCAGGGGCAAATAATAAAAGAACGAGGCAGGTAATTGGATAACCGATCACTTAGTTCAGATAATTAGTGAATGATTTTTTGGGTGTGGTACAATATGTGAAGGGGGTCTCTAGGAAGCAGCGGCCACGCCCCGGAGGCGGTCCCTGTGGAGGGAAGGGAAAGGAGGCAGCGGGGACAGAGCCGCATTGCCGCCCAGCGACAGCCTCGCCCAGGCCTTCAGGGAGCCCCGGAGCTGGAACAGCCCTGCAGAGCGGTCCCCACCTGGGCCAGGATGCCCGGGCCTCACTCCAGGCGGGCTGCCCCGGGAAGACACGTGACCTCAGGCGCGGGGCGCTGTGCGCACGCGCACCTGTCCAGCGCTGTAACCGTTGCCTCGACTCCCCACCACAGCCCTGCCCCGTTAGGTCTATTGTGTCCCCATTACAGAGGGGCGACTGAGAAGTAAAGTGACTCGCTCAAGCTCAAGCTCGTAATGGGTGACCGGGCTGGAATTTGAGCCCAGTCCCGCCCATCCCCACTCCAGGGGGACGCACATGCAGTTCTCGCAGGCTCGTTCGCAGGAATTGTCCCTGCCGTCTCCCTTCCCAGAGACGCCCTGGGTCTTCCAGCCACAGCTCGCTGGAGCTGGGGGTCCTCATTCGCGGATCTTGATCTCTGCGTACTCGCTGGTGCTGGAGGCCTCGTGGTCCGAGGGCTCCCAGGGCCTCAGCCCTTGGAAGCTGAGGGAGGCGTAATGGAGCTCGTGCTCCTCCCCCGAGCTGGGCGCGGCTACCGCCGGGGTCGCGAGGTCTCCGTACTTGCCTGGCGGCGTGCCCTCAGGCTGGTAACCCTGAGCGGGGCGGAGGAAAGGGGGTCATGTTAGGATAATGGGGGCTGGGAGACAGCAAGGAGGGCCCACAAACGAACCTGGAAACTGAGCAAAGTAGTCCTTCCTCTCGTCATTCCACAAACATTGGCGGAGCCCCCATTCATTCCCGCAGTCAGCAAGTATTTGAGGGTAACAATGCCCCGCCCCTGGTAACCAACTGCCAGTCCCCTAGATCCCTTACAACAATCTACTTGGGTGCCGCTATCCCCTCTCAAGTATCAGGTGGAGAAACTAAGGCTAAGTAAATATCCCCAAACCACACATTCAGTTGTTGGTAGGGCCTAGATGCATGTCCCGGTGTCTCTGGCTTTAGTGCTTTATGGGACAGCTTCCTTGCGCCGCGGCCGGGCCTATTCACCGGGGAACAAAGCAGACACCATCCCTGACCAGCCACCGGCCTGCAAGTGGGGGACACAGCCACTGAGACAGTAGTGCATTCTATTACTCTCTAACTGCGGATTGTAATAGGGCGCGCAGGGATGGGGCAGGCGGTATGAGAAGGGCAGGAATCTGCTCGGACCTGGGCTGCCCTCAGGGGCCACTAAGCATTTCAGAAGTTCAAACAAACGCATTCGTGAGCTGGTTATGAACTCTACAAAGGATACCACAGTAAAGGGTTAGCCTCGCCCAAAGCAAAGTTTGGCCCTTTGCCCCCAGCCCCCCGGAGAGGAGGTCTAAGCCCACGAAATGTCCTGCCTGACTAGAGTGTCTTGGTTCACCTGGGCCCTTGGGCCACAGCAGGCAGCCCCTGCGAGCGCGGGCGGGGGCTTTGCCGCGTGGTGTCAGCTTGACCTCTGCAGGGGATGGGGACCGAGCTCAGCTACCTGGGCGGGCAGCCATGCCTCCTAGGCCAACCCCCAACTAAAATGGCGCACCGAGGCTCAAGTGGACCACCCCCCGTGGGAATACCCACTGTGTGTTGCCACACAGCACTGCTGGGAGCTGTCCTCGTCACTCCGTCACTCCCCTCGAGAGACCACGGAGCTAGTGCCTGTGTCTCCTGGACCCTTCCCAGGCACCCCGCCCTTGGCGGATTTTAACCCCCAGCCATCTCCTGGAATGACCCAGAGCCATGAGTCCAACTTTCTAAGTTTTCTGAGTCCTGACAGTGAGTTATTGAACATGAGTGTCTTGGGGACCCCTGACCTTGTAGTGGACCATTACTGGGGGGCAATCCCTCTGACATCCTGTGCTGGGGAGGAGAGAGAGAGCCGGGAGGGAGAAATGGGGAGGTGGAGGCAGGGAGGGTCCCATTGGACCCGAACCCGTTCAGTAAGGTGGACAGATCCCTGGCTCTGGGAGAGGAGATGTGGGTGGGGGCGGGGGGGGGGCCTCCCAGGTCGCTGGCAGGGGTGACTGAGTTGATGGGGACCCAAGAGGAAAAGCCTATTTGGGGCACAATGATCATCTTAAGGCATCAGGACAGAGGTGGCCAGAGGGGCCCGGATGGCCAGAGGGCCCATGACTCACCCTGGAGGTGGGGCCCAGCAGGGACGGGGCATCCTCCCCGGCAGCCACGGCGGCAGCCTCAGGTGCGTCCTTCCTGCTGACCTTCACTCTGAAAGGAGAGGCCGGGACCTTTCGCCAGCCTGCCTGGCTCGGAGCTTGGAGTGGGACACCCTTCCTCCCGCCGAAGAGGCTGGGAGGGCTGCCCACGGCCGGGACTGGGGGACGTACCCAGGCAGATGGCTCTCACAGTGAGAGCAGGCGCCCCTCACGGGTGGCTGGGATCGGGGTGGGGACGCACCGCCCCTCCAGCTTCCTCCTCCTCCCCTTGCCGTCGCCCTCCCTCTGCGCACCGCACTCACTTGAAGATGAAGCAGAGGCAGAGACTGAGCAGGCCAGCGACACCAGCTCCCGCGACAGCCCCCAGAAGGAACGATTTCCCAAGCTCGGGCTTCCCTGAAGACAGGTAGGGTTTGGGGTGACTCCCCTCCAAGCCCCGGGGCCCTGTGCCCCTTCCTCCCAGGGAACCTGAGCCAGTCCGTCCTCATAGGACTCGCCCCTCCCCCTGCCCCGCCCACTTTCCCGTCTCACCCCCTCCTGTCAGGCCGCCGCCCCTCCCCCGGCCCCGTCCCGGCTCGGGTCCCTGCCCGTCTCCCTAAGCCCCGGCCCCCAGCAGGCCCCTGACCTGGCAGCAGCAGGGCGCCGCCGCTCTGCGCCCCGTGGACGTTCTCCGCCTCGCAGCTGAGCCGGAGGCCGGCGCCGAGCCCCGCGCGGAGGCTCAGGGAGCCGTTGGCCCAGGGCCCCGCGGAGCGGGAGGTGACCGCGTGGGAGGCGTTGCTGTGGTTCCCCGCCAGCAGCCCCTCCCCCAGCCGCCAGCGCAGCGAGGGGGCCGGCTGGCCCCGGGAGGAGCAGCTGCAGCGCAGACCCTGGTCCTCCCAGGAGCAGAAGGGTCCCAGCAGCCGTGGGGGGTCTGTGGGGAGCGAGGGGGAGGGTCAGCGGTGCCTCTGCCCGCCCGGGACCCGGGTGTCCTGCCCCAAGGCGCCCACCTGCCCCCACTCACAGCGCACGGAGAGATGTAGGGAGGCGCGCAGGGAGCCCTGCGGGTGCTGAGCTCGGCAGGTGAATTCGCCTTCATGCCCCGACCCCACCCGGGGCAGCTGCAGGACCCCGGGGGTCCAGGGCTGTGAGGGGCTCAGGGTCTGGCTGCCCTGGGCCCAGCTCAGCGTGGCGGGAGGGTTGCTGTCGGCGACACAGAGCAGGCGCAGAGAGTCCCCTTCCCGGACTGGCAGAGATGAGCCGTTTCCCACGAGTTCCAGCTCTGAAGGGAGGGAGGAGGGAGGGGGCTGAGCCCAGGCCTGTAGCTCCCGAGTCTTCCTCCCAGTTCTCTCGCCTTCGCGTTTTTTAAGTTGGGAAGGAATCGCCACAAGTAAGTTTTCCAAGCACCCTTACTGAGATGTACCTCCCAGGCCATACAACTCCTTGTGCTTAGCATCACCGCAAGCGATTTAGAGCATTTTCATCAGCCCCTCCAAAAAACACACCCCGCACACCTCCGCAGCCTCCCCGAGTCCTCCCAGCACCACCGCCCCCCCGCCCCGCCCCCGCCCCGCCCAGCGCAACCCCTAACCTATTCTCTGTCTCTGCGAATCGGGACATCGTGTGTAAATGGAACCATACTCTGTGGCATCTATGTCCGGCTTCTCTCACTCAGCGTGACGTTTCCCAGGCTGTCATGTGTCATTGCTTCATCCCTGTCCATGGCTGAATCATGTCCCCTCTCTGGATAGACCATGTTTTGTTTCTCTGCCCATCCATCTGCTGACGAACACAGGAGCTGTCCCTTGACTTCTCTGAGGAGCCACCATGGTCCACATTTCTCTCCTTCCTGAACTGCTCGATGTCCCTCATCCGAGTATCCAACTACACTCAAGTGCCAAATCCTTGAAGGCGCCTCAGGACCTCATGTCTAGCTCCTCTTTGCCTTCCCCCAGTTACCTCAGGACGAGCAGGGCTTTCACAGGTTGCATTGTAAAATGCACAGAGAAGGAAGGCTGGGGTGGCTCCGTGGATTGAGTGCCAGCCTGTGAACCAAGGGGTCCTGGTTCGATTCCCAGTCAGGGCACATGCCAGGTCCCCAGTGGGAGGTGTGCAAGAGGCAACCACACACTGATGTTTCTCTCCCTCTCTTTCTCCCTCCCTTCTCCTCTCTCTAAAAATAAATAAAATCTTTAAAATTCATAGAGGAGGAAGGGGTGTTGGAAATGAAGTCTCCTCACACGACCTCTTCAGGCAACACATTTCTCTGGTCCGAGGTAACGCTTATGGCCAGTTCCTCGTGCTGCCCTCCAGGCCTATGCTAGAACGCCTTTGCCTGGTAACATTGAATATCTCCATCCCTGCAACCTGGGCGTAAAACTTGCAGCCCCGTTACTCATAGCGAGGACTGCAGCCGGAGAGCACCCACACCCCTGGAGCACCCACACCCCCCAGGCTCTGGTTAGAAATGCAGAAGCTGCATTGTCACCAGACCCTGGAGAAAGTTTCAGGGTCCATAAAGCTTCAGAAGCAGCGCCCTGGCTGTTCCGTTCGCCAGGGGACCATTCGCAGCAGCGATACCACGGAAAGCACACCCTGTAAGCGGCTCAAGTGCCCATCAAAGGTGGAATGGAAAACTGAAGCGTGGTCCCTGCACAGCAGTGTGATCTGCGGACAAGGAGGGGCAGGAATGACAGCGACAAGCCACACGGGTGAATGTCAAGGACATGAGGTGGAGCCACATGCAAAAAAAGGCAACTGTGACCCCACTCTAGTCACATTAGCCACAAGGTGGAAACAACCCCAGTGTTCCATCAACGGATGGAAGGAGAAATCGGTGATGGTCCATCATGCAATGGAATAGTATTCAGCCATGAAAAGGAACTTCTGACCCATGATACTATGTGGGTGAACCTTGAGGACATCACGCTAAGTGAAAGAAGCCAGACATGAAGGATCCTGTATGGTGTGATTCCATGTGTATAAAAATATTCAGAACAGGCAAATTTATGGAGACAGAGAGCAGATAGTAGTCCCCTGGGTCTGGAAAAAGTGGGGAAAAGAAGGGACTGTTAAATAGGCACAGGGCTCCCTTTTGGAGAGATGAAAATGTCTTGGAACCAGATAGTGGTGGTGGTTGTACATTACAAATGCCCTAAATGCCACTGAATTGTTTGCTTTATTTTTTTTAAAGATTTTCTTTATTTTTAGAGAGAGGAGAAGGGGAGGAGAAAGACAGGACAAGTAATATCAATGTGTGGTTGTCTCTTGTGCACCTCCTACTGGGGGCCTGGCTGGTAACCCAGACACATGCCCTGGCTGGAAATTGAACTGGCGATCCTTTGGTTCGCAGGCCAGCGCTCAATCCACTGAGCCACACCAGCCAGGGCTGAATTGTTCACTTTATAAGAGCTAATTGTATGTTACATGAATTTAATTTCAACTAAAAGTAAAAAATTAAAAGATCAGACAGGAACATACATTTCAATCTTATCCATATAAAGTTTTCAAAAACATGGTGAGTTAAACATCATGTAGAGATTCAAACATATTTGGTAAAATTATAAGAAAATAGGATGTTCTGGTCGGTGTAGCTCAGTTGTTTGGGTGTCATCCCACAAAACGAAAGATCACGGGTTCAATTCCCGGACAGGATACGTGTCTAGGTTTCAGGTTTGGTCTCAGTGGGTGAGTAGGTGGGAGGGTCGGCAGCACATACCAAAGGCAACCAATCGATGTTTGGCTCCTTCTCTTCCTCCCTCCCTTCCTCTCTCTCTAAAAACCTTCTCTCCCTTCCTCTCTCTCTAAAAGCAATGAAAAAATATCCTCGGGTGATGATAAAAAAAAAATAATAGTAGGAATGTGGCTGTGTTCATTCATGTGACTGTGGTGATCTTTCTGCAGTGTGTATGGATATTACATCACCACATTCTACACTTTAGATGCATATTATACCCCAGTTGAAACTAAAGTAAAAGAAAATAACCCTGGCTGGTGTGGCTCAGTGGATTGAGCACTGGCCTGCAAACCAAAGGGTTGCTGGTTCGATTCCCAGTCAGGACACATGCCTGGCTTGCAGGCCAGGTCCCCAGTAGGGGGCGCATGAGAGGCAACCACACATTGATGTTTCTCTCCCTCTCTGTCTCCTTCCTTTCCCCTCTCTCTGGAAATAAATAAAATATTTTTTTAAAAATTTGCACTGCATGGTGTCTGCATTCAGCAGTTTATTTCTGCTGGATGTTCAAAGGACAGTGCAATATAAATTCAGTATCTGGCATTGTTGGTTTTCTTGGCTTTGTGCATGTTAAACCTGGTATGTACTGATACAGTATTAAAAAGAGAAAATAAAAGGAACAGTAACAAAATTCAGCGCAGCAACTTCCTCCGAGGCTAGTGGAAGGGCATAAACGGGACGGGGGCACTTAGGAGGCACCAAAGGGAGAGTGGCCGTCCTATTCCTTAACCTGGGTGGTGCATCTATTTGACAGATCGTCTTTGCACATAATGAATAGTAAGTTAACACTATGTGTCAGAGTGAGCTGGGTGCACCCCTACAGGACACCCCTGCCCCGCCCCAATCTCTGTGCGTCACGGGCACCGTGGCCCTCCTGGGTCTGGCCTTGAGCCTCGGGCTCCCATCCCATCCTGGGGGAGGGGACGTCCCCGCTTACCTGTGGGGTTTCCTCGGAAGACGCCGATGGTCAGGTTCTGTGGAGCATCTGGATAGAGGGACGCAGAGAGGAACAGAGTCGGAGCGGGCCCTTCCCCAGCCACCCACCCCAGGAGACGCAGAAATGGGAAGAGGAAGAGAGAAAGGTCAGAGGCCTTTCTCCAGCCCTTCCTCCGGCCCCCCGCCCCCCCCCCCCGCCCCCCCGACCCCCGCCCACCGCCAACGGCTTCCTGGCTCCGCCCTCACAGGTCACGTTGAGCGTGATGGTCTTCTCCGTGCTCACATTAGCCCTGGGGAAAGTGACCCGACAGGTGAGGCTGGTGCCGTGGTCCTGCGGGCGGGGGGCGAGCAGGATCTCCGAGGAACTGTAGGCTGCAGGGTCCCGTCCCAGGGGCCTGAGGGCGGCTCCGGTCCAGGAGACGGTGGGGGACTCACAGGCCCCCTGCATGGAGCACGTCAGGTTGCTGGGGCAACCCGCCTTCAGGGGCTCCTTGACAAGGATGTCGGGGGTCTGTGTCAGCGCTGGAGGGGAGGGAGGAGGCCAGACCTCAGAGGGGACCCTGTGTGCGCCTCTCAGAGAGGCAGCCCAGCCCTGCACTGCAGCGCCTCCCTGTGGCCTGTTCCCGGGGACCATTGCATACCGGTCACCTCCACCGTAAGCAGGCTGCTTTGGTAAGTGTGGTTCACATGGCCTCTCTCCAGTCGGAAATAATACTTCCCACTGTCTTTCTTCTGGGCCTCTGTGATGTGCAGGGAGCAGTTGTTGTCCCTAGGGTCCCCAGAGAGGTAGAATGATTTGGCCTTCTTTTTTTTCACCCCTCTCTTGGTTTGATCGTTTGTGGCCACGAGAAGATCTGGTTTGGGATGATCCTTTTTCTGGAACCAGTAGCCGCGAGCAGGGGTCGAGCTGTTCCAGCCAACCTGGGGATAGGTCACAGCGCAGGACACATGGACGCACAGACCCTCCTGCACCGTCACCGATTCCTCCACACTCAGCTGGTACTCTACATCCTTCTGCAGGGACCCTGCGGAAGGCGGGGCAGAGAGGCTCGGCTGCAACGTCAGCCCCAGCCCTGGCGCTGGCCCCAGGCCCGGCACCCCTGGCCCTCCGCCTACTCACCTGCCCACAGCAGGGGCAGAAGCAGCTGCAGCATCTCCAGGATCCCCGGCGCTGGGCCTGCTCTTGGACCCTCTGGCTTCTGCACCTGCCTATATAGCCCGGAAGGAGCTCCAATAGGAAGCTTCTGGAGGAAATGGGGGTGGGGACCATCCACAGAAGAGGAACCGCAGGAGCCACGAATGTCCTAGAAGCGCTGCTTCTTCTGACTTCTCCTTTCACACAGGAAGGCCACAAGGCAGAGAGAGATTGTGGGGTCACCTGGGGCCATCCTCAGTGGCAGGGTGGTCCCAGGAGTGGGCTCTTGGAGAAAGGGCTCCACGTGAGGTGCTGGATCAGGCATTCATTTATTCGCCAGGCACACATCCAGTCAATGCAGGAGCTGGGAAAAACAAGGAGACTATGGCCTCCCAGCTGCTGCCCTCAGGGGCCTCACGCTAGAGTGACCCCAAAGCCAGAGCCATCCCCAAGCTCCCCAAGGACACTCCGCCTCCTGCCTGTCTCAGGGCTGGGTCTCTAGTCCACACAGGACTCCCAGCTCCACAGAGAGAAGCAGGCACCAGTTGTACAGGGCCCCACACTCCTAAGGACCTCATGCCAGGGGTTCCACATTCTGAAACTGCCATCTTCAAGTTCTTAATAACTTTACCTTTGAATATGTGTTTTGTAAGTGAAGTCTACAGGGGTAAGGAGTGTGTACCCAGGGTCCTGGATCCTGGGGTGGTGCTTCTGCCACCTCCACACCTGCTCAATCCCCAAGCCAGGTTCTAGGCCTCACTCCCACCTCCTCGCTCCCACCTAGGCTTAGTGAGGGTCCGATGATGCTGAGTTGAGAGAGAGGAGCCCCAGGTACCTGTGAGGGTCTGCACTGCCCACCCCACCGTCAAGCCCGAAGCATTGAATATTAGCTAGCACAGAAAGAACACTGAATAAGCCCTGGCCAGGTAGCTCATTGGTTAGAACATCATCCCAATGTGCCAAGGTTGCAGGTTCGATCTCCAGGCAGGACGCATACAAGAAGCAACCAATGAATACATCAATAAGTGGAACAACAAATCAGTCTCCCTCTCTCTCCCCTTCCCCTCTCTTTCTCTCTCAAATCAATTAAAAAACAAAAACAAAAAAACTGAACAGCCTTGGCTGGTGTGGCTCAGTGGATTAAGCGCCGGCCTACGAACTGAAAGTTCGATTCCCAGTCAGGGTACATGCCTGGGTTGCAGGCCAGATCCCCAGTTGGGGGTGCGCGAGAGCCAACTGATTGTTGTTTCTCTCACACATCGATATTTCTCTTTCTCCCTTCCCCTCTCTCTAAAAAACAAGGGCAAAAACTAAAAGAACAAACACCAAAAAAAGGTGCTCTATTCAGGCAATGGAGAATTATTCAGCCATAAAAAGGAACAAAGTTCTGATCCATGCTACAACATGCGTGAACCTCAAATGCTATGTTAAGTGAAAGAAGCCAGATACAGAAGGCCACAAAGTGATTCCCACTTATACGAAATGTCCAGAATAGGTAAATCCACAGAGACAGGAAGTAGTTTAGCATTGCCTGGGGTCGGAGGAGGGGGAACAAGGAGGGATTGTTCATGGGTACGGTGGTCTCCTTTTGGAGTGATGGAAAAGTTCTGGAACTGGTTAGTAGTGATGTTTGCACAATCCTATGAATGTGCTTAATGCCACTGAATTGTCTACTTGAAAATGGTTAAAATGGTTAAGTTTTATTTTCTATGTATTTCACCACAATTTTTTTAATGCTCCTAAGAAAACAACAGCCCACAACAAGTCAAAGAGAAACTCCATTGAAGAAAGGAAAAAGCAAATACCCTATTTCCAAACCAGGTCACATCTACAGGTACTGGAGGTTAGGACTTCAGTATCTTTTTTGGAGGAGGGACATGGTTCAACTTGTAACAGGCCCCCAGTAAAGTCCCTGGACACCGAGGCCCGGGTGAGCTTCCACAGTCAGCAGCACGGGTACACATTGTCACACACTGTCGCTGGGTGTATTTGTCAGCCTTGGGCTGCCGTAAACCACCAGAGACGGGAGCTCTTAAACAACAGAAATGTATTCCTCACAGTCCTGGAGACTGGGAAATCCAAGGCCAAGGAGCAGCCTGTTGGGAGCCACTTCCTGGCTTGCAGGCGATCACCTTCTTGCTCCTCAGAGAGAACGCCAGTGTCTCTTCTTATAAGGACACTAATCCTATGGATCAGGACCCCACTCTTATGACCTCCTGTAGTCTTAATTACCTCTAAAGTCCCTATCTCCAAACTCAGTCACATTGGGGGTTAGGGCTTCAACATGTGAATTGGGAGGAGCAGGGACAATTCAATATGCAGCGCTGGGAGAACTCAGCATTGTCCACGTGACTCCACTAGGAGAGGCCACCTGGCCAGTCGTGGATGTGCCGGTACACCTTTTCCCTTTGCAGATTTTAATCCCTATTCAATTGCAGTGATAAACCATAATAGTGCCTCTTAGTTCACTGAGTTCTTCTAGTGAATCATCAATCCCTGGGGAGATCTTGGGGGCTTCCACAAGAGTGGGTTCCCTTTTTTGGGCTGTGGTTCAGGGAGCCTCTGTTTCCGCGAGTGGGGGCGCCACGGCCAGCTTCCTGGGTCTGGTTCTGCAGGCCAGGGCTCCCCGTCCTCGGTCCGCCCCCTGTTGGACGTGCAGTTCAGAGCTTGTCTAAGTTGGAAAGTTGCTGACCAGGGAAATTATCCTTAGTTTATCACAAATACATCGAAGGAAATGGAGTGAGTGAGATCTGGAACTGCACAGAGAAAACATCAGTTCCTTTTCATCTGTAACCACTTCCTCATTTCTCAACCACTTGTCTCTCAAACATAAGTTGGCATTCACACTTTTTAACTAAATGGCCCCAGATGGCTCCACAGGGACACCATGCAGCGTCAGCAGAGCACATCCCCGACCCACAGCCTGTCAACCCAAGGTCTCTGCGTCCCCTGCCTGTCCCTCTGCTTGCCTTTGCTACTGTATTGTCCACTGCCCAGCCTGACCCCTGCGGAGGGGCCTAGTGGGAGCAGGCACTGTGGAGAGGGGACCCCGGGACCTGTTTTTGACCCAGACATTCAGCTTTGTTGGTTTGAGTCAGTTTTGCAATTTCTGCAGAATTGCAAAACGGGCCCCTAAAATTGCCCTTCTTTCAAAGCAAGTCAGCTATTCCTTGCTTTTCCAAAAGAGGGCCGGAAAGGAAGGGGGAGGGAGGTCAGCCACTGGCAGGATTCCAGGGCCCCATGAGAACATGGCGCTGACACATAGCGATGCAGAGGACCGTGGAATCACCCAAAGTCAGGGAGTGTCCAGTGGAAGAGAGAAAAGCTGTTGTTTTTCTTCTGCAGGAGACATCGTTGCCTCTGGGTCTCCTTGGCCTGAAGAGCAGGCCCACGTGTGTGTGAGTCTTTGTATCTGTGCATCTGCCTGTGGGTCTGCATGTCTGTGTCTCTGAGCGTATATTTCATACCTGCGTGTCCATGTAGCGTGTGCACATAGGCACATGCGGCAGGCATTGGAAACCGGCCCCATAGGCTAATATTGGGAGGGACCATCGTATCTTGGGTGCCGCACTGAGGATTCGGGTCATTAATCTGGAGCAGCAAGAGTTACAACCGTGTGTATGCAGGAGAATGTACTTACAGGAATGAAAACATTAAATGGTCCTGCAGAGCCTGCTCACGGGCTGTGCAAGACCCAAGAGAGCAGGCCCCAGCTTCTGACTTGTTCTGCACAGTGAGACTAACTTCTTCCAGTCTTGGAGGGGCTGTCTCTGCGCCTGACCTGTGTCGCCCACAGTCTGGCCTGGGCGCAGGGGAGCTGAGTCCTGAGCCCCTCACAGCCCTCCAACCCTGGCATCCTGGAGCTGCCCCAGGTGGCGCTGGAGCATGAAAGTGCATTCACCTGTTGAGCTCAGGCATGTAAGCAGATGCCCACCAGTGAGTCGGCAGGTGACTTCCCCAGACTCCTCCCAGGGTCTGGCTGTGCTCTTGGGGGCGGAGGCCCTGGGAGGGGCTCCGACCAAGTGCAGGTACGGGACCTGTAGGGCTGCGGTAACCTGACTTCGCCCAGAGAGAGATGGAGGGAGTGGCGAGGTGTGGGGCTGAGGGTGTTTTCTCTCTCCTCCCACTGACAGAATCAAAGAAAACGCCCGATTCCAGGTGGAGGATTCAAGAAGACAGTGTTTGTGATAAGCTGTCCACACCAGACCCTTCAAGGTGTTTTATGAATATTAAGTCATTTACTGCTTATGACAACCCTATGAAGTAGGTGCTATTAGTCCCATTTTACAGCAGAGGAAACAGGCACAGTGAAGCCAAGCAGGCTGCCCAAGGTCACAGCGGGCTGGGGGCCTGGCAGGATTCCACCGCGGTCTGTCCTGCCCCGGACTAGGCAGGGAAGCCTCCCAGTACTGACGAGGTCGATTTGGGGTCTTGTCTGTCCTGCCCACCGGATGTGAGCTCTAGGAGCGGGGACTTCGTCTGACGCATGGAGGCATTTAAAGAACACGTGGAATGAGGAAGGAATGAAGGGATCTCAGAATGGTCGGAGTCCTCCCGCAGCGTTTTCCTCGGGATTATATACATGGTCAGGGCTTCTAGTCCCAGTAACGGGATTCCTCAGGGTGAAATCACCGTCCGGGATCCTCGGAGAGGACGAAGCCAAGCCCGCTTACAGCCGGACACGGGCGCCACCTGGCGGCGGAGTGCTGGGAGACAGCGCGGCCGGGAGCCGCGAAATGTTTGCTTTAGGACACAAGAGTTGCTACCCACTGCTCATGGTCACTTGTACGGAAATCAGTGTTCGAAGCTCGGGGCCGTCGACCAGGGGCTTCCAAACTTTTCTGGCACACGGTAAGAAATCATTTCATGTCAACAGAGTTTCACGAAATACCACCTTGTTCTGCATGTTTTTTTATTGTATTCCTTTTAAAAATGTTACTGATTTTAGAGAGGTTGAGAGATTTGTTGTTCCACTTATTTATGCATTTATTGATTGCTTCCTGTATGTGCTCTGACTGGAGATGGAATCTGCAACCCTGGCGTATGGAGATGCCACTCTATCCAACTGAGCTACCCGACCAGGGCTCTATTAAAGATTTTATTTATTTGTTTATTCGTTTATTTATTTAACAGTGGGGAAGGGAGGCAGAGAGGGAGAGAAACATCACATGCCCCCAACTGGGGACTTGGCTGGCAACGCGGGCACGTGCCCCAACTGGGAATCAAACTGGTGGCCTTTCGGTTTGCAGGCAGACGCTCAGTCCACTGAGCCACGGTCGCCAGGGCTCTAATCCTATTTTTAAACGCTGACCAAAATCCTTTAAATCAGCCCTGACTGGTGTGGTATGAACTTGGATCTAGAAATTTCCCCTTGTTCCTGCTAGGTAGCGACACCAGTCAGGGAGGGACGTTTGAAACTAAGTTCAAGCTCAGAGGGTCCCTGCTCCCCAGCTGTGTATCCAGGGTGAACATCCCCAGGAAGGCTGGGCTGTGGACAAAAATCGAGGGCCTATTTTTAAATGATCTTGTTCAGCTCAGCGCCAAAAGATGAATAGTAATGAAAGCCCGGGGTCATTGAATGGGACACCTAAAAGGTGACCCTCACAATAAACGGGTACCGTTTTCCCTGTGACTACTGTTCACTTACTACCACCAAGTTATTCTCCCGGTTCTGGAGGCCAGAAACCCCCAAACTGAGGTGTCAGTGGGACCGCTTCCTCCAAAGGCTCCAGGGGAGGGTCCTTCCCGGCCTCTTCCGGTTTCCAGTGGCTCCTGGCAGTTTCTGGACTTGTGGCTGCATCGCTCCGATCTCGTCTCTCTTCATGTGGCCCTTTTCTTCTCTAAGGGCGTCTCTTCTCTGTGTCTTATAAGGCCCCATGTCATTGGGCTTAGAGCCCTTGTTGGCATTTTTCCAAATAAGGTCACATCCATAGCTTCTGGGGGTTAGGATGTGCACATATCTTTTGAGGGGCCACCAAACCACTAGAGACCCCAAAGGCTAAACTATTGAGGGTGAACAAGGGTTAAACTCATTCCCCCAGTTCATGGAATTACAAGTGTCAAATAAAAACAAATCGCAGAGGGGCAGTGGGAAGCAGCTGCTCCATGGGCAGGGTTTTATTTGGGGTGATGGAAATGTTCTGGAACTAGACAGACGTGATGGTTGCACAGCCTTGGGAATGTCCTCAAAGCCACTGCTTTGCTCACTTTAAAAACAGTTCTTCATGCAAAGCCTAACAACAGTGCCTTCCTCTTGCATGAACTGAGATAATGCGTGTAAAGTGCTTAAAATTATGCTCCGCATGTAGTAAAGCCTTAACAAATAGATATTGGGCAATGTCCCCGCCATGGCTACCAGGCCATCGCCCACTTACCTCCCGACGGCCCCGGGAGGCTTGTCAGACCGGCCGTCCCCACACGGCGCCCCACAACTCTTGTCGCGGCTGTCCAGCCCTTTGTGCTTTAGTGTCACCTTTTTTGGTATGTGTGACAAGGACCACGGGGAGCTGGCACCTTTGGCAATCTTTTCTTTTGCTATCTATGCAAGTAATTAACAGTCTGAATCTAGACGTGGCTGCCGTATGGTTACCAGTTCAGTCAGTCCTGTCTTGGCTTCAGCCGTGTGCTGTGTGTGGGCCTGACCGGAAGTATTATCTGTTATTTCTATTATCATCATTCTTGTCTTTGGCCTAGGACTGCCCTCTCTCTAAAGCCTCTCAAAGACAAGACACACAGACCGGAAGAAATTCTTCATTTTATTTCTGCCACAAGTCCCCAAAGGATCGCTCCCGGCCCTCCCTCACCCGCATGCAGCCTCACCCTGCCCCAGCACCTTCACAAAACACTGACCCCCCCCCGACCCGCAGAGCTAAAGTGGACACCCAGTCACCAACTACAGCCACTCCTGACCCTGCCTGCCCGCGCCCCCCCCCGCCCCGCCACCTCCACAGCCACCAGCCCTGTGAACTTGGCCACCCTTGGGGCGCCTGCCCAAATGGAGTTTCCCAGGGTCACCTGGCTTGCTTCTTTTGCTTCCTTATTATAGGGGCACCATTCTTAACGCCCTCCCCGACTCCCTCCCCAGGCAGCTCTCCTGCCCTCATCTGCAGTCTTCCCGCACAGCCTCCCGGCGCACTCCCCCGTCCAGAGACCCGGCTGCCAAGCTCCCTGAACTCCCCGGGGGCCTCAGTCTCTCAGCTGTCACCACAGAAGGCCAAACATGCCCTGGTTCTGGGGAGGAGGATGGAGGGCAAAAGCAGAAATGCAAAAGAGAGGATAAAAGGAAGGGGGGGTTGGAAAGAGGCTGGAGGACGAGGGGTGATGGAGGGACCCTCTCGCCTCCGCCTCAGAGAGAAAGGCAAGCCGGAGCTGAAGACCAGCGCCCCCTACAGGCCGAAGCCCGGGCCGTCTAGCTGTTGTGGGTCCTCTGGCTCCGAGCCTTGTACACCTCGATGAGCAGATCCTTGACATACTGGATCTCCCGCTCCACAGACTCAGCCCTCTCCCTCAGCTCCCGATTCCGTGCCTCCAGCCCTTGGCACTCACCCTCCAGGGCCTCACCCTCTGCCCGCTTCCTCTGGCGGTACCTCAGAGCGGCTGACTTGTTCTGGTCTCTCTTCTTTTGCTTGCGGTCCCCTCGGGTGGTGGCAGGATTGGGGTAGGGCGCGGGGCGACACGGTGGAGGTGGAGGAGGGAGTTGCGGGGCTGGGGGAAGGGGAGCCAACCCCGCATCCCCCGGCCCAGCCTCATTGCGGCAGTACATGACCAGTAAGTCGAGGGTGTCCAGGACAGGGGGCTGAGGGGGGTCAAAGGGAGGGAGGGGGAGAGGAAGGGAGGGTGGCGGTGGCGGCAGCTGCGGGGGCAGCTGAGGTGATGGGGAGGGTGGTGGGAGGAGTGGGGCATCAAGGAAGAAGTCTTCCATCTGCTCCAGCTCCTTCTTAAGGAGGGAGGCCATGGCTTCTAGGTCAGGTGGGGGTGGGGACGGTGCGGGGAGGGCACCTGAGGGTAAGGGGGGCTCCAAAGGCAGGAGCGCTGTAAAGTCAACCCGCTCAGTCATCCAGTCCGAGAAGCCATCACCTGGGGGATTGGAGGAGGACAAAGTTCCTTGAGTTCCTGGTCTTCCACCCAACTGGGCGCTCACTCCTGTTAGCTTCATTTATCTCATCCATTGAGTAAATCCACCAACCAGCCAATCAGTCTACCAACCGATCAATGAATCCCCAAACCAGTCAAGAAACCACCCAACAATCAAACATCTAACCAACCGACCAACCAATCAACTACCCAGTTAACCAACCCCCAACCAGTGGACCGGCCAATCAACTAAATAAACCAGTCCACCAAACAATCAACCCTATTAACCAACCAATCAATGAACCACTCAACCAACCAAGGACTCAAACAACAAAAGTCAACCAGCCTTCTCTTCAACCATTCCAACATCCTCTTTACTGATTAATCTACGGTTATAGTTTCTCTGGTTTACTCTCAAGTTTATCTTAAAAAGCAATCACACACACAGCATACCCAGTTTCATCTTTAATTCATTAGCTACTGGAAACCCATTATATCCCAAACATTCGGGATACACTAATGAATAAGGTAATTCCTGCCCCAGGACCTTTGCATATGCTGTTTCCCCTACCTGAATAGCTCTTCCTTGGGTCTTTTTCATGGCTCATTCCTTCCCATCCTTTAGGCTTCAGCCAAAATGTTACCTACTTGGTAAGTGTTTCCTGGCTACCCAATCTAAACTAAGTCCCCACTGTCATTTTTCAGCTCTGCTACTAAGCATTTCCCACTTATCCCAATACCTCATCATTTGATTTGTCTCTTCTGTCTCCCCACTGGAGTGCAAGCTCCAGGAGGACAGGGATCACGTCAGTCTTGTTCCCAGCTATATCCCCAGCATGTAAAACAGTGCCTGGCATGTTACAGGTGCTCAACAATTATTTTTCCAATGAATACATGAATTCTTCTTCCTTCTCTGCCCCCCACATCCCAGCTCGCCCCACCTCCATTCTCTACCTGCCCTTACCTGCAAGGGGCTCTCCCCCCCCTGGAAGCCCGCCCTCCAGGGCTCCCCCAAGGACCTCGTAGGGACCCAGGGGGGCAGGGGCCAGGGGGAGTTTCCCATAGTCTACGAGCCAGCCCAGGCCGCTAGCTGGGAGTACGGCCCTGTCCAGCTCCAGCCCCAGGGTCGCCAGGAGTGACATGGTTGCAGCACAGGCGCAGGGCACGGGTGGCAATGAAGGAGGCTGCGCCAACAGCTGGGAGGAGGCTCTGGAGGTTGCTCAGCTGGGCGAAGACAAGCACCAAGGTGAGAGTGGAGGACCTACACAGGTGAGACAAAAGTGCGTGGGTCGCAGGCCGGCCTCACTCACTGCCAAAAGTCACACTGAAACCAAGCCACACCCCCACGGTCCTTCCCCCATCTTCTAACTGCGCTTGGGGCTACGCCTTGCCCTCTCAGAATTCTAAATTTGCCCTTTCTTTCCCCAAATCGCTGAGCCCTACCCACTCCCAAGGGAATTCTCTTTATGCCTGACTTACTTTTCTCCAAAATTCCCAAGTCCCAATCCTTCCAGTACAGAAACCTAACGATCTCCTAGGGAATTTCCTTTTGCCCCTCCCATCCACACCATAATATTACATCATAGAAGAAGTCAACCCCAGGGAAATTTACTTCAGACCACACCTCTCCCTCTAAAAATACTTCCTTTAGGCCCCAGCCCCTCCCTAGGGTCCATCTCAATTCAGTTCCCAGGGGAATTCCGCCCCCCTCCCCGGCCCTGCGTCTTCAATATTATCTATTCGTATCCCATTCTCTGCTGTGAGAATTCCAGTGACCTCCATTGTCCCCCCAAGTCCCGCCCCACTGTTTATCTCAGCCCCACCCCTCCCTGGAGATTCGCCTAAAAGTTCGCGTAGCCCCGCCCCTTCCCACCAGGGTTCCCTAAGCCCCGTCCTAGGCGACGGCTGTTACCCTAGCTCCGCCCCGTTCTTAACACGTTGTCTCTAAGCCCTGCTTTCCACTCTGTCAATCTAAACCAGCACCCGCCCCAGCAAATGCCTGAATGTAAGAGAGGGAAGCTGTGCTGTGCGACTAAGCATTGTGGAGCAGGGAGGGTGGAAGGAACGGAGGAGAACGGCTTCCACGCACTCCAACCTTCCACACATGGCTTCCTCGCCGAGGGCCAAAACGCATGCTCAGCCACTAGGACGGTCCCATTGCTCTCTCCCTTCCGCCCTCCTGGGGGTTAGTGCGCATGTGCACCTATTTATTTCCAGCCCTTCCTGAACAAATACGGACCCTGCTGCGCTCACGCGCCTGAGCTACGGCGAGAGGACGGGACGGTTCCTGGAGCTGGGGGGAGGGGGGGACCTTTTGTGAGGGCAGCTGACGCGCCGGCTCAACCTCACAGGGGCCGTCCCTAAACCCCAACAATCTGTGGAATTAAGACCCGCCTCCACCATTGGGCCGAGTGCGCATGCCCGGCCGCGCGCCGACGCCAACTTTCCCTGTTCGGCGCCTGCGCGACCGTGATCCCTCACTCTTGTCTCACCTCCCCCTCCCAACGCCCCAAGCCTGGTCGTGAAGGCCGCGAGCTTCGAAAGGGCGGGAAAGGCAGTTGGAGCGGGAGGAAGGAACGGTTACTCACTCCATGGCTGCGGAAAGAAGAGGCAGCGGCGGCCTCGGCTGAAGGAAGAAGGTGGGAGCGGAGAGCGCAGGCGCGGTGAGCGCAGAGACGGGCAGGGGGCACGGAGGGGTCGCGGCTACAGAGCCATGGCCGGGGATATGCGGGCGGAGCTGGTGTCGCGGTAGCGTGAGGAGAGATCGTGATCTGACGTGATGTGAGGAGGGGAAATGAGGCAGCCCCGGGGACAACGGACAGATATACCGGGGGCGGCGCAGCACGGCCCGCCCGGATCCTTCCGCGCCCCGCCCCGGCGAGGCCCCAACTAGCAGACGGGCCTAATTCGGCCCTGTCCTTTCCCCGACACGGGATCAAGGCCCGTTTTTCTTCCGACCCCGGAGGCTCTGGCCCTCCCCTGGGGCTCTGGGGTCGGTCTCCCTTCCGATAGTGGGTCCGGCCCTCTGCTCTCTCTGACCCTGTGGCTTGGTTTCCTCCTACCTGAGACCACCAGCACTGCTCCATTTCTTTCTTTCCTCTGCCTCCGGAATTTACGGCCAGCCACACGCTGGTCTCACCCTGAGAACCCTTTTCGTGGGTTAGAGCCCCGCGTGAGTCACAGCCCGCCCTCCATTCAAATCACAGACCAGCCATGGTGGCCTTGGGCAAATAACTCTGGCCTCGGATCAGGAACTGTCTATAAAATGAGAATAATCAACTTTACGTGATGGGGTTGTTTGTGAGAAAGAAATAAGTCGATGCTTGTGAAGCTCCGCACACAGAGCCCAGCTCATTAGTGTCTGTTCAGTGTATTGTTAATAGAAACTCTGGGACCCAGTCTCCCCCACCCCCACCCCCATGAGAGCCCCAGACACTTGACCAACGAACGCCTGCTAATAGGCCCTTTTTGTGTCTCGTTAATACTCGAAGGTGGCAGTTTCCAGCCATCCCCACCCTCACCCGTTCCAAATGTTGGATGTTCAGCCCCGTCCTGACCCAGGGATTCAGGGAGTCAGGCATCATCGCCCCCTCTCTGTCCTTTTCTCCATTCGCTGCCCGCCTTCCCTCAGCCCTTGATCACAGCACTGCTCTCGGGGCGGGTGGTTCATTCTTCTGCCCCTGCTCCGCATCCTGACTTCCTGAGATGCCCTCCACTGGATTAGTCTCGCAACCCTGCCGAAAACGGGGAGAGCTACACTTCCATTTACTAAAAGAGGGAGCTTCCTAACCAGTCCTTGGGTGTGCACTGCGTCCTCCACCAGCTCAAGTGGATGTGATGTGGGTCTTTCCTCTGCTGCAGAAACCTCTCTTTCCCACCCTGCATCCATCCACATCAGGACATTACACCTGGAGTTCAACCTTCATCACTTTTATAGCAATTATCAAAATCCAAAGAAGGTGGGGGGCCCAAATCTTGAGAGTTATGTGGGGAATAAAGATATGCAGGCTCCTTCCGCCTTCCGTGAGCTCACAGGAAGCCTTTGGGATCTGACCTCTTTCCCTTAGAGCACTGGTGTCCACTCTGCTGGTATTTGAGCACTTGTTCTATATTTCCTTGAGTCCGTACGGGCTGCATTATTACCTAGGCATCACGGAGTGGCAGTTAACATCGTAGACTCTGGAGCCAGGTTGTTTTGGTTCAAACCCTGATTGCACCCCACTTACTAGCTCTGTGACACTGGCAATTTCCCTTACTTCCCCATGCCTCAAATTCCTTGTGGTTGGGAGAAAAAAAGAGGAAAAAAAAAAAAAAAAGGCCCTCTCTGGATGGCTCAATTAGTGAGAGCACTGTTCTGTGCACCGAAAGGGTTTCAAGTTCAATTCCCAGTCAGGGCAGGGCATACGTAAGGCAACAACAGGTCGGTGTTTCTCTCTCACATTGATGTTTCTCTTGCTCTCTCCCTTCCTCTCTAAAATCAATAAAAATATTCTCAGAGGAGGATTAAATAAATAAGTAAATAAGGCTGTTAATTGTACCTACCACTTAGGGCTGTTTTGAGGATTCAATGAGTTAATCCAGGTCAAGCACTTAGACTAGTACCTGGCACACAGTGGGTGCTATAAAAGCGGTGGTGGTGGTGGTGGTGGTTGTTACTGAGGTAGGTACATTTTATCTCCATTGCTAAGCAGTTAGTGTTTTAAAACTATGACTGGTCTTCCACCTTTTAAGGACTGACCTCCTTCCACTTAACCGTAGAGATTTGAGCAATAACAGGGATGACTAGGGTAGAGTGTTGGACAGGCTGCTGGCAGTAAGGAGGCATGATTTCTCTCTCTCTCTCTCTCTCTCTCTCTCTCTCTCTCTCTCTCTTTCTCTTTCTCTTCCTCTCTCTCCCTCTCTCCCCACCCCCCGAACCTCTAGGTTATGTATGGGGACTAAGTAGGGTATTTTTTTAACTTTTTATTTGGGAAATTTTAGGTTTATAGAAAAGTTGTAAAAAAAAATAGCAGTTTCTTTTTCTTTTTTATTTATTTTTAGAGAAAGGGTAAGGGAGGGAAAGAGGGAAAGGGCTCTCTGGCACCCCCTACTGTGAACCTGGCCTGCAACCCAGGCATGTGCCCTGACTGGGAGTTGAACCAGCAAGCCCTTGCTTTGCAGGCCAGCGCTTGCTCAATCCACTGAGCCACAGCAGCCAGGAAGATAGCACAGTTTCTGTATACCCCGTACTTAATTTCCCCCATTGTTGCCATCTTGCATTAATGTGGTACGTTTGCCACAAATAAGGAACTAACATCTGTACATTTCTATTAACTAAATTTCAACTTCATTCTGATTTCACTTGTTGTTCCCTAATACCCTTTTTGTTTCAGGATCCCTTCTAAGATGCCATGGGACATTTAGTCATCGTGTTTCCTTAGCCTCCCCTGGTCTGCGGCAGTTTCCCTGACTTTTCTCATTTGTCATGACCAGCGCAGGTTGGGTATTGTATGGAAAGCCCCTCCGTTTGGTCTTGTGTCATAGACTGGGATTGTGGGTTTTTTAGAGGATGGTCAGATAGGATATTTTTTAATAACTGGAAAGGAACTTGCTCTGTATGGGAATCATGATGCTGACTCTGTGCAGTGTATGCAGACTGAGAAGACGTTGGGGGAGGTACCCTGGTGCCCCCTCCAGGACCCTTGTACCTTTCTGTCTCTCTAGCTGTTGGATCCCACCTGATTCAACTCTGGTGCTGACTTCCCCACCCAAGCATCTTGACTCAGTCCTGCTGAGTGGGTGCCAGCTTTCACACTTAGCTCTCTAGCCCTCCCAAGCATATTCTAATTTATAGGTGGTAGTTCATCAATGGCTGCCTGTGCGTCCAGGTCTTGGCACCCTGAGTTTGCTTCAGTGCCTAACCCTGACTCGGACCTGTGGCTCCTCGTGGACTCAAATTTCTCAGCCTCCCCCAGCTTCGCAGGGTCCAGGTGCCCCAGCCCATGCAACTCTTGAGCGGGGGCTGGGAGCATGGGTGGGGCTGCTGGGGACTCTTTGTCAGTTCGGAAGGACCAGCCTTGGGGAGTGAGGTGGCAGTTGCAGGCAGGTTGCATCACCCAGGCTCTTTGATGGGGAGGAGAAATGAAGGGATTCTCTGGGGGCCCCAGGCACACCTGGCAACAGGCTCCAGGTTAGCAGAGCCCTGGATCTGGGAGAGGCCCTGGCACAGCAAGCGGGGGTGGGGAGGGGGGAGCAACCACCGGTGCAGGGTCCGGAGAATCTGAGACGCTGTTCCAAGAGGGGTCATCACGTCGTAGAGGTTGACCCACTGACCTTACAGGGGGCAAGACCGAGGCCCTAAGAGATGAAAGACATTTTCACAGTCACACTGCTGGTTGGAGCCTAGGCCTCCCCAACACTTCACAGCTTCTTTAAAGAAGTAAGTCCCCTGCAAGCCCCAAGGGAGAGTCTGTCTGCTGCTCTTAGATCTGACCCCTAGTCCAGGTCATAGCCTGCTGGGAGGCCACCAAGCCTGAGCCTTCACCTAAGGTTTGCTGCCGTATCAGTTGCCAAATTCTATTGATTGTGACTTGCATCTCCCCATCCCCCCTGCCCTGGAGGAGGCCCTGCTCACCTGTACTACTGCAGCAACCCCTCACTGGTTTCCCAGTTAAGGAGACAGCTGCCGTGATGGGAAGGGCACCGAGTGTGCATCAGATGGGCCAATCCTGAGCCCACACCACTTAGTCCTGGCTGGAGGTGCAGGCAGGGTCCTTACTCTGCCTCAGCTTCACCTCCCTTGTGCAGAGCAGGTCAGAGCAAGGGCTCAAGCCTGCCTGCTAGGTTCACGCCCCGTCTCCACCACGTATGTGTCCCTGGGCCAGTGGCATCTTTTCCCTGATCTGTAAAGTGGGGATAAGAGGCCCCATTTCATAGGGTTCTTATATGGAAGCAGATAAATGTGTATGAAATTGCTAGAACAGCACCTGCCTAGTTATGAACATTAGTTATTTCTCTCTAAAGCTTGGGATGCTAGGAGGATTGTGTGGAATGATGTACGTAAAGCCCGGCACTTAACCACCTCAAGGATCTCTACGTGTTTGTTTCTCTCCCCATCCGCACCGCACTTTGTTCTGCTTTCACAGCTGCCTCACAGACAGATGTTTGTGTATGTGACTGTTTCCCTGAGCACTCAGAAGGCAGGGTCAGGACCCTTGTTCCTGGCGTCATTCCCCATGGCCCCAAGCCCTGTGCTTCTTACTGAGTGGACATCAGGTCACTTTTCAATGAGTCACTCATGCACAGAGACTGGGGGGTTCAATAGTGTTGTCCCTGAAGAGGCCTGAGGGCAGGTGTCTGGGCTATGCAGGCCGCGGGGGGCAGGGGTTGGAGGTGGGTGTCCTGGCAAACAAGGGCAGGAAGGCCAAAGCCAGTTTACTTGGGGAAGGGGTAGGCAGGGGCATAGTCTGCCACGTGGCCCTGCGGCTCAGAGTCCTCCCAAGCCCCTTCCCCGCCCTCGCACCTGCTGCACCTCCCTCAGCAGAAGCAGCCACAGCTCTTAGCACCCAGTTAGGCCCTGCACTGCTGCACCAGCTTCTGTATTTGTTGCTGTGCTCGCCGCTGTAAGGAGCCGCTACAAACTTAATGGCTTAAAATGGCAAACACTCCCTTTCAGTTCTGGAGACCAAAAGGATAAAATGGGTCCGCAGGGTTGCGTTCCCTCTGGAGGCTCCAGGGGAGAATCCACTTGCTGGCCCTTCCCAGCTG